GGCCCCAAAACAAATAAAATAAAACATCTAAATTCTAACTTTAGCAGCAATCCCCTTCCCCCGATAAAGAACAACATCAACATAATTCCGAATCTGCACCCCGACCTTCGCAACAGCATCCATCTCCAACGACTGCCCAAGGGCCTTCCGCAACGCATCATACCCCACACCCCCGATATTAAGATCCACTGGTAAACGCGGAGTCTGGGATAGACCCGGCGGGACCTTGAAGGGGTCGTGGTTTTGGATTCGGCCGATTGGGTCGTTTTTCTCGTAGAAGGCTGTTGCATCGATTGAGGTTATTAGGACGTCTGTTTCTGTTAGTGGCGAGAAGAGGGTGAATTCGGCTGTTGAGGACCAGAGGTAGAACTGTTTTATGGAGATTGTTAGCTGCTCGATTCTTTTCTTTTTGGTCGGTGGTTAAGTATTGGGAAATGGGATTATTGAAGGTGGGTGGAGTGTACCGTTGCATCTTGAATAAAATGCGGTTTTTCGTCGTCGTTGTTGTCTGGGGAGCCTGGTGGAGATATAGGTGGAATTGGTACGGTAATGGCGAGGGCTGATAGGGCTTTGCCTAGCTGTGGGAGGGATGGGATTGTATTCTTGTGGGGTTTTATGGTGATTGTAGTGTTGGATCCTGGGAATATATGAGTATACTGCATCACTGAACGTAATCGGAATTACTAACCTGATATATAGGATGAGAGTAACGTTCTTCCAGCATCCACGCCATCTGGTCCACTCAATTCTAACGGACCCCATGAAAAGTCAACGGGCACGTTAGTATTGTTCCCAGGAGCAACAAGTATATCGTGGGCAGTGATATGCGCCACAGCCGTGTCATTGTAGAGTATCAGAAAGTCGGCAAAAGGAACAGTAGCGGAGTAATCTGTCGGATTGGTGAAATTAACCTGCGTAGACACAACCATCGAAGATTCAGTCGTATCTCCTAATTGCAACGAGACCACGCGCGGATTGAAATGACCGAGCAAGTCGCCGAAGGAAGCTATGACATTGTCAATGACCAAAATTCGTTTGATTTATGCTAAGCTCTTCTAATTTATGAAAACGAAAACATACTCTTCACGGGAACTTTCCCTTCGGCGGGAATCCCGTGCACTGCAAAGCGGCCTAGGCCGGTTGAAACCTTTGTATCTACGGTGGCAGCGACCCGCAACACGATTGCTTCGTTACCGAACAACAGTGCTTGAATGACCTCGGCCAAGAGTCCGTCATTTGTGACCTGTAATGGCGCATCCTCTATAGAGAACTCCACGAGGAGTGCCGATGAGCCATCTTCGTCGCTGACGATTGTGGAGTTGGCGTCTTGCCATTTGTCAATGACCAACACGCCGAGCTTCTCTTCTTTATAGAAGACATCTGAAAGAGCGCGAACTTGCGGAACATCAACCTTGAAGTTCATCTCCTCTGGCAGGGCGATCAGAACCTTGACCAGGGCAGAGACTGTAGGCTGAGAGTCTGGGGAATCGGGCTCCGCAAATGGGTCTGGAAGAGAGAAGTGTGTATCGGACATGGTGAAGTTCTTCACAAGATTGTCCAATGCGTGTCCAGTAAATGGCAAAGGCACGCTCACGCTACGCATCAGATCAACCATCCATGCTGGGGTGTTTGGTGATGGTGCCTCAGCCCCTCGAACATATATTGTTGTCTCAAGGCCCTGTACATAGTTGGAAACCAAGAAGTCCAGAGGGGACCCCTCGCCTCCCGGGCAGGTAGAGGTCAATTCATCAGGGAGATTCTGGATGAGACCATCAACACCGACTGGAGTTGGCTGGCCAGGATGAACCTCGATTTCGGCCGTCTTCGCAGACGCAACGCGAATATAAGGATCCCCTGGTGAACAATTTGGCACTAAAATGTCAAATCCGAGAGCAGGAACGGTAAGGGCAACAGGAGAGTCAATCAAAGACTCCAGCAGAACATCCACTGCCATAGCTCCACTCTTCGCATCATGTACGTTCAACTTGAGAATATCAATCTCTGGTAGAGCGGGGAAATCTTTCTCTGTAAAGAGGTCAGCTCAGAGTCAAACAGCAATGAACCAAAGCAATATAGTAATATACCTTCGAAGATTATGTTATCTGTTAGCACCTGAGTTCCCAGGGCAATCAAGCCCGACTTGAGATGCAGCGTAGCCTTGCCCTTTACATTGAGGCGGCCCAATCTCCCTTCAATCCAATCAATAGCAATCGCATGAATTCCTCGGATATCACCCGCCTCCAAATCAGTAAGGAAGTCCACACGGGTGTGATAGCCGCTGCGAATCCTGAACTTGAGGGAGGGCACTGCTGCACGCCCAACAAGAACATTCCCATACTCCGGGAGGTAGACTTCAACATCCGACGGGCCAGTCTCAACCTCCCTGGCAATCCATGTTGCGAGTTGACCAAGGTTCCGAATCGACTTATTCTTCACACGACCCGAGTCCATCACGAAATCGCCCTGGACCCGAGCGCGAATGCCATCAGAAGTTGTCGAATCGATCGAGACGGCCGTTGGCTTGAACACTGCGGCTTGCTGCGCATATTCTTTCACGACTGCCGGAGCAGCAAAAGCAAGTACCAATATCGTCAGGACGCTTGCTGTTAAAATAGCGAGTGAGATCACCGTCGGCCATCGTACGCGGCTCGGCTTCTTGGTGGGGCCGTCTTCATACGATGTTCGTGATGCGACTGAGGGGGACCGGGATATCCTTTGCTCGGTCCCGTAGATCGTCAATCCATCCTCACGGCGATGTAGAAGAGGTGTTGATTCTGTGGATAGTTCGAATGATGGCCTAATCTGGTCGGTGGATGCCCTATCGGGAGATCGTTCGAGGGGGCTGGACTGCCCATCCAGCAGAGGCCGGCTGTCCTCGGCCATTGTGACCGGAAATGTAAGAAGTAAGTAACGATAATCTGGAGTCTAATGATCACAAAAGAGGAATACAAGGCAATGCAGGAGAGGTAAGTCACAGCTGGGAGGCGAAAGCGATGACGATAAGCGATGATAACGGAATGTGGAGATGCGGACACTTTGTGCCTGGATTGTCAGGCTACAAGGCTACAAGGCATCACCGCACATCCACCCGGGTTTTATTGAGTCATTGGCTCTCTCTCTTCCTCAGGTCTCCCTTCCAGTTCCCTCTCCCCAAAATTCCCATATTCCAATCCTCCCATCATGGCTAGTGGTCTCACAGCTGCTGCCCGCTATGGGTCCCAAAGTGTAACTCAATTGGCCGGCTCTACCTCATTGCGTCGAACACTCCAGGCTAATGGACTCCGACGATTTGCCCACCAGACACCGACTACACCACCTACTTCTCCTTTCGCTCCCCGACATTTGCTCTCTATCGCAGACCTGACCCCCACGGAATTCGCCACCCTGGTCCGCAATGCTGCGTCGCACAAACATGCCATCAAGTCCGGGTCCATCCCCGAAAGTCTCCTAGGATCCCTCTCCGGAAAGACCGTGGCCATGATGTTCAACAAGCGTAGCACTCGTACACGTGTATCAACAGAAGCCGCCACCGTCCAAATGGGCGGCCACCCCATGTTCCTGGGCAAGGACGACATCCAGCTTGGTGTCAACGAGTCTGTATATGATACGTCCGTTGTGATTTCGTCGATGGTGTCGTGCATTGTCGCGCGTGTCGCGAAGCACTCGGATGTTGCGGATCTGGCCCAGCACTCCACCGTGCCTGTGATCAATGCGTTGTGCGACTCCTTCCACCCGCTCCAGATCATCGCCGACTTCCTTACTATCTACGAGTCCTTCCCCACCAAGGGGGGTCCGCTCTCCGGACTCGGCCTGGAGGGTCTGAAGATCGCCTGGGTTGGCGATGCGAACAACGTCCTCTTCGATTTGGCTATTGGTGCTACTAAGATGGGTGTGGACATGGCTGTCGCTACGCCTAAGGGCTACGAGATTCCCGCGGACATGCTTGACATCATCCAGCTCGCTGGCGATGGTGTGCCCAATGCTGGCAAGCTCACCCAGACCAATGTCCCCGAAGAGGCTGTCAAGGACGCCGACATCCTGGTTACGGATACCTGGGTCTCAATGGGCCAAGAAGAGGAGGCCAAGAAGCGCATGAAGGCCTTCGAGGGCTTCCAGATCACCGCCGATCTGGCTAAGCGTGGCGGTGCCAAGGAGGGCTGGAAGTTCATGCACTGTCTGCCCCGTCACCCAGAGGAGGTGAGCGACGAGGTCTTCTACAGCCCTCGCTCTCTGGTCTTCCCCGAAGCCGAAAACCGTCTGTGGGCGGCTATTGCGGCATTGGAGGGATTCGTTGTCAAGAAGGGTAAGATTGTGGAGTAAGGAATTAAGGATAAGTTATAATCCAATGTACATGTATATAAAAATTTCGGAACCTCAAAAAATAAGCTTCTACATACACCCGACCAATGACAGATTTCATATTAGCGGACAAAGCCTCGATAAGCGCCTATCGCTATCCGACTGCCCGTGGGGCTTCGGATGTTGCACGCCACCAAATGGCGGGGCATCCGAACTGATCAGCTCGGTTGCTCCGGGCTCCATGTGCAATTCTACGGGCATCGAATTTGATATGCAGGTCCACGACTTTATAGTTGCACATAACATACGCTTAATTAGATATAGCATTAACTAAAATAAAATCTACAACTTACGTCCATATATCTACTGTGCAGTCTTCCATAGTCAACGGACTCCGATATAACTCTGGGCTCGGAAATAACCATAATGCCAGCAGCATATGCGTCTATGTGTTCCGTAGGCCGGGATATCCGGAGTAAAGACTCGGAAGTTTCATTGACGTTCACCACCCCACACTTGCTCCACGCTCCGAAAGGCCATTACCAAGCTAGCGGTTGATCGGAACGGCAATCCTGGAGGCGGGGGATGTCCCGAAGGCCATACTTATGGCTTGCTCGTGGACTTATAACAACAGGCTATTTCCTCTACTTTGTGAATAAGATACCCTTCTCCATTTCCCGCTTATACCTATACATCTCACAATGGGCTTCGAAAACAAGCGAGTAGCCATCGTCGGTGGTGGCCTGGGAGGCATGGCCTTCCTCAATGCAGCACTATACACCGGCCTGAAGAACGTCCAATTATACGAACAAGCGCCCCAATTCGGCGAAGTCGGCGCCGGCGTCAACATCACTTCCAACGCCAACCGCGTCCTGGACGCTTTCGGCCTACAAGAGAGCATGACCCGCAAGTCATCCCGCCAGCTCCCCTGCTACATGGAGTACCACAACTACAAGACGGGCGACTACGTGGGCCACATTGGAGAATTCTCCAAACCCCCAGCTCGCCTCCTGCACCGCGCCCATCTGCTCGACTCGCTGAAGGAACGTGTCCCCGAATCAAGCCTGAACCTGGGCAAGCACCTAGCATCCGTGGACCGCAACACCACTGCCGGCTCAGCCCCGTACACCCTGCGGTTCCAGGATGGCAGCTCAGCTGATGCAGATATTGTAATCGGCTGCGACGGAATCAAGTCGAATGTGCGCCGGGATATGGGACTGGGCGATGACCCCAACTATTCGGGCCAGGTTGTGTACCGTGGTTTCGTCGACTATAAGGATCTGCCCGTTGAGACGGAGCAGCTGCTTCGCAAGACTGTCAACTTCCGTGGTCCTAAACGCCATGTCTTGATCTTGCCTATTGGTAACAAGGAGACACAAACCGACCGTGCTGCTGTTATTGGTTTCATGTCTGAGCCTATCGAGGCTTGGGATACAGAGGGTTGGATGGCTCGTTCTGATATCGATAGTTTGCATGAGCATGTGCGTGAATGGTGTCCGGCGGTGCAGGATATTATTGCTGGTTTGCGGAAGGGCTCGCCGGATGGCAAGATGCTTAAGCAGGCTTTGTATGTGCGTGACCCGATTGATAAGTGGTACGAAATGAAGGAAGGTGGTCAGAAGGATGCTGGTATCATTCTGCTGGGTGATTCTGTTCACTCGACACTTCCTCACCAAGGTAAGCCCACTTTATATCCGTTTCCTTGGGATATCCACTAATATCATCTTAGGCCAAGGAACTTGCATGGCTATTGAGTCTGGTATCGCCCTAGCTACCGTCCTCCGCCACTGGAAGACGGACAGCCTCGAGGATGCGTTCAAGTTCTACCAGGACCTGCGTAAGCCTCGGACGGACCGTGTTACCCAGACTAGCTACGAGGCTGGCAAGCTGGCTAGCTCAGACTCGCCTGATCAGATGGACAAGAGTTTCAACCCTGATGCTTTGATGGAACGTATGAAGTGGATTATGGAGTACAATGTTCTGGAAGACTTGCGCGTCAAGGGTGCCGATTATTTGGACTTCCAAGATTCGCGACTGTGAGTGGGTGCTAAGATATGTTGGGCTGTATATATTACATGGCTATTTTGTACAAACGAATGCATTTCTCTGGTCATCTTTGACATGATCTATAAGTTACGAGTTCAGTAACATACACACCGCTAGCCCTAACGATCGCGCCACCATCATATGATGAGTATACTTCTTCTGTGTCACTTTAGACAGTCATTCCACCTGAACTATTCTTATTAAATGCTAACTTGCCATAAGTTATTTCACTCCGGCCTTCTCATATCTTATTATACAAATATTCTTTAATATAAAACAGTTGAATTGCCGGGCTCGGCTTTCACATGCCAACCGCACGTGCATCAACTCCGCATTTTCCCCATCTTCGCCGGTTTTTCTCTTTTTCTCCATGCTGGACCCCATAATGGAGGTGAATATCAGACCCTGAACCATATCCAAAGCTCCATGAATGCTAATAAACTATAGTTTACTACCACTTCGGGGGGCTTTCGCTCCCGGCGCTCATACCCCAACCTCAACCACGTCTCCCTAGCACCACTGACCCCACGATTCCCCATAGACGACGACACAGAGCCAACAGACTACTTCACCCATGAAAATGAATCCCCAACCAGCATCAACCACGAACACCCAGCCCCATCCTACCTATCCAGCATTTCAGTCCCAAGCACGCCCCCAATCCTCTCCCACTCGCGCAGCAGCTCACGAACCCGCCACACGCGCAGCAAAAGCTCCAACCGAACAGGCCCATCAAGCGACTCAAACCTCCACAGCCACGGCCTCTCCAATCCCATCCACCACAGCACACAAAAGAAACCAGCAAGCACCTTTCCGGGGCGACGCCACTTCGCCGATACACCGAACACGCCCAAAATAGACGCGGAATGGATGCTTCGTGCGGGGATAGCATTGGCCTCGTCAACCCGCGAAGAGAAAGGCCAGAGCTGGCTCTCTAAACGCGAGAGCTCAACAAGCCTTGTCGAAATGCCCGATGACACGGCTATCAATAACCGCCACCACCACCGTACTAAATCAGGCGCCTCTTCTTCGCGCAAGTCCCGTTCCGGCGCTTCCACACCCGGAGGTGCCCTCTCCCGTCGTAGTTCCCGTTCCCGTGGCGGGAGTCGACGCGGTAGCCGAGTCGGTCTGACAATGACTACTATCCCAGCCTCATCATCATCCCCAGCAACAGCAGGGAAAATCTCCAGCTCGGGCCCCAGCACAGGCACAGGAACAGCAAGCCCCGAAATCCGCGGCCGGGGCAGATTAGAGCCCGATTTCGTAGACGAGCGTATCCGCGCCGAGATGGCTACATTACAACACCAACACCAACACCGGGCGTTTTCAGACGAAGACTCGGAACTCTGGGACGGTGAAGACGGTGGCGCCTCAGAGTCTGAATACGACTACGACTCCGACGAAACGCCTGATGACTTTGACGAAGCAGATCTGCAACAATTAACGCGCGAGCGCGGGTTCGGACTTGGTGGTTGGATCGACCGGCTGGTTGAGTGGACGCTTTTCGGAGTTGAGGAGTGGCCTGCTCCTGTCCCTGATGCTGCGACTGCTGTTGCAGCGGCTTCGAGGATTGGGACTGCGGAGACGAGTACAACTGTTACTTTTGAGGATCCCGTTGTTTTGTCGACTGCGGAGGAGAGGGAAGCTGATGTGCTTTCGGTTGGGGACGGGGGTTGTCTGATGATGATGATGGGGAGGGTATCATTGCCTCTGTTGAGAAACCTGGGGTTAGGGGTGGGTGGGAGGATGCTGGGTGGTTATTCCGCGTTGTGAAGCGGGTATTGGTATGAATTATGAGAGATGTCTCGAAGAGATCTGTAGATACGCTTTTGTTTACTTTGAGTACTGTTTCTCTTACTGTCTTAATTTCCCCAGATTGTCTATGAAGCGAAGCGAAGCTGGCTATGCTAACATACAGCCCAGCAATAATAATATAATCAAATAAAGCACTTTCTTTACTGCTTGGGAACTCAGTATCCGTTCTATAGGAAAAAAAAAATGATTGGATTCAAATGCAACAAGCTAGCGTAAACAAGATGGACCAACCGACCACCCAAAACACATAAGAAAGCAAGTTGCACGAAATAACAGGATCAGAGAGTACCGTAGACAAAAGACTAGATGAGACATCTTTCTTTCATATGGTAGGACAACGTATTCAGCTGACAGAGCCGGAGCTGAAAAGCGCAAACGGATCCAGGGACGACAGACAGGTCGACCTATGGAGCAGGACCGCTGCTTTGACAGACACGTATTCATCGAATTATGCAAGAGACAAGAGAACAAGAGGACAGGGACTGGGACAAGACAAGGCGATATCGGAAATCAGAAATCCATGTTGAAATCCCAAAACACGAAACTGGCATGAAAACCAAAAGCATCCAATAGAGAGAGAGAGACAGGGAAGGAGAAGGACAGGAATGTAAGCGACTCCAGCGCGCCGGTTGATGTTGGAAGGAGAGGACGGGAGTTTGAATGAGGTACATAGTAGATGGGAAGAATGAGACAGAGAGAAAGAGAAGGACGGGCTTGTGTGGTAATTCGAAATACGACAGAAGAGAGGAAAAGAGAAGAAAATGAAAAAGAAGCAGTACTGGGATCTGAGTGAGTTGATTGAAAATTTGGCAACAGTTAAAACACAGACAATTCCAGCCAAAAAAGAAGAAAAGAAAAAACAGACAAAAAGAAAACTGTGATTGGATTCGCCTTGAGTAATATAACGCCATCTGAGACCATGTCGATTCTAAGGTCATGCAGCAGGTATCGTGATCGTGACATACGTCGAAAGTTGCGCGGTCGAAGGGGTATGGACCGTATTTCAAGCTCGAGCGTGAGCCGGCATGGATGGGAGAGGTGAAGCCGGGACGGGACGTAAGAGCGGTGCGTGTTGTAAAGGTGGTCGTTCATAGTAGGTCGGAGCGAGTTGGTTCATCACCACGGTCCAACCCTAACTGGAGTTCCCAGGCCGTATGTTCCCGAAAGAAGCTGGTCCCGTATGGACCCTATTTCGCCGCTGGATCCGTGGGTTGGTGTATCTGGTCCGTTCATCCATCCCAAGCTAAAGCCGAGTTCGTTGACTGCTCCCTGCAGCTTTCCTCCAGAGGTCTGGTTGTGCTTGGCCAGCTTTTGGTCCCAGCCGCCATACTGCAACTGGATGCCACCGCCTCGTTTGGCTGCTTCCCTAATTACCAGAATCCATGCCTTGCAGATCTCGTCATAGGCGGAGTCTCGTTCGATATTGTTTTGTGGCGAGCTCCAGCGAGGCAGGGCGTGGATGATGTCGGTTGCCCCGTCTAGGTAGCTCAGAGACGTGGATGCCTGGGATTCGTTCGGTGGGAGGAAGTTCGGAGTGAAATCACTCAGGGCGTCAAGGAGGTTCGTGAGTGGCTGTCGGACTCGGTTGTAGGCATAGTCTGACTCAGTATTACCACCCAGCGGGAAGGACGACTGGAGAGCGGCCTGGTAGTTTCGAAGCACTTGGAGGGTTGAGGAAACATTCGGACGGGGAGAAGTGTGCACAACCTCGTCGGCGAGCTGAGGGTGACGCTCGCACATGGTTCGTACCACCGACCTCAAAGCATCTGTGTCGAGGGTCTCTAGCAGACGGGGGAGAGACAAAGGGCGGCCTGAAACATTCGGTCGGGAACGTTTGATGTTACGGTAGTTGTGAGGAAGTTGGCGAGGAGTGAAGGCGGGAGAGTTGGTGGGCGAGGCAGACATGCGTCCATCATGATCGTTGCCATCGTCGTCGGCTTTCCGTTTACGGTTCGAATACGACGACGATGGTGTAGACACTGGCATCTTTGTTAGCTTCTCATCCCAGGCCAGAGAACAAAATGTTGGAAAGGGATGTCTTACTCATACGGGAGGGAGAGAATCGGGGGTTCTCGTAGAAGTGAGGAGGGACAGGAGGTGTGGCCACCAGACTGTTCATGATGACAGCCTAATGGCAAAGAAGACGTAGTGGTCTCAACGAAGACCGAAGAAAAGAAAGTCAAGGGCAGTCAAAAGGGATGCCCAAAGATGAGGTGGGGAGAGAAAGGTCGAGAAGAGAAGCGGTGGAGAAAAAGTAGGCGTTGCGGGCGGCAACGCAATCCCTCTGTGCAGCTTTCAAGGAGATTTGCCTCACTGTTAGTAATTACTATAATAAGTCGATATCAATATTAATGTGTTTCAGAAGATTCTTCGTTTTCATATTTTGACATGAACCAAGCCTAATGGGCGAACTCCACTGTTTTCGGGCAAAGCTACAGTACCCGCATCATCTACATCTACTACGTCGTATGCTTGATGTGACATAAGTATGCATTTTGTTTCATACAAAAAAAATTGAACAAGGGGATATCGTATCTACAAGTACAGAGATTGGGCAGCAACAATATCGCGACGGATTTTCGTCAGGGCCTCCTCGAACTTGCTCTCCAGGTCCTCGCTGCCCATCACCTTGGCAGCCTGTGCCATCTGCCGCAAACACTCTTCCAGCCGGCGGAAGACACGGATCAAGCTACCCTCGTAGACATCGGTCATTTTGCTTGTAATAAGTTAGTACATGGATAGTTAGATACGACGGGAAATGCTTACCAGATATCGGCAAAGGACTTGCCCTGGGACCAATCGTAGACCACCTCCATCAGCTCCCACTTGAAGCTTGAAACATATTCATCCTCGTTCAAGGCCATCTTGGACTCCTGCGAAACCTTGGCGATTGTGCGAGCCTGTGCTTGGATCTCCCGGAGGGGCTTCGCCAGCTCATCCTTAGCCAATGGAGTGGCTTCCTTGACCTTCTCTTCAAACACGAAACAACTCATGACGGCCGCAATCTGCTCGGGAGTAAGGCTATTGAAGAAGCCGTTGAACAGCAGCTCGCTCAGCACCAGCTCGTCGCCAGAGCTAATCTCACAAGCGACCCGACCCTTCAGCTGAACGACTTCATCCTCGTTGATAAATCCGACTCGACGAAGCACACGCTTGCGGTTCTTCAATTCCTCAAGTTGCATAATCTCCATGGCGTCGGAGATCCTCTTCTTGGCGTCCTTGATTTGTGTTCCCAAATCTACCTTCTCGGCATATTGCTCATAGAGTTCGGGCAACCGAGGCGAGTTGTGGAGAGGATTGCTCAGAAGACGAGAATCAAGAACCTCGATTTTCTGTACCTTGTTAGCAGCGTGAATCGTATATTTGAAATGCGGTCATCTCTTACCCGCAGCAGCTTCTTAAAGGAGTCATCCTTGATGTTCATATTCTCGATAGGATCAAGCAGCGGAATACCATCCGGGAAACGTCTCTGTATTTCGTCCATAGACTTCTTCACCCCGGTGCGCGCGTCAGCCGCCTGAATGTCCTTGGGGAGGAAGATCCGAATGTGGGAGATGTCATGAATGCAGCTCAGTACAACGGGCACAACTTCCATACGCTCCTTTTCTCCCTCCTTTGCGGGTTGGATACCGGACGGAATGTCTTGGTGAGACTTGGTGCCGATGGATGGCCCCTCGGCAAGCCTCAAAAGCACATCGACAACGTACGATTGATGCGGGGTCAATGGCTCCTTCTCATTTTTCGCTTGTTTGCGTTGCGTTTGTTTGATCACGACACCCCATCCGAAATCTTGATCTTGGTGTTTGACACGAACAACTCGGCCGGGCGTGAGGTAGGGCAGAGAATAGTTCGGGTGGCTGACAACCTCCTGGACATCCTCTGCGAGTGTGGCCAGGTGCTTCCGTAGGTCGTAGTACTCGCGAATGGTGCCCTCGTCTGAAATGACCATATTGGCTCGCTTTTCCTGCAAGTCTTGAAGCTCTTTTTCCAAGCCTGAAACGTTTCCACTGGTCTGGAACTGCTTGAAGCAACTCTCCAGCATGTAATCGGGCGAGATGCCTTCCACACGCAACAGATTGAGAATCATATTGTAGCCAAGGTGGAATGCGGAGTTGAGTCGGTCCTGTTCGCCGCGCACAATCTCTTTCGCTACGGCAGGGTCCATCTCCTCGCCAACCATCATAATAACGATGCCGCGGTCATCGAGACCTCTTCGACCGGCACGACCAGACATTTGAATAAACTCGGATGGAGTAACCCAGCGTTGGCTGGTACCATCGAACTTGCGAACGCTCGTGAATACCACAGTCTTTGCAGGCATGTTGAGACCAATGGAGAAAGTTTCAGTTGCGAACAGAGCTTTGATGAGACCCTCCTGGAACAGAATCTCGATGGTTTCCTTGAGAATCGGCAGCAAACCGGAGTGGTGAACACCGATACCTCTGCGCAAAAGGGGAAGGAGATTCGTGATTTGGGGCAATTTTCGGTCCTCTTCAGACAGCATTTCGATGGCACTTTCAAAGACCTTGGTCACCATTTCCTTCTCGGAGTCATCGTTGAATGCCATTTTGGACATCTGCAAAGCGCCTTCTTCGCACTCACGCTTGCTGAAACTGAAAACAATGACAGGATTCAAAGATTTAAGCATGATCATCTTCACGATTTTGAAGATATCCGACGGGCCCTTGTTTCCACCCTTGTTCAAAGACTTATCCTTACCCTTTCCTTTGCGCTTGGCCAACGCATCAGCGGGATCATCGCCCTTCTTGTCGGAAATTGAGCTCATCGCTTTCTGGAAGTTCTCTTCACGGAATACTCCCTTTTCGTCGACAATAAGGTGCAATCCGTCTCCACCAGCGGGGAAGAAATAGTTCTGAAGCGGTGTCGGGCGGTAGTTGGTGTAAACGACGTGGCAAGGTTGGTTGTGCATCTTCACGATCCACTCGGCGAATTGCATGGCATTGGGAATAGTGGCAGACAGGAAAACGTAGCGGACCTTGTCGGGCAGAAGGATGAGTGTTTCTTCCCAGACAACACCACGGGTTGGGTCTCGCAGGTAGTGAATTTCATCGAAAATGACCCACTGGACTTCACGCATAATCTCAGAGCCACGATACAACATGGAGCGCAGAATCTCAGTGGTCATGACGAGGCAGGTAGCGGTAGGGTTGATTGTCACATCACCAGTCATCAAACCACAATCACCAAACTCGGCTGCAAATTCACGGTATTTCTGGTTAGACAGTGCCTTGATCGGACTGGTGTAGATAACTCTCTGGTTCTGCTTCAAACTTTGCGCAATGGCATACTCGGCCACTACAGTCTTTCCTGCACTAGTATGGGCCGAAACCAGTACACTTTCCTCGCGCTGAATCGAGGCGACTGCAAGTTGTTGGAAAGGATCGAGTGTGAAGGAGTATTTCTTTGCTGGCTCTGCTGGCGGCTTGTGCTCAGAAAGAGGCACGTACGGGTAGTTCGGAGGGAATGCGACCTGATGGCGCACTTGGTGGGATACTGTCATTGACTCCTCTTCGCCTTTCAATTTGGCAAGCTCGACTTGTCCTTCAGTCTCAAAGGAATCCGCAAGTACTGGTGCGGGTTCATCGTCAAGTTTGGGTCGTTTCGCATCAGGTTGATCGTTCTCGCGGGCGGGTGCTTCGGCGTCTGCTGGCTTGGATTCTGTAACAGGTGCATCTGGCAAAATGGTATCCTCGTCCGGTTCAGTCTGGGCGTCTTCGGATTTCTTGACGTCGCCATTCACCTGGCGTTTTTTGCTCTTGTCCTTCTTGGGACGTTTGGGGACAGCCTCGGACGGGGTTACCGCCTGAGGCTTGTCCTCAAAGACATCGAAGAGCTCATCCATCTCCAGCGAAATTGAAAGATCAACCACGGGAGTAGAATGAGCGATGTGATCGCGCTGCACTTTTCTGGGTAGAGAAAATTGAAAGTTTCCAGATGAGGAAAGCGGTGGGGCTGGCCAAACGGCGCTAGTGTGTCTGTCACGTGACCTCGAACATCGCAAGGTGCGGAATGGGATGATCTCGTTTGGTTTCGTCCGTCCCTTTCCGATCGTCCACTCTCTCCTCTCTATCTCTCAAGGTAGGCACCTCCTGGCGCAATTGGGCTTGTTGCAACAGCTCACAGCTATTTTTTACGACAGATGTTCTCCTCCGCTATCCGGGCCAAGATGGCCACCTCCTTCGCTGCCCGTCGTGGCTTCTCCACCACTCGCACCCAGTTCGGTAGCCCCTACCACTACGCCGAGGGTCCTCGCACCAACATCCCTTTCAACCCTATGACCAAGCGCTTCTTCTGGAGATACTGGGCCTTCATGGGTTCGTTCACCCCAGACTTGTGCGCGGAGGTATGACTAACTCGGGCATCATCTAGTTACCGGATTCGGTTCTCCCTTCGCCATTGCTGGTGAGTTCTACTTCACCATGACACTATCTTGCTTCGACCATGCGCTAATAGTTCTTCCCTTTAGTTTGGCAAACCTACAAGACCAAATAGATTGGCCTTGTACTTGCGACAGTCTGGAGGCCGAAAACTCGGATTGGAGAAGCAATTGGATATCATGTACAAAGCTAGAGATTACTATTGACATTTCTGCGCCTCAATGCCTCCATTGTAACTGTGTAGACCCTGGAACTCGTAGCTCTAAAGACGTTGAAATGTGGATGAAGTCATTGGCTGAGCCGCTGTGGAAAATCAAAAAATCTCTGGGTCGGCACGAGTTTGATATCAGTTCTCGACACACCCACTCTCCACGCTTCTTTTCAAGAGAGAGAGAGAGCGTCGCTAGTCGCTTAAACCCGCCTTCGCTCGCCATTACGCGAAATTCCATACGTTTACCGCCCTGGTTGCTTCATGGCGGGGTAACAAAAGAAGCATAGAAAAAGTTACCCGTACCTGGAAAATGCGCAACTTGAGAAACGTCCGTCTCGCCGAGACGCAGCTTGAGGGCGAGCTTCCTCTCACAGCAACTGCATGGGATACTTCATCTGACTCAGTGGTGTGCACCTTTGGCCCCGCTGAGAACAATGCAATCATTGAAGTGAGGCGAAAGCGCCCCGAGATCACCTCAACAGACCCTCTCAGCCCGGAGGCATTCGAATGCATTGCGTCTTGGGATGCCCCATGCCCTCTGCCAGACCTGACGTGTGACCGTGTACTCTCTTTGCATTACTTTGCGGATACTCTGACTGCTTGTCTGGTGCTGGAGGGAGGCGATATCGTGGTTGTCCGTGAAGAACCTCTTCCTGGTGAAGATAAGATCGAAATCGTCGGTTCAGTCGACGTGGGCATCACAGCTGCTGCATGGTCTCCGGATGAAGAGCTTCTAGCTCTCACCACCAGAGCCCATACTTTTCTCTATATGACCAGAGAGTTTGAGAATGTGGCCGATATTACATTTACCTCCAGTGACATGCACGCTTCGCAGCATGTGTCAGTAGGATGGGGTAAGAAAGAGACTCAGTTCCAAGGAAAGAGAGCTAAGGCTCTTCGAGACCCGACTGTGCCCGAGAAGATCGACCAGGGAATCCTGAGCAGCCACGACGATGGTTGCACTACGATAACCTGGCGAGGGGATGGAGCATATGTCGCCGTGAATAGCATCGAGGCTGGTACTCGCCGCGCCATCAGAGTGTACTCAAGAGAGGGTACTCTGGACAGTGTGAGCGAGCCGGTTGATGGACTCGAGGGCGCTCTCAGCTGGCGGCCGTCCGGTAGCCTTATTGCTGGAATCCAACGACTTGATGACCGTATAGATGTGGTGTTTTTCGAAAGAAATGGACTGCGCCACGGCGAGTTTTCTCTCCGTATATCCGATACCGAGACAAAGCCATGGACTTCTCGTATCCATCTTGCATGGAACGTCGATTCGACTGTTCTTGCTGTCAAGTTCCAAGATCGCATCCAATTTTGGACAACCGGGAATTACCATTGGTATTTGAAGCAAGAGATCCCGATAGTTGTTGATCCCTCCTGCTCGCTTCCATTCTCTCTCGAATGGCACCAAGAGAAGGCACTTCGATTCGTTGCTGGTTCCTCAGACTGTATCCTTGATGCGGACTATGTGTTTGATATCTGCCACGGATCTACCTCTATTCCGGATGATGTGGGCGCTGTTGCCGTCCTTGATGGGCAAAATCTCAAACTGACCCCATTGCGGTTGGCTGGTGTTCCACCCCCAATGGCGCATAATGAACTAGCTTTGGATTCTAACGCCATTGATGTTGCATTCAGCAAGTCAGGCACTCGCATTGCTGTCCTAATGCACAACAGTTTTGCAATCTACAATTGGTCCCTGAAAAGTCGGCCCGTTCCTGTTCCGATTCTTGAGTCGAGCTATCCTCTACCGGATGATCCTTCCAGTCGACCCAGACAGATTGCCTTTTTAAATGATACTGAGGTCTTTGTGCTCCGAAGTAGTGGACCAAATGCTAGCCGCATTGAGCGGACTATATTGGAACGCCAGACGACCGAAGCTGTGTATGAGGCTGCAGACTCCGAGCAGCTGTCATCGATCTTTGCGGGAATTGGACATGAAGCTCTATGGTTTTCACATGCGTCTCAACCTGGCCGTCCTGTTAGCTACTCGAGCATCGAAATGTCATTAAATAACCCCGATATTGTCCCTTGGGGCGACAGTCCCAATGTTGATAGTCACTGGGCTCGTGCTGTCTCCATCTCCGAGAGCGAGGTAAGATTTTGTTTCTTGGGATTTGGACAAAGGTTGCTAACTCATCTAGCGCATCTTGATCACAATGTCAAGAACTGGTGGCTTGTATGCGAACAAGCGAGTCCTGGCGAGGAACTGCACTTCTTTCCTCGTGACACCGTCTCATCTGTTGTTCACCACGTCTCAGCATCTGTTGAAGTTTGTTCATCTTAACCACGTGGAAGGTAAGATCCGGTTGTCTTGACTATTTCCATTGTAAAATCTAACGTGGACTTGAAGATATGGAAATTCCAGAGGACACACCCGAAATCGATGAGCGGTGCAGAAGTATCGAACGCGGCTCTCGTTTGGTTTCCGTGATGCCGTCAATCTTTGCTGTTGTGCTCCAAGCTCCCCGTGGAAACATTGAAACCATTTTCCCCCGTGCCTTGGTGCTGGCCGGAATCCGTACGTTTATTGACCAGAAGAAGTACCGCTCTGCATTTATGGCATGCAGAAGCCAGATGGTCGATCTAAACATCCTTCACGATTACGCCCCTGCGCAGTTTTTGGCAAACATCCCACTATTCATTGATCAAGTCAAGAAGGTCGATTATATCGATGACTTCTTGTCACGCTTGCAGTATGTGGACACCCACATTGGTTTGAACTGAACCCTTTTTGCTAACTTTTACGCAGGGAAGAGGATGTTTCACAGACACTCTATAAAGACACGCTGAAGATTTCCAAGAATGAGTCTGCGGCTGTCGCTCAACCGGATGCTCCACCAGCTCCTTCATTGCCAAAGTCGGCCAGAAAGGAAAGCAAAATCAACCAAATCTGTGACGCGTTCCTAGCGACTCTCCAAGCGCGCGTCGATACCAACTTGCAGAATGTCATTACAGCCCATGTTTGCAAATCCCCACCCGACCTAGAGGCTGGTCTAGGACTTGCTGCAGGCCTGAGAACACGAAACCCCGAGCAGGCTGAAGATGCCATTGAGCACATGTGTTTCTTAACAGACGCACACCGACTTTATTCTCACGCCCTGGGAATATACGACCTTGAGCTTACTCTCTTGGTTGCTCAGCAGGCACAGATGGATCCTCGCGAGTATCTTCCTTTCCTCCGTAAATTGCAGCAGCTCCCAGAGACTCGGCGTCAATTCGAGATCGACAACCATCTCAGCCGCTTTGGAAAGGCTCTGAAGCATCTGTACGCTTTGAACGCCCATGATGAAATTCGCGCATATGTCGTCAGACATGTCTTGTACAAAGATGCCCTCGAGCTCTACAAGTATCAAGCAGAGCAACTACGTGAGATCACCGAGCTCTATGCCGACCATCTCCAAGATCAGAACCAATACAAAGACGCGGCAATTGGTAAGTGACTTCTGGTATATAGAACAAGACACGATATTAATCTCAATACAGCGTACGAATCTCTCGGACTCTACGAGAGTGCCTACAAGTGCTACAACCTGGCCCACAAGTGGCGCGAGTCATTGTACTGTGCCATGATGGCATCTCTTTCCGAGGAAGACCTGACCGCCCACATCAACAACCTGGCTACAACCCTGATCGATGAGAACAAAGACTACGTCTCAGCAGCCACAATCTATGCCGAGCACCTGCGCGACTTTGTCACAGCCGCACGGCTCCTCTGCCGGGGCTCAAAGTTCGCCGATGCCGCTCGTTTACTCACACTGAACGGCAAACAGAACCTAGTCGCCGAGATTGTCGATTCCGGTCTGGCCGAAGCAATGGGCAATATGACCGACCTGCTAGCCGACTGCAGATCCCAGCTCAATGCCCAAGTCCCGCGCCTCCGCGAACTCCGCCAGCTGCGTGCTGCCGACCCGCTCGCCTTCTTCGGTGGTGATCCCGCAGGAGGCGACGCAGGCGTCGACATTCCTGACAACGTGTCCCTGGCCCCAACAGATGCATCGACGCTGGCTGGCCGCTCCATGTTCACTCGATACACTGGCAACACTGGGAAGACTGGCAAGACTGGTATGACCCGATACACCTCGAAAACCCGCAGACGTGAAGAGCGCAAGCGAGCCCGTGGTAAGAAGGGCACCGTTTACGAGGAGGAGTACCTGGTCAACAGTATCCGACGACTTATGGAACGGGTCAACTCGAGCGTGGCAGAGACCGAAACCCTTGTCGATGCGCTTTTGCGTCGCGGAATGCGCGAGCGCGCTGCTGCAGTTGAGAAGGCGCTGCTGGAAGTCTCGACTATGTGTGCAGAGTGCCGAGACGAGGTCTTTGAGGTCCCTGTCGTCGAGAAGAAGAGGAATGAGGACGAGGATGATGAGGAGAATCCCGATGAGCCTCATATCCCGCCTATTTATGGTGGTAGAGGCTCCGGGGTCTTGGCGGAAAGCATTGCTATTGTTCAGGGTGGTGGTTCCGCTCGCGTGAAGGAGATCCCTATCGTCAAGGAAATGAAGAAGTCTTCTTTGCTGGCCTGAAGCAGTCAGTGAGGATAGCTCATAGCATTAACATATTTCCATCCCAAAATAAAAAGTTGCTTCGATTCTCAGCCGTATAACATCGTCATATAAACTCGGAGGATACGCCCAGGAACAACCGAGATTCTTCTCTCTGCTGGGATACCTTAGTGCAAGCAAGATTGAGGAATATTCAGCCTTGGGCACAGGGCTCCGTTTGAGGAAAGATACCTGTTCCCATGTAGCGTCTCTATTTCAATCGACCTGGCACATAAACAGAACGTCACTCGGGATCAATCAAAATACGTGCTCTACCAATCCCCGATAGCCTTCAAGGAGGTGGTAATATGTGTCCAAGGGATTTCCATGCCTTGTGTGTCACGAGTCATATCTGATTAGCACAGGAATGAAAGATCCTTCGTTGCAGCCTGTCCTCGATATTATCCCCCATGTCCCTCCTAGTCTTGACCATGACTCACTGGGTGTTGACCACTATAATGAAACGCTGCCAGCAATGAACCAGATGGCATCTTCCCTGTCTACTGGAATCAACGTATACTAGTCTTTATAATGCGTGAATCCGAAACAAAGTGTGGAACAAAGACTGCGGGCCTGGAATTATAATCAACAAGCGGGAATGAGTATGTAGGTCGGAGATGATGAGTTTTCGTGTTTTGTCTATAGAGGGATCTTTCTTTGCTTCTGTGTGAACTATACTGGATATAAAACATGTCTAGTCCTAATAAATGTTTCTAGAATGGAAAAGAGAGGCTGATTATCATCATTGACTGTGTACATTCTATCTCATACTATGTCTATGGGCTGAGCGTGCTACTCATGAGATACAATGGGCCAGAAGGGAGGAGGGGGGATTCATATGTCCATGCCTTCTTGGTTGCGTTCTATCCTTGAAGATATTGTGCTTATGATAATCAAATCCCGGCCATATGTCGAATACATGTTGCGACATCGAGCAGTAAATCAGTTTCTCACAATATACACGCCCAAGATTTGGAATATACAGTGCTGCGTCCTGTCAGTAACTCAAACTTGCAGAGAGAATGTCCTCAAGGAGCATCAGGTCTATCTCACACGAAGAATCCATGACGAAGTACATGGTAGCAAGGTCATGTCTATTCATTCCGAATTACGGGGTATATCCTAGCTAAAACAAGCAGTATAGCGCAGCTATTTTAAGGAAGTGGTGCAACAGACACGATTCTTTCCCACAATGACACGAAGACGTTACATATGTCTGCAGTGTATCCAGTAGCCAAGTCAACTACAAAGGATATACGAACAACTGAAAACCGAGAATATATAAAAAAGGACCATTTGCCGCATTTATTGAACTGCGAAGAAGAAATAACAGACAGGCGCAGTTGTACCACTAAGCTGTTAAGTTACTTTCAAGGATATACACTAGCAGATTGATTCTAACGAAGCCTACATAGATGATGAACCTCTATCTCTGGAGCATTCTTGGTATCCTCCTGGGTGTGAGAGCTCTCTCGACCGCTCAGGGTGTGACACCAATTATCAAATGTTCTTGTGCTGGCATTTCTGAACACTCTCGTTATGCATGTGATCATACTGGTGCTTATTACGGTGAAAACGGATGCGGCTTTGCTGGTTGCTGTGTTTATGCTGGGGGTCAGCAGGCTAGATTTATTCAGGCTTGTGATTTCCTTGGATATGGGTTCCGGCGCTGTGATGATTGTGGCTCATGCTGATTGCAATACTCGACCGGTGGAAGGATTTGCAGAGTGAATGTCTATGCTCCAAGAAGTTGTGATGGATTATCAGTTTGCGTGTCTGTACTTGCGTCTATGAGAGTCAGTGTATATGATATGGCCAAATTGACGCTCGTAGTTTATTATTATGTTCTAGATAATCCCAAATCATGAAAAGATACAGTGAAGTTAATATCTGCATCAAGTTCGTATGGCAGAGTTGAATTTTTCCCATGCAAAGTAGTAGAGGAACGGTAGGGTATCTTTCAGGTAATCAAACCTTCCAAAAGAATGGCCAAGATGGCCCACTAGTCACGGCCGCATTGTCTAGGAGCTGATGATTTCACCAGTCTCACTGACAAGGTGGGTATCAACCTTGACGGGACCCTCTCCAACAGCGGTCAAAATGACACGGCTCACACCGTCCTTCAGAACTTCGACGGCGCGGGAGTCAACCTGGTCCAGGGAAACTCCGGAAGCAGTAACGTTCGCAATTCTATCGTAGAAAGCACCGTCCCAGCCCTCAGTGTTGGGGCCGAGAATGGCCTTCACGGTTCCGGCAACGAGCTCGGAGTCCTTATCCTCATAGTAGATGACGGCATTGGGGCCGGCATCGAAGGTGTAGGCAGCAACTGTGCGGCCAACAACACGGTTAATATCGTGCACAAGGCGGACGGCGGCACGGGAGACGTCGTTCATGTAGAAAATAGGGGGCCACGAGTCGAGGCAAGTGGCGTGGAAGGTGTTGGAGTCACGCATAGTGATCTCGGCAAAGTCAGGGAAGTTGCGGTCACGGATCGCAGTCTCAATGGCGGCCATACGTTGGGGAACAACATTTTGTGCTCGCTCGGCGAAGAGAGCGGAAGTCCCGACGGTAGTCTGCATGCCCTCTGTGCTAGGGACATCCTTCTTCTCGGCACTGACAACGAGGACCAGGGCACGCATCTCAGGCCAGTGAGATGCGGGGGCGACTTCCTCAGCCAGGCTGTCACTGCCGTCAGCAAGCTCGCCGGTCCGCCATGCGACGTAGCCGCCCATCAGGGAGCGACAGGCAGAGCCTGAGCCCTGGCGAGCAATGCGGCTGAGTTCCTTAGGGGATTGAGGCAGTTGATAAAGGTCGGCAACGGCGCGGACTAGAGCTGCGAATCCAGCAGCGGAGCTGGCCAGTCCGGCGGCAGTGGGGAAGTTGTTCTCGGAGACAATCCGGAGGGGGAATTTGGAGAGAGCGGGGAGAGAGGAGTCCGCATCCTCGAGAGCTTTGCGATGGGCACGAAGACTGGAGATACAAGCGAGGGTGCGCTTGGAGGACTGGATGTCCTGCGGCTTGCCGTTCAAGTTCAGGGTGTCCTCAGCGGGGAAGTTACCAGAGCAGGATGCGGTGGTCAGGGTACGGAGAGATCGCTGAGAGAGGGTGACCGAGAGAGAGGAGTTGGTAGGAAGGTTAAGAATAGTATCACGCTTGCCCCAGTATCTTGATGCTTTTGTTAGAGACATGGGAATGAGGGGCAATCGAGATCTACTCACTTGATGACGGCAATGTTGACCGGAGCGGTGGTGGTAGCCCGGTAGACGGACTCGTTAGAAGATGCCATTGTTATTTTTGACAGAAAAAGAGAAATTGAGGAAATTCCAAATGAACGAAAGGGGAGAAATGGGGGATCAGCGTTAATATTGTTTGGGGCGGTGAGGGCAAAATTATCTCTAGTTCCTGCTGATGCGCCGATAAATCGTCCACTCAATAACTCCAATTATTCAACGATGGGAGCCGGGGCAAGTACTCCCGCTGCAGAGCCTCCTGCAACATGTCCAGTTGATCACAAGACTCGTGAGATCTGGCTACAGCAAAATGGCAAATCACCGCATCCTTCGGACTCGGAGGCACCTGCCGATCAGGGACAAAAACGCGCCAAATTGCAACGACCACTATCAACAGATCGCGAAGTGAGCACGATACCCCGAGCAGGTGACTTCAGCGCCGACAGCGCCTGCCCTGAGGCCAAGAAGGGAGCACCATCTCCATATGCTGCCTCGCACGGCAGCCCGTCCAATGCCGAATCCGAGACAGGCCGTGACGAGGCTACCGGTAACTGGATCTACCCATCTGAGAAACAATTTTTCGAAGCTTTGATGCGCAAGGGCAACACCCCCGGATCTACCGAAACCGCCTCGGAACTTGCGACCTCCGTGGCCTCGATCATTCCAATTCACAACGCCGTCAATGAACGCGCATGGAACCAGATCCTCGAATGGGAGAAAAAGGGCCCCTCAACAGACCCCGGGAGCACGAAGTGCGGAGGACCCAAATTATATTCCTTCCGCGGACTGGGTGTCGATCCCCAGTATCTGAGTCCGCGTGCGCGGATCAATGGATGGCTTGGCTACCAACATCCATTTGATCGACATGACTGGGTTGTTGAACGGTGCGGAGGCGAGAAGATCGAGTACGTTATCGATTTCTACCAGGGCAAGCCAGTAGGAAACAATGGAAACTCGGGTCTGGCAGCCAATGCCGGTCCCGGGAAGCTCAGTTTCTTCCTCGATGTTCGGCCCAAGTTGAACACTTATGAGGGTTGGAGGCTGAGGTTCAACCGCTTCACTGGCCTATGAACATGCCACTGGAGAGATGGGATAGTCTCCCGCTGCACATAGAAAGGCGATAACGGAGCATAGGCAGGATTTGGGACCCGGTTGGGTGTATTATGCATGTATAACAACATTGACTTTTGTACGATATTGTGCTAGAGCATTGAAAGTCAACAATGAATTAAATGTTCTCCATTCCATTTACATTGAATGTGGAAGTCAATTCGTAAGCTAGAAGGGTGAGTTGCTTCACCAACAGAACAAAAGTCGAAGAGGATCATGCAAGAGGGATATCGTGCGCATACATGACAGGGTAGAAAGACAAGGATCGCATGGTTGAACGGAAAGCAAGAACGAAGAGAACCGTAAGCACACAATTATCCAAGGACGATCGCAAGGACGATGATAAGAAGGATGACAGCAAGAATCACGAACAGACAGCATGCCCTGTTGCGTGCATTCTTCTGATATCTGCTGGCACTGCGCAGCTCGACGTTGGCACCCCGGGTGTCTTGAGTGACGTTCTGGACATTTTCACTGATGATATCCAACTGACCGCCTTGTTCGGTGACGATGTGGGCAACATCTCGGAACAGCTCGTTCAGTTCTCCCACACTCTGTTCAATGTTACGGATCTCTGTCTCACGCTCGATAATAAGGGACTCCTGGAAGTCCACCTCGCCCTGGTTGGCCATACGATGTTGTTCCTCCAATTGCTGCTCTTGTAATTGCACATCGGTGTCGATTAATGGTTGTTCGCCATCTTCGACTGCCGTACGGGCAGCAGCTGCCGAAGCACGCTGTTTCTCAAGCGCCCGGCGTTGTACTGTTTGGAATTCATCCAAGGTGGCCTTAAATTCAGACGATAGCTTCTGTTGTGTCCACTTCTGGGAGGGCTGGTAGAGTCAAAGTCAGTGTCAGGCGTTCCAAAAAGCAGGGGAATAAGTTGAGCCATACATTCACATCTTCCCAGGTCTGGACCTTCTTGATCCCTTCTCCTACATCCTTGAACCCCGCACGGGTCTCCTCCAAGAGATTATGAACTCGCTCGCGCACACGTTCGGTGTCTCGCTTAGTTCCAAGAAGGGCGATCTGGTTAGACAGGCGAGAAATGTTGGAAGTCAATGTAAACAACTGATCAGAGAGCGTCTCGGCCAGATGATCGAAGCCCGGATCGTCGCGGTATTGCGGGTCTTCATCCCTGCGCATAGTGGTAGGCTGTGCCTCCAGCGAGTTGAGGCGATCAAAAGACATGACAGCGATACGTTAAAGTAATGAGTGTCAAAAATGAAGGTAGAAAGAGACTGGATAAGAAAGCAGCTATCTGCAGGTCCCTGCTGCCTTCGCCGGCAGACCGCCCTCACATGACGTACAGTAACCACTAGTCTAAATGAGGCTAGTACGCTGTGGCTTAATGTTCGCTGTGCCACATATCACATGACTATTGTGGCTGGTGTGTTTTGATGCCTCAAAATATTCCATCATTGACTTGGCCGTTAACTGATTCCGACCAGCTCAACCCAACCCGCTGTCAGCTGTGACTCTCCGTCAACATTGTCGCCGGCTTGCCAATTCCACCCTGCAGCTCCAAGGCTTTTCCCTAGGATCGTCGCTCTGACCATGCTCTAATCTTTCTCACATTCTCTTTCACGAGCGCATCCCACCCTAAGCTTGCATCATGGCCGCTGTTCGAACTCGGCCGTACAGGCGAATCTTGACCTCGGCCTTGCACCGAAGATTTGTCCATGCGTCTGCACTTTCACTACTAGTCTGCTATCTTGTTGCGATTCTCATTGGGAATAAATCATCCTGTAAGTATTTTTCAATCTTATGGAGTCGAGCTTCGACGCTTGGTTCGTTGCCCCGAGAGCGTACATTGCTAACAATTATGACTGAAACAGGGCTTTGGCTATGGTTTCCCATTGGCACTTGCGGTATTCGAACCGCCATGCTCTTCCTTTCCTGCCTCACCGTCTTCGTCCTTCGCGTCAGTCAAATGCACCTCGGTTCGAGAACGTCTGCCTCGTCATTTGGCATTTTTAAGCAATTCACTTTCTTTCAAATCGCGCAAACATTTGGCTGGTACATCTTCTCGGCCTGGTGGTTCACCCAGATTTATATCTGGTCGTCTTCGGCGGGTAATGATCTCCAGCTCGTGAAACGGGGGAGGTATGTTAATCGTCTCCGGATTATACAAACATTGGACTAATGAAATTCAGGGTACCCGAGCGAGTGACTATGAACGAAAGACCAATTTACCTTCATTTCTACCACTTCACCCTCGCATGTGTACAGGCAGCGTGGCACCTGTACTCCGACTACGACCGTGTCCCTTTGCCCATCGCGGACCGAAGTTCCAGAACAGACGACCAGCGCATTCACCCGGTACAACAAACGTCGAAGTATCTCCAGAGAACTTGGATGCAAACATTGCAAGATGGGGGTATCAGGAGTACGTTCGTCGCAGGTGCTACTGTTCCTGTGTACCTCGTCTTTTTCCGCCAGACTGTGTGGAGCTGGTTTTTCGCCTTCGCCCGGACTTATGCGGACTTCCCAAGGTCTGCAGCCGATGTCAGGGGCTTCTTTCCTCCAGATCCCATCACCACGTTCCTCCGGACAGTGTACACGGGAGCGCTGCTTGTTATTCTCTGGGAAACCACCAACCTCTCTTTCTCGGTGTTCATCGGCAAGGAGCCTCTGAAGCGGGGCCAGCCACTCACGACAGACGCCAAAGATCCCAATGGCAGCCTTCTCAACGGTCTCAACGCAAAGAAGGAGATTGTGAGGACTTTCGCACTCTGGGAGCTCGGGTTGATCAGCCAGCGCAACCCCGAGCGGCGCAAGACTATTTTCAGTGAACTTGATCGCGAGAAGGGCTCGACTTGGAGTCAGGTTCTGGTTAGTCTCACTGATGTCATCAAGGGTGTTACCGTCCGAATCGAGCAAATTACGAAGCCCGCTCCCGTTGCCCGAGCATCACCGCAAGCCAAGCCATCGGATCCTGTTCTTCAAACTCTCCCGCGTCTCACCGAGCCCCTAAAAGACCAGAACGTCTTTTCTGCTGTCCCAAAGGCTACTTCCCGACAGGACAAATTCGGCGATGCGTTCAGTTCAACTGCGAAGTCTTTTGGTCAATCCGAAGACTGGACTCCAACTGCACGTGCTCGAATGCGTGATGCTTTTAGCCAAGCATCCTCGGCCGTGTTGAGCCCCGAGCGGAAACAGAGACTGCTCGGTTCTTCTGAGAAGATAAAGCTTTTGACCGGCGGTCCCTCTACTACCCACAAACCCGAGGACATCAACCAGTTACTTGCACAATTCCTTCGTTCGCCTATTGGTAGACCATTCCAACAGACCTACGCCAAACGTCTATCCTCGATTGTTCTCGGTGCCCCGGTGTCTTCCTTGTCTCCTATTGTTGATGCGGTGGAGTCGTTGACTAGGCTCCTGACTGCCAGTTTGGCTGAAGACCCGTATGGCAAAGTCCAGGCCGACATACCCCCTACAGTGCGTCTTCTTACTGACACCATTCTTACTCTGGACGCATTTATCCACCAGGGTGGTTTGGATGCTCACTGGACAGATGTCGACTTCCCCTCCTCTAGCGAGCCTACAGCGCAGGCTAAAGCTCGCCAGGTCCCTGAGGTGGAGCTCGTGCTTGACACACTCCGGGGTAGTCTCAAGGACCTATTGGCAGCCTTCAAGCCTTACTTGCGGGATATTGGTGTCGTGGGCAAGGATTTGAGGCTGGCAAAGGAGGCAGCTGCCATTGACGCGGAGGATTCATTATGATCAATGCTCGTCGTTTTTGTTCAATTTCTTTTCTAATCCTCACTATATTTCATGATTCCTCATACAAAACCTCATGTATTGTTCTCGGTAGTATTGTCCGATTTGGTCTTAGTGGACAGATGCATGGTTTGGCGTTCTGTCAAGATGGGCGTGGGTGTGGGCTGGGATACAATTCAGCTAAGTGAATCAATGCCTTTTGCTTCCATTAATAAGATCGCCTTCATTTCATTCCAATTTAAGCTTGTGTAAAATTCCCTTTTCTATAGACAAGAGGTGTTGCTCCAAGTATGAGTCACATGACGGGCATTTCCCATCCAACGCCTCGACAAGCCAACGACACTTGTCCTCGAACACGTACCGGAGCAGCAACAAGGATTCGAAAAGTATTGGAATAGCACGGAGGAGTCATCCATCCTTGAACCATGTCATTGACCAACGTCTACCATGTGCGTCGCGTGGCGGATACCTCGGCAAAAGCGTGCCTGATCTGCTACAAACCGTCAACCAGCGTGATGGTCACGCCAGACCACAAGGTACGACGAAATAGACATCCTCAGTGAAGAGAAAAGTTCAATTATTGCTTTCCCAGTCAAACTGCTAATTATCATGCATACAAGTGGCTAATTCACCCTCCAGGACTTCTTCTACGTGTGCCCCGCACATCTGCAAGACAAGCACTTCTGCTCTCCAATAATCGACACAGAAGGCCAAGCAGCACGCGCCAAAGAAGAAGCAATGGCGAAAGAAATTGAAATGGTCAAAAAAGAATATGAGGAGAAGCAACGACGAAAGAAAGAGCGCGAAAAGGAGTCAAGCAGAGAAGATAAAGAGGACAAAGCCAAGAGTAAAGATGAGTCTAAAGACAAGGACAAATCCAAAAATTCAAATACGAATGACGAAAAGGAAAGGGATGAGAGGGTTCGTACCTGCAAATGTTGTATGACCGTGCTAGCTGACTCTTTGGAAGATCGCTTCTATTCAGAAAGGTACCGGAATAGAGAAGAAAACGGATGATTCACCACGAGTTTTCGCTTTGCATAAGTATGAGATTTACAACCGTTAACTATGATATGGCGATTGATTTCTAACTGTTATGCAGGAATTTCTATCAGATGCGTATCGACCGGCAACGAAACATAGAAATAGCGAAGCGGAATCAGGAAAGACTGAAGAACCCTTCATTATTTCCATCTGTGCCGTCAGGAAATCCTTGATTCTCTGGGTTACTGTTTATTTACATGTTATCATGCTACTAGATGACAAGGCCGATATGCCTATTACATGATAAACCATCTCTTCGATCAAACTAGCGCACGAAGTTCTTACTCCAGCAGACATGGGTACAATACCGTCTACATTGACTGGCTGCCGATTTATATCAAACGACTCATGGACTACACGACTCCAATACTGACGATCCTTCACCTCAATTTATCTCGACAGGGTTGCGGAAACCAACGGATGCAACCAGACGGGAACTATCAAATCATGAAATTCCCATTCCATCACACCTTGACAAATACTCGACTCCAAGCCAACCTCCGGCACAATATCCGTCGATTCATACTACATCTAGCAAACAGCGGTTACCCAAACTCGTGAGGTTGTATTGGCCCCAGTCCATGCGCGGGGCACCGTTTCTCGGGCACATGTACAATATCCCAACACAAATATCTGAAACCAAGCTGGTGATCCTGCACGATGCACAGGCCAAACCCCAAACTCTATCCCTATCCATTCCTCTCTACTTCACCCGCGTATTTGTATATACCAAGCCCCCAATTTAGATCAAGCAGCCTAACAACATAAGTCTGTTCTCGATTCCCGCCCGGGCAAACAAAGATCTCCCTCACATACACCACAATACAAAACCACTAGGCTTCAGGTGACCATCATATCTTATCCTTCACAGAGTGGGGGTAAATAAGCGCTAAAGCGAACCCTGCTTGTAATTGAGGCGAAGCTCATGAACCCCTCCTGGAGGCCATGTCAGCCCTAGTAGGCTACTTCTTCCCTAGCTTCCTTCTGTGGAACCGCTAGTACTGTATTGCAGTGGCGTAACGTGTAGGCTGTCATGCATGTGAGGCTTGCGCGTTTTCCTTGGGATGCATTATACATCATGTCATGCAAGGTAAGTTGAGGTCGGATCTTGAAGATGATTCATTTTGTTCTATTCTTAGGGTTTCATGACCTGGGCTTGCTCCGGTTTACTGTGTAAGAGGGGCTGTGTAGTTTTGGTTTTATTCTTGATTCTATACGGAGTTTCGAGTTTGGCTTTGTTAGCTAAGGAGCACACTATGGTTTTCGATTTGACTGTAGTCTAACTTCGCAGTTACTACATAGTACACGAGGGATTTACGGTTTTGTTGCCTGAATGCCAGCTAGTTACTCATCACTTTGTTGATATCTATTTGGTTGGTGGTTGGCTAATGATCTCCAGTCTTGATCATATGCACAATCCCCGATATTGATTATCATACTCCAAGCCCCTCATCTAGACAGCTAATGTTAGTTTTGCTTTGCTGGTTTCATATGAAAATTGAGCAGCCTGGCAATGCCACAATCTATAATTAAGTAAATGGCATGCGCAAAATGACATATGTCTCTCTTCAATGCACCGAAACAAAGTAACTTACCGGATCTAACCTGTTGTTTGGGTGCTACTTGGCAGGTCTAGACAATGGACACCCCTAGAGGGACTAAAAGCCGACTAGGACGGCACTATGTACACTAGATGCTTTTAGATTACTTGGTAGCGCGAAACTGAAATAATGAATCAAGGCAGACACAAATGCGCAACTTGCATAAAAACATGTGAGTCAGGTATTTCACTATAGTAAGTTAGTCAATGGTCTTTTTTAGACCTGCGTGTCACGCACCTTTACCACCGATTTCTTAAGGTTGAATGGTCAATTAAAATAAGTAAATCCCCTGAGTCGATCCAGGTTATTCTATTCATGCTTGTGGCCTATACCTGTAAACATCTACTCGGCAAGCAAGCAGTGAACGAAGCACAGGGCTGAAGTAGTACACAGTAGCCATGGACAAGAGATACCAACCAACAATCAACAAACCAATCAACGCATCACATATAAATCCCAGGCAAAACGATTGTATCAGACCTCTCTACGGTAGAGTAAAAAGAAAGAACCAATTCGAAACATTATCAACCCAATCACACCCAAAACCAGTACCAGCACCAGCGCCCGACAACAAACCAACTCACCAAGCCCGATCCCAGACAAACCTGAAACAAAGTTGCATAGAAAAACACCAGCGATCGACAAGCGATCCCAACCCCATTTAACGCCAAACTATGTAATGACGCAAATAAAAGGCAAAAAAGGATGTGTATCCGTAGCCTAGCACCAACCAGCCCAGACCAGACCAGATAGGAACTCCACAGGGAGCTCCCCCCTGCAAGGCAGTGCACTGCCCCACCCCCACCAGGTAAAAAGTGACTGCCAATCACAGGATACACTTAAGATACCTGTATATATGATAAAATGATGTATTGAATAAGACAAACAGTAGAACAAAGAAATACAGTAGTCATATCTATATAGGGCTACACACACTGTACCCAGACAAACAAAACAAACAAAGTCAAAAAATACAGTAACAAACATACACAGTACATACACGTAATCCCAATACACTGCTCTAACCAATCGGGCTCTGGAGGAACAGACCCGCTTTGCACAGCCTCCTTCTTCAAAAACCTTGGAAAGTCGACAGGGGAAATGAATTTGATTCTTTTGGCGTTACGCTGATCTCTGCTGACAGCGCTTCATGCTGTGGAGAATGCGTTTGTGATCTGGGTTTTTGGGGAGCCTTGGCGCGCGACTAAACTAAGTCTTTATAGGCTTGATCTTATTCGTGTATACTTTACATAGTATCCGGCAAGGCTACGAGTTAGAGACGTACTTGTACTTGTTTCATGTTAATGGCAGCCCTAGGGTACAGAATAGGTATATAAGTTACATGTACATTGTATACATGTGAGTACGTGCATGATTCGAAATAAGGCTCTAGTTGCGTGTCTCATATCGCCGACTGCGGTGTGACTCCAATATCTGGAGGTGGGTTTACAAGTTTTGCTTTGCTTTGCTTTATTTCGCCTTGTGGGACGATGAAGATCGGAGGCGGAGGCGGAGGTGGCGTGGCATGGTTCTACCGTATCTTCTTCTTATCGCGTGTATGTTTTTGACTTTCGGTGGGCTGATGCCTTGAATTCTCCGTTATCAAGGAGACACGGAACCAGGGGCACGTCAGCAGAGCCGCCGAGTGTGTTGCCTAACGTGTGCTTCTAAGTTTGTGGCTTTTTGTAGATCATGGGACAGGGGAGATCTGTCAGTATGAGTACTGTACAGTATCTGGTCTGGGTTTTTTGGAGGCGGGTGTTTTCGAGCCTCAATTTGAGATGAATGCCTGTCTGCATATTTAGGTTCGTTCGTATCTGAAAAGGGATTCTAGGCAAGGCAGTCGTGTTTTCATGAACTGCCATTCTCAGCGGGACGCGTGGGAGGCTGTGAAATGCTTGGTTGCCTTGTTGGCAACCTGGATGCCCAAACTGTGAGCTTCGTGGACTATCACGCCCACCTTGGAATATACCACATTAATAAATGACAAGACCGGTGAAGGGTTTCCGGCACATGATGACCAGAAACAAAAACCATGCAACAAAGGACGAAGTGTAGAACAGAAGTTGGGTGTTACGCTTTCATGAGTCGTAAATCTATTTATGCATATGATGTTCGTCACCTGTCCTCTCATAGATTACCACGCCCGTTATCATTAGATTCTGGAGTCCGCATGCTCGGAGGAAGACGGATAGCGGGGTTAGCTCTTGGGCCCTGGGCAACGTTGACTTGATTTGCGATGTCAACTCTCGCCTTGGCAAGACCGATAGCAGGCACAACCCAGTGGTTACAGCTGCATTGCATGCCCTGCCATGCGAATTTGCCGATATTAGCCCCGCAACCAGAATTAGGACAAGTCAAGCGACCGGAGAGGGGAGCATCATCGGGATGAGCTCCATGTGTTGCACCGGCGGCAGGCTCGGATGCATCCTCGGATGGGAAGAGACTCGGGCGCATCCATGTCAGGGGGTGAAGGAAGACATGGGCGCAGTCGGCGGACGGGTTGATCTTGGCGCTGTTTTGCTTTTCTTGTTCATGCGGAATGATGAATGGGGTTGTTGCCAATTTGCGTCTGTGGATATAGGGTTAGCGGATTTGGTCCGTGTTTCACTGTAATAGTAAATCTAGATCAGGGGTGGGAACTAACCTGCATTTCCGGCATTTGATCTCAACTGTTTGACCGGTGCTTTCTTGGGATCGCATGGGTTGTTCATCTTCGAATCGCACCGACTTTAGCTCTGGGGCTCGACCACACGCCACGCTTTCCTCGACGTCGCGGCGATATAGCCAGCGCTGGTACAATGGATGCTCGGTGACATTATCTGGACAGCCCATTTCATGGTACAACTCGAGCTGCTCCATAAAGCCATCATTAGGTTCACAGAGGGGCCGGGTTTCGCGGACCAGCGCAAGGGCAGACTGCGGTGTGAGCGCCCGGGGCTGGCGGTGGAGCAAGTAGGCGATGCAAATGGTTGCGGAGCGGGACTTCCCCATCGCACTGGATCGTCACATCAGTCACTGTACATCTTTCCATATCGAGCAAGTCTGATCCGGCTCGAAAATGCCCAGAAAGGGGTCCAGCATGCATCTTGGGATTTGCAGGATACTTCAGCCACGTGTAGATCGCAATTGATATACACGAGATGACGTAGGAGGCATGGAGCCACATGTATAGCTGACATCCACCAGACGATAGAGGAACAGCTGGAGAGCTGAGGGAAAGGAGAGAGACCAATAAAAGAATAATTCGGCTTGTTTTGACTCACCAGTGTACAAGTACGCCGCCACCGGTGTCTAGACCGGCTTGGATGAACTTGATGGCCGCAGGGAAATGTTCCAATAGATTATCGTCATCAGTATCATCGACTCCTATAGAGTGATGCTCATAGCCCTCAAAAGTCTCCTCTGATGGGTTCAGCCGTAGCACTGATAGCACGTGGGAGATATCTGCTCGATTCATTGCTGCTTTGTTTTTCAGGCAGAATATACTATATTCGGTGGGTTAGAAGTGTAAAAAAAAACTGTCAAACACAGTGCTGGCAGCATCGATCGCCAGCCCCGCTTTTGGATATATCTGTTGCTGTAGTATCTAAATAACAAAATGAGACTAACCCGCCGACGTAGATATTGTGGCCTTTGATTTGATTCATGGCCATTTTGAAATAATGCTGCAACTGGGCAGCAGAGAGAGAATGTAGAAGACAGAAAGAGGAGATCAAAAGAAAGTAGAGAGAGGTTCTAAGAGTGAAGTCTGTAACTCTTCCCTACTTGGACAAGGCGGAGGTTGAGCCTCGGCGCTGCCAAACTCAAAAAGTCTGATAGGGCAAGGGTATGACAAAGCAGGTGACATTGGTGCCTCAGGCATCATTTTCGATGTCCTTTCATTTTACATTCTGTTAGGCTAAGTTTTGTGAATGAAAGAGAAATTTTGGCTATCTGCACTATCATGCTTTGGTGTTGAACAGTGACTTCTTTGAAAAGTTTATATTGCAAGTATAGGTTGATCTAGCACTCTAGAGTACCCACTGTATGAGGGGCTCCACACTTTGGGGATGGTTTTGTATACAAGCCCATCTACTTATAGTAAAGGCTACATACGAAATATGATCGTTCAAGCAACATATGCACTCTCATTCATTTCAGCCAACTACCCCTCTTTAATAATATAAGGCGTGTAGGGCGCTCACCAACTTAGATCCCCTCACCGACGGCCCGCCACTGTACCATCGTAACGCACACCTACAACTACACGCAAGCACTCAAAGCACAAGCATAATTGGATACGGAAAACACAAGAGAAGTCTAGCAGAGCGGTTTACGCCGTAATGTGGAGCGCGGTTTATCCCCAACACACATCAAACACTGGACCTTACCATGCTCCGATCTGATTTGTTCCAATAGCTGCAACGGTCATCACATAGCGAATGAAGGGCGAAGCCAGAGTTAGACTTGCCGCAGGGAACTCACAGGCTGACTGGGGCCGGTATTAACCTTGGAAGGAATAAATAACAAGAGGTGTGACTCGAAGCCATATACGGAGCACAGGGCAGCCATAGAGGACCGGGCGTCGCGTCATACTCTGGACTACAGGTGACATGCACTGCTAGGCTGCAGCCCTCTAGGGCTTAAGGCTGGCTGCGCCTCAGGAGGTGATGCGGTTAATTCGATCTTCTCCAGGGGCTGCTGACAGGCTGTGTAATCCCGGGTACGGAGTACAGGGCGCCTCTAGATGCCTCGTGCCTCACTTTGGAATATTTACAGTGACCTCTGATCATTTCCTGAAATGAATTGCAGAACAGACACACCGTGATGGAGTCTAGAGCTTAGCCAGAGAGTGGTGACGTCTTCAAATGGAGAGGGCTTCTCGCCTCCTGAATCCCAACTGGGGCTTGACGGCGACGATCGAGGAATAAGAAACTTTATTGCACAAGTGACTATCCCGCCACAGCGGTTCAATGCAATGAAGCAATGCAGTGTGGTGTTGTATTCGCCAAGTTCACTGCCACTCTTGAAATTGAGTCTGTGGATACTCCGTACTATCATACCATGTCAAACTACATGTACTGGAGCCTAACTTTCAGAAATTCCGTGATAGGCTGGGTTGAGATGCCCACCGTCAGGCGATCTGATATTGAATACAGTACATGCCCGTACATGCGCTAGAATAGGGCTTACTTTGTGCTTCGTATGGATCTCAGAGAACCCGTTACATCCCTAGCACTAGCCTACGTACTACAAGTGGTTTAGCGAAGCAAGATCCTTGGAAAGGAGGACGCTCAGAGATTTTTGTTCTGAGATTTTTGTTCTGGAAGCTCTGCTGGTGTGGAGACCCAGATTACTCATCCTTCCCTGCAGCCCTGGAGGTTTGTTCCAACGTTCCGATTTCTCCCTTACGAAGATCAGGCCAATCTCTGGAAGATTTTCGGAGAAACCACACTTCCCAGAGCATGTAGCATGTCTCTAGAATGTTCACACAAAAAAGGTTCACACCCCCTGCGCCCAAAAGACAAGCCGGCAGTGTGGCAGTGCATGCAATCTTAGGCGCCAAGTGGAGCGCACTAGCAATCAGTGGGTCAAAGTCCAACTCGTTGTCTGCTTTTTTATGTGGAGGCAAAAGAATGTTCTCTCAAGAATGTTATCTGAATAATCCGATTTGACTGGGTCCTGACCCCGTATTTCCCTATATACTTCGTACAGTTCAAGGAGGTACTCTTATGAAGAACATTTCATGAGTTCATGAGAGCCAGGAGATATTAAGCCTAAATGCCAAGACTTCCAAGCCCCCGGTGTATATTGTCACTGGCCGAAATTCTGCTCGAGACCCTGCCAATCTATACTTCATTCTTACAGAGGCGTGACTCCGCATTTGTGCCCCTCCTTCTTTTACAAGTTGGCCACCGCTAAACCATGGTTTTCGAAGGACGTGTCTCTCCTTGCCATAGTCGTTCCGATCCGTTCCTTTACCGAAAGGAATTCCCAGCCCTGTCGTCCTGTCAACCCTCGGTAACACTCACCTGGAAGTTTGACGGTAAACCCCTTTCTGGGAGCAGATCAAGCTGATGGAATGTCAAGGTCACATTTACGAGGCGTCCAATATACGAGTGACAACCCCACTCTCAGGTTTACCGCACGGGGAGCCATCCTGCGATGTTCTGGTTGGTTTCCCGTCAATAATGTGAAGACTCCATATGGGGTAGAGAGCACTTAGATCAGCGGGGAGTCTGGACTTCACTTACCGAGAAATAGTATTTTCTGGAAAAGCCAAGCAGGTGCGCAGTTGGAACCACTAATTTGTTGGCAGAAAGGGGGCAAAAATACGAGCCGGCGCGTCCGTTTAAGGCTGAGGGTCTAAGAGGGTTTAGGTCCCAGCCTTGTGTCATTCCAACGTGGTTCTTACCACGCGGGTAAGAATTAAGATTTAGCCTGAAAATATAATATAATAAATGTAAAGATGAATTCAAAATTATTAAATCAACATATACATAACTAAAATGTAAAATAATAAATTCTTTTCGAATTTGGTATCCAGGTATGTAACGTAAAGAACATTACATACATATACGTCCCGTTGCCTCTCCACCACGTCACCTCACAACACTTTAAGTCCGAGACCTGCTGTTTCAATTTCTCTCGCTTGATTAGTCGAGACTCTCTCTCCCTTGAGCCCATCTCTTGACTTGCCTGACTTGCCGATTTCCAGACTGCATTCTCCGGTCTAACATTCTCTCCGCCCCTCTCAGCTCCTCTCAGCTTTGTACCTTTTCTGGGCTTCAGCTGGGCCCCGAATTAGAGCTCTTTTATACTGGTCCTAATTTGCCTACATAGCCTCTTTTTCCCTTTTTCTTTCTTTTCTACATAAGCATGTGCGCGTCTAGTCCGGTCTGCCATTGAATCACAAATTGATTCTATGGCCGGATTGTGTGTCACTATAGCGGGAAACGTTTCATATGAGGCGAATCGCCCACGCCCCGAGGTTGGTCCTTTATTCAGCCCTATTCGCCCCCGGTTTTTTTTTATCTATAATTCCGACATAATCTGACTTGAAAAACAGACTTGCACTGCACGAAGGCCCTGACTTAGACTCTGTCGCGCCACTCTTCACTGCTCTAAAAGAGACAAAAGCTGGCCTTTCCACACTCTCATCGCGAGGTTAACGGCCCGCTTAAAAATCGGAGCTGGTTCCACGGCCGACGTTTGCACTCAACTGGATTGGGTTACTGCTGCAAGGATCTTGATTTGGCCTGCTTATTTCCCATTGCCATCTAGTTCGACCTCCGATCTCAAGTCCATGACGTCCAGCCCGTATTGATTCTTTGGGTTTAGCTCTGGCTCTAGAATGGACTTTCGATCTTCGCATTCGAGTATTTATGATTTTAGAGATCGCCGTGCCTTCGAGAGATCTCCAACCGCTATGCCCGAGCTGTCATTTGCATCGCACGGTCCATTACCTATAGCTTCTCGATCTACCATGAACACTGCTCCGCCACCACTTCCTCCCCCTCCCAGGATCCACGACCTGGAAAACGGGTATGACGCTGGCTGGCATCACGCAAATTCGGATTCTTCAACTTCTCTCCCGCCTATCAACCCCAATTCTAGCCTATTTGGCGGCCATCGACGACCCGAGGCTGCGCCGCAGAGTGATCGTATGCAAATTGATGAATGTGAGGGGAGGCAGAGCGGTGCCCCCCTCTCGCGAAGCCCCGAAGCTCAGATTAACATTGAGCCGCCTCCCGCCACGGAGGGATTACCAAGTTTAATGTCGATCAATACGAATCCGACAGGTCCAATGTAAGTGACTTTTGCGCAAGAGCTGCGTATGCGGTTTGGGCAATGCGCTTTTCCCCAGTCTTCTTGTTACTAATCTTGTTATAGCCTGAGTGGCGAGCGCGACTTTTCCCTGCGGAGTGTGAAGGACTCATCAAATGCATACGACCAACATCTCTTATCAAAAATCGGAAAGCCCCTTTCGCCAAGGGGGTCTATAAGTCTAGGAACAGATAACCGAGGATCACTATCCGCACTCACCGTTCCATCCGTTCCATCAAGATGCTCCAGCAATCTCCCCTCACCAGGACCATCAGAAGGATCAACACTTGACGTGAAATGGTACAACAGCCCGCAATCAGGGGGCGTTTCGCCCATGACTAAGCCCGGATGGCGAGAACATATCGAAGGTCGAAGCCCAAGTGTGGAAAGCAACACACCATCAACGGCGCTGGACTACGATCAGGGATCATTGCGGGATATTGGGCGGCGGCGATATCGCGGAACGACACCCCAGCGGGAGGATAGCATCAGTCTACCGAGTCGATCGAACCGCGGAAGTTATGACCATGGCATGTTTTCGGATATTGAGGGGGAGTTCTCGACCGATGAGCCGGCGCCACCGCGGCAGTTCATTCTTCGAGAGCCCACTCCGCCGTATCCGGATTCAAGGCAGGGCATGAAGCGACGGGCTTCTTCGCCTCCGCGGGAACCTCTGAGTGATGAGAGGCATACGCTGCATGTTACGACGAGTAACGGCGATTTGTCGCAGAGAAGGACTAGCGGTCATCCATTCATGAATACTCTGTCCGTCAATCCCAATTACCCCATCGGCCAACGGACGCTCTCAGCTGCTTCGTCTTTGAGTATCCGGACGTCGGGTTCATATTCGTCTACGCTTTCCATTGGGGGTAGCAGCATGACTAGCCTTTCCCCGTACGATCAACGATCACCGGGTGGTCTTTCCCCGAGCTCCGACCTCGATACCTATCACGAAAAATCGATCCTCAACCCTAGTTCCCCTGCAGCACTGATCCAGCCAACAATCGCAAGGGGTCTCCCCGGTCCAGCCTCCCTCGAACCGCCTACAACGGATGCCAACGGGAAATTGTCCGTGCCAACGACGATCCTGAACGTTTCAAAACCCGCAACTTCAAAACTTGGCGGATTATTCATCTGCGATTGTTGTCCAAAGAAACCCAAGAAATTCGACAACCCAGATGACCTCCGGTAAGAGCCCACCAACCCCCTCCCCCAAACATGTATACTAACTCCAAAATCAGCTCGCACGAAATGGAAAAACAGTATGCATGCGCCTACTGCAACAACCGCTTCAAAAACAAAAACGAAGCAGAACGCCACCAAAACTCCCTCCATCTTCGCCGCCACTCATGGTCCTGCGCCGCCCTCATCTCCTTCCAAGCTGCATTCCACGCCTCAGGCGCCCAATCCTGCCAAACAAACGCCGGTCCATCGCACGATACATGCGGCTACTGCGGCGAGGAATTCCCCAATTTCCCTTCGCCGGATTGGGATGCCCGGTTCGAGCATTTGACTACTGTGCATAAGTATGGGGAGTGCAATAATGCTAAGAAGTTCTTCCGGGCCGATCACTTCCGGCAGCATTTGAAGCATAGTCATGCTGGTACGAGTGGGAAGTGGACGAATATTTTGGAGAACGCTTGTATGAAGGAGGAGCAGCCTGATAAACCCCGGGATCAGAGCGGGAATGGGAATGGGTCAGCGGGGGTCTGTCGTCGAATGCTATTACCGAGGTTCTGAGTGAGCAATGACCTGACCTATCTGTGTCTTGTCATTTGATATCACGGATTTCGATAGTGACCAAAAGTTGGCACGCTTATCTCTACAAGGGACCTGTGGACTTGTCTGAACATCGACAAGGATCAAACGTGCCGCCATCCTCATCTCACATATGTTGCTAAAACAGTATCACCATCATCACCGCCACCACCTCACTCAACATCCGACCAAAGACGACACACAAACTTCTCTCACACGGCCTCAAACGCACCAAAAAGTGAAATCAAAACAAACACCTCGCCCCAAAAGCCCCTAGGGCAAATACCAAATAACAAATAACGAAGTGAAACGATCATTTGAAATTAAACCTTCCAATCCAATCCAAATGGAAAGACGAAGGCAAGGCAAAGGGAGTTGGAACAGGAAACTGGGCTGGGATCTTTTAAAGCTGTGAATTGGATCAAATACTCTGTGTATACCTGGTGCATTGTCCGGGAGGATTCTTCATTCTCATTGTCATTGGACATCGGTGGAGTCGGTTTATGTTCATGGTTTCTTTTCTATTGAAGCGGGAGGGAATTGATATTACAGTATTTTCTTCTGGTCTGTGTGTTCTCTTCTTTTTTTTTCCTTGTCGTGTCTTTCTTTTTGTCTTTCATGGCTGCTTTTGTTTGCGTATATATATCCCCTCCCGCTTATACATACGCTCTTGTTGGAATGGATTGAAGTGATTCGGGGCGTTGTATATATAGAATCCTTTTTTATTTTCTCCTTGCATGGTAGCGTTTACAAAAGACGTCGGGTTTGAATGTATTTTTGAACTTTTCCAGATGAAAGTAGATGTACCACTCGGCGTTTTCTTGTAAAAAGAAACTATAATCACAGACTGATACCACCCGTCTCTACAATCAAACAGATAACAAGCAACAGATACAAAACCAAACCCTCATCTACTCAGTAACACTATCCTTAATACCCCTCAAAGCACTCGTCTTATGCGCCGGATCGATAGCAGCGGCATTCCTAGCCCTCCTCCGTGCGTCAGTCCAAAGCATAAACTCACCATAACTCTTAGGCATAACATGCACATCCTTCTCAACAAGGAAAGTATAATTAAACATGCCAGTAGACTTTTTAGACCCATGCTCAACATCTCTGACCTTGGAATCAACACGCACCTGCACCTTCGTGTACTTGGTGCTATCGCCCTCGCGCTCTTCGGGCTCCGTGTACGCAACTGTAGCACGCAGGTACAGCACGCTACCGACGGGCACTGGATTTTCAAATGTGCTTGGATCCAGAGCGAGGAAGTTGGGCCGCGCGTGCGAGAATGAGGCTGCGCAGCAGAAGGCTAGTTCGAAAGATTGTTTTAGCAGGAAACCGCCGAAGATCATGAAGTTGTGGCGGTTGCGGTCTTGGGGTTGCATTATCATGGCGGATTTTAGGACGGTGTCGCTCATGAAAACTTGGTTTTCTGGGCGGGTTGAGGGGTTTGGGTGTCTGGGGGTTTTTGTTAGTTTTGGGTGGTAATTGGGGCCTGGGGGTTACTTACTTAGGTAGGACATTTCCTTTGTCCACATTGAATGGATTAGATCACTCTCTTCGTCGTCTGGGGCTCTCTCGAGGAGACTGCGCTTGCGGAGAGCTCTCTTGGCTTGGTAGTTTGCTTCGCCTTTCTTAAAGAGGCGCTTTTCCTCTTCGGTTTCGACGACGAGAGGTGCCACAGGGACGGGACTGACACAGAGGTTAGCTTGTGTAGTGCACATAATGATGAGGAACATACGTCTTGGTGGCCGGGTCTAAGGAGACCATTGTGAAAGCACAAGTGATGAGGACGTCATCGGGCTGGGCCGGCTGCCCATCAGAACGGACCTTGTTGACCTGGCACGAGATCTCCATACTTGAGCGACCTGTTGCGTATGTGCATTGGCCACTGAGCTCGAGATCGCAGATCTCCATCAGTGGGTGCTCGATTGTGATTCGGTCTACGGCAGCTGTGACGGTTGACACTCCATCGCCGGTATGTTGGTAGGCAATAATGCCTGCCAGGGCATCAAGATCCATCAGCAGTGATCCCAATCTGTTGCTACGATTAGTGACATGCTCCTTGATAACTTCGATCTTGAACACACCTGATATGCCCTGAGGAGTTGAGGTAGGAATCCAGAAGCCACTTGTCTTGAGCCAATGGCAAAACCTATAATATCACTGGTCAGCAGCCGCCTAACAATACAAAATAAATCCTAATCCCCACAAAGATTAGTAACATACAGCACTGTAAGCACTATCAGACATCTTCTTCGGCGTCAAATCAGGCTTAATAACTTTAGCCGCATTCTCCTGCGAACCAGCCTTAGCAGCCTCGCGACTCTGAGTCAACGCATCAATCCAAGGCGTCTTAACACGCATCGGCATCCAAGTCGGCCGGGATGCAGCCTGTGCAGACGTGGAATGAAACTCCTGGATGTTGGCGCAGGCAGGCTGTGTTGCGACCATGGCTCGCGCCGGCAATGAGGGAGTCAGGCATTTTGAGCCAGCAAGTGCTGACCGTCTACTTGCGAGACCGAACATTGTGAATATGGGGGTTTGATGTGCTTTCAGAGAATATAAAAGGAACAGAGCTGGACCGCGTATTGACAATGACGTTCCCGAGGATCCCGATGTGGTTAGCCGCCGACGGGGATTCTCGGATGCCGACGAAAATGCCGAGCTTCATACTTCCGATTTCTTAGTAAATGCCGCATTATTTTGCCCCTTATTTGTTGGTTTCTGGGGTATTTGGAGAATTACGTTTGGATTGTCCCGTATTCTCTTGGTTTGTCGGGTTGGGCGAACTTAATGAGAAATCGTGCCGCATGGTGGGCACTATGCAACACTCGAGGTTTTGGCTTCAGTCGAACTTTTTATAGAATGGTCGACTTGTTTTCAAATCAAGACAGATATATAATGATTTCTCTTCCTATATGGATACGGGGCCGCCATAGCTTCACCTTAGCTTCAAGATCTGTTCTTTAAGCTCCTAGTTCCTATCAATGAGCTGAATAGAGACCAGAGACCAATAGCCAACAATTTTACTTTGACTGGTAACCCGCTTTGATCATGAATTGCGGTCCATCTTTTATGACGACTCACAATGAGAATGTCAATCGTCTACTCATGATGAGACACATATAGGCCAGCTGTTACTCTTGTTACTCTTGTTATATATCTCACCAGAGCGAGCCATCCCACAACATCAAGCACTCTCGGTCGATACCTTCCAGATAGCGCTCCACATCAATATAATCCAATTATGGTCCAGTAAATTTTCGTATCTTGTCCCTGTGCTGTGGATGAGTAATTGAGACAAAGCTTGGCCTGGGTATACACTTCGCTTTGTGAGAACAACAAATGGACTTCCCGGGTGACAATGATCACACGCTCACACAGTGTATCCATCGTAGTCAAGTAATATTTAGTTGTGTATTAGTTCTATTTGTCGTGGTACTTATTATATCCGTGTGTATATAAACAGAGCGTTGTCAAACGCGACCGATTGACCACTCACACAACTAAGCACCCGAGGTACCAAACATAGACTAGGTAGAGTACCTCCAATAAACTCCAATAAATAAACAAAGACGAGCGGTGAGCAGAGAAACACATTAAAAAACATCAGACCATCTGGATCTATAGGCACCGATACCAAGAGCTATCCAGACCATTAAGAAAACACAATCTGCTACGCAAAATAAGCAGTTAGCGCAGATCAAAGCGCAGATCCTAACCTAAACATTCACATCTTGCATAACTAAAAACAAGATCTCCGTGCCGAAGTCAGACCATGTTATGATGTTCTCTCGTCCGAGAACGGCCAACAGCGTCAAAATGAAGTCATCGATAAGATAAAACAGATCTATAAATTTGGCAGTTTCCATTTTTGAAGAAAACAATTATTCAACGCTTGTATCGGTTCAAACCTGATTCTGCAATTTGAACACTTTGAAAGCTGGATCTCATTGTAAATCAAAATGAGTGACCCCAACAACCCTCATATTAAAAACCGCACCACGCCCCAATGGGGTCTCTACCAGCGAGAGAACTTCTTGAAGCAGAATGAGGGACAGGCACCCCTGTTCAACACTGGTAATTCATCTACTGCAGGCAACAGGCAGCCCAGATACTAACCTGTATAAAAGACCCCCGAAAACTAGAAGAAAGAGCCAAAGAAAAGCTCAGCGAAGGCGGCTGGTACACATCCACCCACCCATCCAACCCATATATATATACCCAAACAATAAAAACTAACCAACCCCCCCACCAGGTTCTACGCCTCCTCAAACGCAGGCCTCTCAAACACACACCTAACAAACCGCCAATCCTTCTATCGCCACCGCCTAATCCCAAACCAACTAGTCGACACCAACAACCGAGACACATCCACGGACATCTTCAACCACAAAGTCTCCGCGCCCATCGGCTTCGCTCCAATAGGAATAAACAAAATCTACCACCCGTCCGGCGAAAGCGCCGTCTCAAAAGTCGCCGGCGAACTCAACCTCCCCTACTGCCTTTCCACAGCGGGGAGCACCTCAATCGAAGATGTGGCGGAAGCAAATGGAACCGGCAGCCCGCGGTTCTATCAACTATACATGCCGCACGATGATGAACTGACACTGTCACTCTTGACACGAGCCTGGGAATCGGGCTTCGATGCCCTGATTCTCACGACGGATACGTGGCAACTAGGCTGGAGACATGATGATGTCGCCTCATCGAATTACGCCTTTTACCGTGGTTTCGGCGCAGATTTAGGACTATCCGACCCCGTATTCCGGAAACGGTGCAAGGAAAGCGGGATTGATCCCGATGTCGATGTTGTCGGCGCATCCATCAAATGGATTGATTCCGTCTGGCATGGGCGTGCTTGGTCATGGGACAAGATCCCTTGGTTGATGGAGCAGTGGAAGCGGATTAGCGGTGGACGGCCGTTTGCTATTAAGGGGGATTCAGTCCGTTGCTGATGCACGGCGGTGTGTTGAGTATGGGGTTGATGGGATTATTGTGAGTAATCATGCTGGGCGGCAGGTTGATGGGGCTATTGCTAGTCTTGATGCTCTTGAGAGCATTGTTGATGCTGTTGGGAAGAAGATTTATGTTATGTTTGATTCTGGGGTTAGGGGCGCCAGTGACGTTGTTAAGGCTTTGGCGCTTGGAGCAAGGTTTGTTTTTGTTGGACGGTTGTGGATTTGGGGGTTGAGTATTGCTGGGGAGGAGGGCGTCAGGCATGTTATGAAGTCTTTGTTGGCGGATTTGGATATTCTTATGGGGGTTGCTGGGTTCAATGGGGTTGGGGATTTTGATCGGTCGATTCTTGGTAAGTTTGCCTTTGGTGCTTGGTCTTATGTTGGGATGGTTGCTGATTTGGATAGAGTCTGGTCCCAAGAATTACTCGTTGATTCCGCACAAGAGTCTGTGAAGGGGGATGAGAATGGGATATGGATAATAATTGTATTTGAGATATTAGAATTGACAGTTATTTCTATCATAAAAGTATGGCCTGTCTTGTACATGTAGACCCTGAACAATCCAGATGAAAATGCCAGCGACTTTTGTCAGGTAAAACAGAAACGTGGGGGTATCCAGCAGAAACGAGTGACATGTGCAGCTGATAAAACGACAAATAGACAGCGTCAACATATATGCTGGGACGGGTGTGCACCCAATCGTATGGACAGAAGTGAAGTGATGTGCATGAAGCGATAGCACGTAACAGATGAGCGAGAGTACATAATACAAGCGGAAGGTGATTGTCGCCAAATCAAAGTCGCTGAGAAAGAAAGATGGGCTAAAGTAAACTTCAAACGAAGAAAGCGCCGAGGATGACTGTGAACATAGACCAGCTAATGCCACGGGTGAGTTGTGTTGCAGAGCTGCCGGAGACTGTTGATATCGCGGCGGAGGAGGCGGTAGACACTGCTGCAGCTTCGCTAGCACTGGAAGCAGCAGCCGCAGCAGTAGGCGAGGTTGGGGGTGCAGTATATGTTCCATTACCCTCGGTTGAGCCAGAAGCAAGCGACCCGAAACCGATTTGCGCGTTGTCATAATCGAAAACAGTGTAGACATTCTTCAGGAACACATCGCCGACAAGCCAGGTGTCTGTTCCGTTGGATGCATAGCTCACAATGGTCGAAATGCAAGAGTCTGAGCCGGACGCTGTTGGCTTTCCTACATAATCTTTGGGCGAGACGGAATATTTGACACCCGAGAACTCGAACTCCAGTGTCGCATTTGTGTTGCATGGGATCATGTAGTTGCTGCCTGATGCAGATGAACCCGGGATAAGACCGAAGACGACTGCTGCGTCATCGGGGGGAATCAGAATGTAGGTGGTTCCGGTGTCGATTGTAGCGGATTTTCCGGAAAGCTTGCAAGCCTGGCCATTCACATAGGCGTCATCCAAGGGGATATTCCAGATGTCCGAGTCGGTGGCGGTGTACTTAATGCTCCCATCATATTTGGTTGTATCGAGAACGCCAAAGTTGACCGCTCCGTCCTTGGCGTCATCTGCTGCGCGAGATAGACTGAACCCGATAAAGTTGTTCTTGAGGTGTCCACTCTCAGCAACACGATCCATAAACGACGGAAGATTCCACCCGGCTGTGTGGGAGCGGCCTAGACCCAGAATCCCGTCAAATGGGTAGCTCTTGAAAGTGTCCGAGGCATTGTTTGCCTGGCCAAATTCCAATGACACATCAATGCCTGCGATTGAGAGAGTGTCTGTTCCCATTTGTCCAACGACGGTGCCACTGCCATAGCCGAGACTGAATGTCGAGCTGTTGGAGACGTAGCTGCTCGAGGCTGACCTGTCGAATGTGTGGTGCTGTGTGCAGACAGCCTCGGTGCATTCGGAGTCAAAGACCCACGTGTTGGGCGCACCGGTGTCGAGTGCCAACCACATTTCAGTCTTCTGCGAACCCACCAACACGGGGGAGAAGTAAGAGTAATCGGTTCCATCCTGGTTCAATGGCGCACTGTCTGCCATTGACGGCGTGTAGGCCTCGACGATCTTGTAAGTGTCATCGCGACGAACGGGGAGTTTCTTCAGGTCGAGTGTTGGGGGCTTTGTATCGGTGTTGTCGATCTTGGCTTCAACCAAGCTCCATGGCATAAAGCGACGCTGGATTGGCTCAACGGTACCGAGTTCCACCCGCAGTTCCCACGGATAGAAGGCGTGGACGCCGCTGAGGCTGGCAATGAGCAGGCATGATGAGAGACGCATGATCCCGAGGAGGGATTAGGTGCGGGAGAAGTGAGCCCGCATTTGAATCGAGTGGGTTCGAGGTTCGATTCGATTGTCACTATGAACGGTGGAGCTCGGGAGATGCGGAGAAGTTGAATTGAAAGCAACTGAAAGAGAACAACAAAAAAATCAAAGAACGAAACGAGATGGCAACGAAAGACCGGAATTAAAGAGTGGAAGTTGGAGGTTGGAGATAGAGAAGCAATGTGAGGGGGGTTTGAGGAAAATCCCCCTGGACAGAATAGTGGAGAAACAGTTCGGGCTAGAGGCTTCGGGGAATAGTTGGCGCCTGGATAGGAGCCACCTGTTGCTCTTTCAGGCTGCGATCAGCTTGTAAGCCGAGGCTAGTGAGGCGCTAAACCAAGCTCAATGCTCACTGAGTGGGCCAAAACTGGAAATGGAGGTCTGAGCATGCAACCATGATAGCGCTAACTGCCAAGTTTATTCACTTCATATTTGATTCCATGTCTATTTCTATACTGTTTATAATATGTCTATAACGTTATCGTCGCCTCTTTTTGCTAACCTCTTTTTTGATCTCCTTTCCCCCCTCTTTTGTTGTCTCTACTGTTGCTATGTTTGTATAATATCAATGCCCTCTTGAAAGATCAGAGTTTTCACGGACAATTAGACACCAGAACACTAGACACAAATCATTCAAATCAGCTCAAAATAATCCATTCTATTTACAGAAGTAGCATGGATACCGAAGTCAATACGACCTGTATAATTGTGCGCCCAAGTCCAAAGGGTCTAGAACTTGACACTCTCCACATGGGTCGAGACCCTGCACATCACTTCGCCTTACACAACTGCCATTTTACTCCATATTCTAGCATATTCAATTCATGCAACTACAGTATACTCATACAGCCGATAGATATTATCCTCACATAAGACATGCAATATGTAGGGCTACGACACAAGCTGGAGGCTGGAGCTTGTATATCTATCACATACGTAGATCCCAAGCCACCGCAAGCCCCCCACGTCTACTGTATCCACGAACTGCTGATGTTTCAGATAGATAAAATTCAGGCTAAACGTATGGATAGCGAAAGCTATCTACAGTATTTCTTTGGACCCCAAAAGAGTTCACGGTCGGAACCACTGCCGGTCGGCAGGGCCTTAATCACTTCGAAGCCTTCTAGAGCAAAAGCACCCAGAGCTTGAAACAAGGAAGAGTATCCAACAAGGTTTAATAGCACTTCGACTCCTGGGAAGAACAAAATCGTAATCTAGGTTATGATTCCCCAAGTATCAACTCAAGTGCCAACTTAGGTGCCACGAACCGCAATGTCGGAAGTGCAGAAGGGTCGCCAACAAGGTCCTTGTCACAACGTTGCATCGTGCTACATGAATGAAGCGATCGGGGTATATCCCATACTCATTAGCCCCGACAGTGATAGTCATTGTATTTGGGCATTAGGCTTATATATTAGTCTACGCAAAGCTTCTACACCAGCAATCCATATCGTCTATAGAAGACTTCACATAGCCTAGTCTTCACAAAGTATACAAGGCAAGAGACTTGGCTAAGTAAAGGTCACGACAGACTTTGAAGTTGGTGAGTATATATAATAACTCAACGAAAGTAAAGCCTGTGTTGACAATATAGCCACCGATATAGTATACAAATCCTCCAAGGGAACGACGATCCAAGCCCCTACATATTGCATCAAAGTCTGAAACACTGCAATGAAGATGTCATATCCACACACTCACAGTAAATCAGAAAAGGAACAAAAAGAAGCAAAGAAGGAAAGAAAAGAAAACCCAACCTCACCCCTTACAGCTGAAACAAAACTACAACACCAGCCACACCCTTGATCCAGAAGACAAACCACCCTAAAACCAGCCCCAAGCAAAGCCACATCACCTCTATTAACCGCCCCTACAGCTAGCATGATTGATAAATCAATCAGATAATACCCTCCCCGTCTCCGAAACCCCCGATCCGGGGAGATCCTACATACTCCGGCGCACCCCACAAACACCAACACAAAACCGCAACCGGCTCCCGGGTCAATCGGTAAAACAGAGGCCTCGGAACTGCAAAAGATTATCCCGGGGACGAAGTACAGAGTACTGTAGTTCGGTTGGCGTGATCACGTATCGACGTCATCATCGTTGATCTACAGTACAGTCTCGGGGTCGGAATGGATTTTATGCAGAGAGACAGAAATGGATAAGTTGACCTTGCGTATGACTCAAATGGCTAGATTAACTCCAGGGGTAGTTCCTCGGATTATCGTCGACGGTGGTCGCTGTTGGAAATCATCGGGATTGATTCCGTTCCGTTGGATCTGTTTCTTGTAGATCATTGTGGATCCTAGGTGTGCCTCGGTAAAACGAAAATGAGGTTTATTTTCGGATTTGGGGGTTGGATTTAGATTGTCGGGGAGGGAATGTGAACATAGATCTAGATATAGATATGAATACTCTATATAGATTTGTTGGCTTTGAACTTGATCAATTGATACAACTCAACTCGGTTGCAGTAAATAAGATATAGAAAGGTAGAAAAAGGAGCCATGATCCGGCTAGTCAGTCGTGTGAGGATCTCCACGACGAGGGTAAATATTACATCAAAACGCTAGTGCTCAAATAATCAAGCAGAACCAAACCAACACAAAAGCAGAGCCGAAGTTCATATCATCACATCCAACCCGTCAACGGGAAAGATGGAAACAAAACCAACCATAGTAGTTATACTGTGAGAAGAAGAAATTGATCTACTTCCTTATCTCCTTAGGCCCCATAACATCATCCAAAAACCCAGACCACAACTCCCTAATAACACCAGTCTGCGCAACACCACTCCCACTCTCCCTCCGGTTCATCTCCTCCCCGACCCGCGAGCGACCCACCGCCTCAGTAAGCGAGAACGGGTCTAGATCAACCGCGTGGTTATCGACGACCTCGCTCATAGCGCTGGCGGCGACGTCGGCACCGGAACCGGCGACGGTGTAGATCTGGGGCTTCATGGGTGGGGCGGAGGGAGATGAGAAGTCCGGAAGGGAGGATAGGTCGGGGAGGACCGGGACTTGGATGCCGCGGTGGAGGGGGCGGCGTCTAGGTCGGCCATTGAGGGCATGTAGACTAGGTCGACGGTTGAGGTGTCGTTGCGGGCTTTTGAGGAGCGGGAGGTGTTGAATTGGCGGGGAGTACTGGGTTTGTTAGTTGGTTTTTCGGAAGAAGGAGGTATGGTTTAGAGGTGAGGTGAGGTGGACAGAGGGTAGTAGGTGGAGTAGGTATAGTTGGGAGGATAGTGGTACATACTCTGAGAAAGCGTTGCCGTTGATTCTGCGCATGGCAATGGCAAAGGCTCTAGATTGAAGGACATCATGATTGGAGATGGCCTTGTCGGTTGTGTTTGCGGGCTGGGCGGATTGCACGCCGGTTATGTGTAGGCAGCGACGAGCCGAGGGGGCAGTGGGCTGCGAGAGCACGCGGAGAGCGCGGAGAGATGAACGAGGAGCAGACATGATGTATAGGATATGGGATAGTTGGATTGTGTTGAGTTGGTTAAGTAAGAGGGTAGGAGCTGGATGGGTGGCTTGTATGGAAGTCCCAAGTAGAGAGGGACAAGACGGAAGTACAGAAGTGAAGGAAGAAAAAGGCCCGGAGTGTAGCTGAGCTTTATAGAAATCGTTGGGGAGAGCTGTGAGTCTTGGCTGGACCCGCAGTGGAGTAGCTGTGCAGGAGTGAGGTGTAGAGGTGTGGAAGACGTCAACACTTAAAGATAGCAAAAGTCTAGAATTCGAGAAGAAGTTAACTGGGCAGATCCAAGGTTATATACCCTGTCTTAACTTACTTATCTATGCGCCTCTACTTGTAACTTCGGTGAGTAAGTTATGTTTAACACACGATCTACGTACCCGATACCTCCCCCTCGGGACGAGGAATACCCCGTACCCACCAGAACACAGAGTGACAAGATGTACCCGGTACATCTGTTCTCCCCCCCCGGTTGAAACTGATCATCTCTTAACCCACCCAATAGTAAATACGCCTGACATTGACATCGGCCATTATTGGTCTTGGTCCATTGCACGTAACGCAATTGCCTGATCGCCCTCCCAAATTCTCCTACACAAACGGCCCGGAGATACTGAATCCAACCCCCGGGTGGAACTATGAAATCTTTTGACGGTGAATGGCTGCCACCCCCTCTTCAGGACAGTCGGTCAAGCATGTACATGCAAGCCATAAGTCTCGATCCTCGAGGAATGGGATCATGCAATTTAATTTTGGATTTCGGGGGTGTCCTCAACCGTTGAGAAGGGGAATGGATCTGTGATCCCATGACCTAGATCTAAGAATAAGTTGTTGTTCCAAGACAATAGTTGGGATGTTAGTGCGTAGAGTGGAGTGCGAATGATCTACGAAGTGCACACCCTATTCTTTGCTTTACACAGTATACAAGGTCCCCTTCCAACTCTAAGAGTTGGGAGTGTGGGCTACGTGTACAAACAGGGCAGATCTCCTGTCTTCATAGTGTTCGTAATATTCCCCGCAATCGCCTACTTTGTCCGGAAGCACCGGAAGACAGATCAGCAGACCAACTTGTGTCTGAATTTGCATATTTTTCCTCAGTTTAAAGATCTAAGGGGGAGGCAAGGGCCATGAGGCTTGGCATATCTGAATGTTCCTGAATTCTCCCCCTGATTCTCACCCCTGGATTTCGGGAATTTGTTTTTTGTTGAGGTGACTTATGTATATTGCCATTTGGTCGGGGTTATACGCTGTATATCTAATCCTTGAAACAAGAGACCGGCGGCGCTGCGCCATGCGGTCTTGGTAATCTATCGGGGTCAACCGACACTCTACATCCAACCCTACCCCCTCACTCTCATCCTACCCACCCTCCATAACGAAAGCTAAAGCTTCGACCCCGGTCGCCGGCCTTTAGCTATGGCCCGAGCGTATGGGTGTGAGCGGGACGCCGGAACGAGGTGGTCGATGTCACCAGTGTGCACGAGATCCGGGGAAGCTTCCGCCAGGGATGTAATTCCGACGTTGCGCATGGCTGTTTCGAGTTCGTCTTGGATGACTGTGAGAGCAGCCAGTTAGCAAAACAACCCACCCAATTAATACAAACAAACACTTACTATCAACCAGATGCTCAACCCCCTCCTGACCATAATTGGTAGCAAAAAGCACACTCCTCCCCATTCCCACAGCAGTAGCCCCCAAACAAACGGCCTTAAGAACATCCGTCCCCCTCCGAATCCCACTGTCAACATAAACCTCCAAAGACTCAAAAACCTCTGGACACCGCCGTTGAATCTCTAACAGGGTAACAATAGACGGCGGACTAGTGTCCAGATTCCTGCCTCCATGATTGCTAAGGAGGATCCCATCCAGACCAGCTCTAACGGCAAGCAACGCATCATCAGCGCACATGACTCCTTTCAAACAAACCGGCTTGTGCGTGTGCTGTTTCACCCATTTCAAATCCTTCCATGTTAATCCCGGATCGATGAACCCGGCCATGACGCGGCCTAGCCCGCCGCCCTTTTTGTCGTTTTGGGCTTTTGAAGGGGCCATGGGGACCGAGAGGGTCTCGTCTGCTTTGACGCGTTCGTCGGCTTCACGTTTGCCTGGCCAGGCGGCGTCGACGGTTACGAAGATTGCTTTTATATTTGGGTTTTGGTTGCATTGGCGTAGGAGGGCTGCGGACTTGGCTCGGTCTCTGTTTACGTAGAGCTGAAAGAAGAAGGAAGTGGTTGGTGCTGTTGTGCGTAGTTCGTCCATGGTGTAGGAGGAGTTGTTGGATATCTGCTCCGTCGTTAGTATGGGAACGCGAATGAAGTTGCATATCAATATTGGGGGATAGACTCACGCCTTGCATGATACCCTTCCTCTCACAAGCTCGCGCAATAGCACACTCCCCATCCGGATGAATAAGTTTCGCCATTGCAGCCGGGCTCACAAAGAGTGGGAGCTTATAGCTCCCACCCAGGATATTCGTTGTAGTATCCACATCCCGGACGTTTCGTAGCACGCGAGGCCGGAACCAGGTCCGGTCAAAGCACAACTTATTTGCGTCGCGTGTGATGAGGTCCGTTGCGGCGCTAGAGTAGAATGCCCACGTCTTCCTGCTGGCTGTTTTCGACGCCACGAGTTCAAAATCATGCGAGTTGATCAAAGTGTGCAGGGGAGGTTTCTCGTGCTCGAGCATGACCGCGGGATTCTCCTCTGGTGCTGGTTTGGTCCATTCGGCGTCGATTGTAGATTGGTCGAGAATGCCTTTGAACTTTCGGGGGTCCAGATTGTTTTTCATTATGCTTGGGGCGTGGACTTCTGAGTAGGCTTTTGTTGCGTCGCCGCCGGCGTATTTTAGGATTACTGGGACGGGGGTGTTAGCTTTGTGTGGGGATTGGGATGGGAGGTTGGGTAGAGTGTGTGGGGTGTTTACCTGTTGATCCGCCTGGGTGCTCTTCTAGGAAGTCGGTTACATCCCATACTTGATTGTCTACCACTACCCAGCAATCGTCTGGGGTTTTGTGGTTCGAGACTTGCTGGACGGAGACGAGCTTTTGGTCTGTCATCTTAGGTGGATATTGTGCTCGTCAGGGAAAGCGAATGGGTGATGGTTAATTGTATAAAACCTGGGCAGTTCCAGGGAGGTTGAGAGGTGGCATTAAATACATTAAATACTCAGCAAGGGTCTGGGAGAGCTTATCGGTCATGTCCCCGGGCTTACCCCGGACTTGCACGGGCCACCTTCTGTTTCTGTTGACTTCTTTTCTTTGAGATTTTTGTTAGGCATGGCTTTGTTAGCATTTGTGAGAAAACGGTGTTGTCAGAGATGTAAAGACCATTACACTATTAGTAAGTATATCAGCTAGACTCCCAATCTGACATGTCGCAGGTTCTCAAGCCTGAAAACGAGATGTATACAGCAGACAAGCGGAATCGGCGAACTTCCGACTGGCATACGGATTTCTCTCCGTTCGGGTCCATTGTGTCGCCTGAATTTCAAGGCATCAATTCAGCCACAGTCACAGCACAGCCCCAGTGTGGCTTTGCACATCCGTTAGTCAACACAAAACGTTTACTGAGCCAGTTTGAAAGTATTTTATCACCAACGCAATAGCGAGATTCCACTCGAGTCATCTGATGCAAAGAGCTGCCATTGCTGGAAGTGCCCTGAATTTCTTCGGCCGCAATATTACATTGGCTACGAGGTCAACAGCGATCGATAAATCTGACTTTTTAGGTCAGTCGCGTTCAGTGATATAAGAAATACAGCTGATCTGCGAGGCTGTATATTCAAGAGGACCTATGCTGACAAATGCTACAGGTCTCAACAAAGGGTTAAACTTGTCCTCTGTCCACTGCAACTCTACTGCAAGACCCAAGGCATTCTCCACATCTGGACAACCAAAAATGGCTGAAACCACAAACACACTTCGATATGTTGATGTGCGTTAGCAATTTCTGAGGCTGTAAGCCTCACAAAACGAGTACGAAAAATCTAACAGCCTTCCCAGATCGGTATCAACCTAAGCGACCCCGTCTTCCGCGGTGAATACCACGGAAAACAAGCCCACGAAGATGACCTTGACGACGTAATCCAGCGCGCAAAAGACGTAGGCTGTTCCAAGTTCATGGTAACAGGCTCTGACCTAGTCGAATCCAAACACGCCATCTCCGTCGCCAGCAAATACCGTAAGTCCATCCATTCCCATAACCATCATCCCCCACACACTCATCCTTACCCCCAAACCAACAGCTGGCTTCTGCTACGCCACAGTAGGCGTGCACCCCTGCCAAGCAAAACTATTCGACGAATACCCAGAAGGAGCACAGAAAATGCTCCAAGAACTCTGGACACTAGCCGTGCAAGCCAAAAAAGATGGGCACGTCGTGGCCTTTGGCGAGATCGGACTAGATTACGACCGACTCTTCCTCAGTCCGAAGGAACCCCAGCTGAAATACTTCGAGGCCCAGCTCGACCTCGCGGTTGAGATTCAGTTGCCGCTGTTCTTGCATTCCCGTGCGGCAAGTGAAGACTTTGAGAGACTTCTCGCGCCGCGGATGACGCGGTTGCCGAAGCGGGGTCTTGTTCATAGTTTTACTGGTACGCTTGAGGAGATGCATCGGGTGGTGGCGCTGGGGTTGGATGTTGGGGTTAATGGGTGCAGTTTGAAGACGGAGGAGAATTTGGAGGTTGTTAAGGCTATTCCGCTTGAGAGGTTGCAGATTGAGACTGATGGGCCTTGGGTACGTATTACCTAAACTGAATTCTGGACTCTGGAGTTGATGGACGCTTGGGGATGTTGGGCTGACTGCGCTCTTTCTTTTAGTGTGAAATCCGCCCCTCTCATGCTTCAGCGAAGCATCTTGAAGGTGCGCCTGATCTGCCCAAGGCTGTTAAGAAGGAGAAGTGGCAGAAGGGGTGTATGGTTAAGGGTCGCAACGAGCCTATTGCTATTGCTCGTGTTGCTCATGTCATTGCTAGTGTTAAGGGGATTACCGTGGAGGAAGTTTGTGAAGCGTATGCTGTGACTGGATTCTGGTTTTTGGTTCTTCCTGCTAACTTTTTCTTGATAGTGCTTGGAATAACTCGATCCGCATGTTTGGATTGGGTGAGAAGTCCGCTTGATTGCTCTTCATGGACAAGTTGCTATGGGCTAGACACCCCTACCTTTAGATTCAATATAGTATACTCAAGTCTTTATACCTTCATCTTTATATTTCGGCTCATGCCATCCACTTCTTACCTCTTTATCGCTTCTTTTACGGCCAAAACACGATTTTGGATCGTGACAACAGCTCAGTTGGCGGGCCTTGGCTTCTGATACACATGTAGTGCAAAAATAAAGCCACCTATCTGCGTGGCCTCCTATTTATATTATATATATCTACTGAAGTCCTGGAGTCCGGACGGCCCCTTATGATACGGTATATGAAGAGGACAGGCTCCTGGCGTCGGTTCTTCCTCTGATTCCCGCGGCTCTTTTGTTTGCTCGCACTCTTCCTGTTTACGTCCTCTATAAATTCCACCACCGTCTTCTTCCTCTTCTCCAATTCACTTCCATAGTCTTCATCCTGCTTTAGAGGTAAAGTTCTAATCCCCGCATCACCTATCCGGTGAGTGAGCCATTTCTTCCACTGCACGAAGATTTGTACTCGTTTATTGATAACTGCGGAAGAGTGTGGATACACGCGTCATATCGCTATCCCCTAACCCGGGGCTGGTAACAACTTTGGCGTAGTGGTACTAGAGTGTACCGTCTGGGCTGATACTGCGGATGGGGTAATGGCTACAACTGGGGTTGAGGTCGCAGCGGGGGTTGAGGCTGGCGTGGAAGCAGTTATAGGAAAGTCATATATCCATATAGCTGTTTCTGAGGTTAAGGCTGAGGCTGAGACTAGGCTGGGGCTTGTCTGAGAATTGGCCGAATGGCTTGTATTGTGCCTAGGCTTGAGGCTAGGTTGGTAAGACCTAGAGAAGTAGGTCTCGTATATATAGATTAATAAACTCCTAGAGTCTACCCGTGTTAGGACCCACTGTGTGAGCTCAGTAAGATCCAACGTTGGATCAAAAAGGCCACTATGATCGACTGCTGTCAGTCATGCTCACACACCACATTAAGTACGCACATTGGCTGCTCTCGTGACTGACCAGTCAGCACGTCAAACCAGCCACAACGTAAGACCCTAAGGGCTTGACAGGAGGATAAGTAAACCCGATGAAACGTCTATAGGTATATAAACTGAGAGTAGTCTATAATATATATATTTATGCCTTCATTAAGTTAGAGTATGGATTCTAACAAATTACGAAAAACCTAAACTCTCTGAAAAGCCGGTGTCCTTAAAATACAGTTGTGGACGAAGCATTTAATAAAGTATAACGAAAGTGGGTTCTCACTAAATGAAATTAAGTACTTTTCTATTTTAGTGCAGTGTTAAAATAAACCTCCCATACAACGATCTAGCCCGATTTGGAAAGGCCCGAACTATATTTCGTCTAGTATTGCTAGCTTAACCCGCATCAATTGATGACCGTTCAAATACGTAATATTTCATTCCATTAGATCCTGTCTTTTCCGACACGCATAGAAGTTTTGCAGACTCGTTTAGTTCTAGTATCCATGACTCATTGAGACAGCAGGCAATAACAAATATGTTGATTGAGAAAGAAACTATCTCTGCAGAACTAAATCACCTGGATAGTGGCCTGATCCTTAGGGAATCATAGAAACTCCTCGCTCTATCAAGCTCTAACCCCGACTTCAAGCGGCCATGAAAAACTGCCAGGTTGCATCCGGAGCCAGAGAACTCTGAACGCCCAAGGGCGCACCAACATGTCCCCCGTCGTATGAAATAAACGAAACTGGCTTGGAGCACCCGTGGAAGTCCGTTCGAACGGAACTGCCACTTCCAGACCAAGTCTTGCCGATGTTTGCTGGCTGGCACTTGTTGTTCCCAACAAACTTATTGGCTAGACTCACACCCCCGTCGAATGGCAGAACTCCATCATTGATCCCATGAATACCCAAATAGGCGATAGGATCGTGGCCCCCATCACATCCGCTAATCACACCACCACTCAACACGCTCACAGCCTTGAACTCCTTCGCCCGAGAACAAGCAAGCGCATAACTCATCCCACCGCCCCAACTGAAACCAGTCGCGAAGCGAGAGCTCTGGTCCACACAAAGGTCACCCTCGACTTGCTGGATGATGGCGTCGATGAGGGCCACATCTTCGCCATTAGTGTTGGCCCAGCCAGCGTTCTTGCCGTTGGGAGCTACCAGGATTGCACTGCCCTGAGCTCGGCTTTCGAGACCATACCAGGGTTGAATGCTATCGCCGTTGACGACAGAGTACATGTTTCCGCCTCTCCAATGGAGGCCAAAAACGAGATGGTGTGGTTTGTTTGGATCGTAGTTATCAGGGATTTTCAGGATGTACTGGCGGCCATTGATGTTGTGGACTCCATTGGTGAGAGTGGGATGCTTGCCGCAGCCCGAGGATGCGGCGGCGTCGACTGAGCCGAGAAGTCCCAGAGCTAGGAGGGTAGGAAGGAGGAGCATTTTCAACTGATAGAAGACTGATATCACAGATGATGGGATTTTGATAAAGTGAAAGTTTGGAAGGTTGCCTCAATACTTGGGATTGATTCTCAATTGACAAGTGAGTTTGAGGTCCATGGCCGTCTTTATATATGCTCTTAGAATTGGATGATTAAGCCGCCAACATGATCAACGAAATTCCCTTCCCTAAAAAGAACGGAGCTCTGGGTGGTCATTCTTTGGGATAAAACTGTGTTTCCACGATTCAAGGCCGGTGTCTTGCCTGATGCAACGTCGGACAGCCATGTTCGGACCCTCAACGGGTAAATATCGTGCAGTGCCTGGGAATGACTGTCGCAAATTGATACCTCGACATGAAGAGATACTCTTTTCAGGGTCCAGATCGCCGCCCCACTTGATGTGCGGGAAAAAAATTGGAGCGGGTATGACCCACAACCCGGTTATATGTTTGGGATAAACAGCCATAGGCCAGCTTCCAAATACCCCCTTTACTATAAGCGGACATGTACTCCTGATTAGGCTATATTCTAACACATTCTGTAACAGGACCCTTGAACAGAAGCCCAGTTGACTCAGCCAAGACCTTCGATTTCCAGCCCACCAATCATATAGCTTCCTGTCTCGTGAATAAAAGCAAGAACCTGACATGCCAAGCCTCTATCGGCAAGTAGGTGGCATCCTTTCTGCCGAGAGTTCATATCTCCTTGGGACGTCGGGAAGCTATCACTAATTAGCTAAACCTCGTGGCTAATATCCATTACGTGGTTGTTCTTTGAAACAGAAGCTGTGGAGACCACCTAGGCAGCTTTGTCTCCTCTGAGCCTGTTGCATACTTCGTCAGGAACAAGGCGTTATAAGCAAACCTTGGGAAGCTGCTTTATTACGGATCTGCCTCGGTTAGGGCTAGCTTCTAAGTCTTAGCATTATTCTTTTTGAAACATAGAAGCCTTGAAATGCTTGGCTGAAGTCTGAGTAGGATCCAGGCATGTTGTAGGCCTCGACAACATGTAGTTGTTATGGGTCAAAAATTGTGTCTCATGCAAGGTATTCAGAGATCAGAAAGTATATAAGAGCAACGTATTTCCTTCACTGATGGCTTCAACACAGTCAGTGACTCAGCTTCTTCCGTTCATTTCTATTTCGGTATATTTTGCTTCAATTGGGCTGGTCCCTTATCCGTTCTTTACAAAAGCTGCACCATTCTTTTATTGATTTCAAAATGAAGTTCTCCCTTCTCGCTGTCGCGGCCATTGCTCCTATGGTTTCGGCCCATTATTTCTTCGACACCCTCATCATTGACGGCAAGGAGTCCTCCGAGTACGTCCGCTCAAACACCCGTACCGCCAAGTACAACCCGACCAAATGGGTCAATTCCCGCGACGACATGACCCCTGATGTGCCAGACTTCCGCTGCAACAAGGGCGCCTTCAGCTTCGCTGACAAAACGGGTACCGCGGAGGTCAAGGCCGGATCCAAGCTTGCCCTGAAGCTTGCCGTTGGTGCTACAATGCAGCACCCTGGTCCTGCCCTCGTGTATATGTCCAAAGCTCCCAGCACGGCCAAGCAATACCAGGGCGACGGCGAGTGGTTCAAGATCCACCAAGAGAGCGTCTGCGACAAGAACAAGGACTTTACTAAAGACGCTTGGTGTACTTGGGACAAGGATCGTATTGAGTTCACGATTCCTGCGAGTCTGCCTGACGGAGAATATTTGATTCGACCGGAGCACATTGGTATGACTTCTAATCGTTGGTATAAACAAGAATACTAATTGCCGGGACAGGGGTGCACGGTGCCCATGTTGGGCAAGCCGAGTTCTACAACACGTAAGTGAAGCTTTCTTGTGCCGCTCATATTTTTTGAGTGGATACTGATAAAGTTTTCAGGTGCGCTCAAGTCAAGGTTGTCGGTGGTGGAAATGGGACGCCCGGGCCTACCGTCAAATTCCCCGGTGCTTACAAGAAGGATGACCCTTCATTCAACTTTAGTATCTACAATGGATACAAGGATTATCCTATGCCTGGTCCGGAGGTCTGGACCGGAGGGTCGGGCTCTAGCTCTGCTTCTGAGGTGGCTAACGTCAATGCTACCGCTGCCGCTACCGCAATCGCTACTACTTCCAACGAGGAACACGAGGACACCTGTGGGAGCCACTACGTTCGTCGTGCACACCCTCGCGCCTTCAGCTACTGAAGCAATAGGCAACTCTAGGTTCTATCGTTGATCCGTTGGGGGTATTTTGATGCACACTGAGCCTCACGCAGCTCATGCCAGTCTTACCGCGCCTTTCTGTATCATCCAAAACTATGTTGTATTACTATGTTGCAAAAATCCTAGACAGGGATAATAGCGCCGCTATTACTCATAGAGTCCAATATATCTGCAACTGCTAAACAACCAGCATCCTTCATATATATATCATCGTTCCTGCTGGCGCAAATAGCCATTCAAAATGGACTTCCGCACTACCTAGTCTAACACGGTAATTAATTATAAACAGACTTACTCTTTAGGGTTACAGAGTTATTTCTTATATTTTGGAAAGGTTTATACTAGGAAAGCATAGTGCTTTGGGATATAAACTAGAATAGATATAAAAAGAGCATATTATTTAAATTTGTTGACCGAGGAGTCAGAACCCCAACGCCCTCTCAGAGTCAATAAGCCGAACATATGCTAGCCTGATAAAATGAGCATGTGTTCTCCTAGCTATTGCAATAGAGGGCTCGTGGCATAAGAGCAGTATATCAACATTTAATAAGTACGGCTTGTCTTTGACGGAAACAAAGTAACATTTATAGCACGTCATGAGGCATAGAGCCTGCGACATGAATAGTATACAGGTAAAGGCTTATAAAGTACAAAGTCTTCCCAGGCTGCCTCAATCTAGCTCCTCCTCTTCCTTGCTCTGACCAAGCCATATGCGCCCGTGGCCCACTTGATCCTTTTCAAATTCAAGCGACAGAGTAGACAAATGGCTGAGAACAGTCCCAATGGCCACATCACCCTTGCTTCTCTTGGTGCGACCCAGGTCATCAAGCCATTTCCACTTGTTGAGGGCAAAGTAGACGAGCGCAATCACGATCTCTACACCAATACAGTATGCCCAAAGTCGAACCACGTCAACGACGTTGGTCCAACCGTTGGCCGTCTCCATGGGGATATACTTGTCGAAAGGATCAGTGATCATATCCCGGTTAGAAAACCACCCGAATAAGCAGAAACAGGTTGCCAAAGCGTCCACACCGGCGATGGCAGTGATCAGCGGCAGGGACGGCCAGACTGCGCCACCCCTGGTGACGAATATGAGCCAATTCTCCGTTAAAGCTACTTCCAGGAACACGATCTCCTGGATAGAACCCCAGTTCTGAATAAAGCCACCATTTGGTAAGAACAAAGTTCCGCGAATGACCCATGTTCCCAGGGCCAGCAGAATTCCAAGGATAACAGAGATGACCCAGATTTTCGGCAGTTGCCACTCCACCGGCCTGCGTTCGTAAGAAGCGTTGTCATAAGCCACGGCCACAGTGGCAAGGTCAGCGAATAGAGCGAGGAAAACCACCAACTCCGTGCGAATACTTTCATTGATAATGATCATGGTGGTGACAAGATATATCTCCAGATGAAGACAGAGAGCGATGCGATATTGTATGTATGCTTTCATCCGCTGAAAGATTTGGCGAGCCACCTAGATGAAATTAGCCACAGGCACTAAGATACAGAAGTAGGACACAATATCATTCACAAACCTTGATGGAATCTATAATGGTCGAAAGGCCAGGCTCCAGGAAGACTATGTCTGAGGCAGACTGGGCGGCCTCCGATGCCCCTTCCACAGCGATACCACAGTCCGCCTTTTTGAGCGACGGTGCGTCGTTGACACCATCACCCGTCATAGCCGTGAGATGCCCACGTTCTTGCAGCATGTCGACAACTTGATATTTGTGTTCAGGGAAGACTTCCGCGAAGCCATCCGCCCTTTCAAGCAGTTCGCCAGCCATAGCGCCATTAAGGCCACCGCTGATCAAGCGTTCTGAGTTATAAACTCTTGTTCCCAGAGCCAGCATCTTGCAGGTCTCTTTTGCGATAGCGGTTGCATCTCCGGTGAGCATCTTGACTTTGATGCCTAGATCTTGGGCTTCTGCAATTGTTGAAGCGGTATCTTCGCGTGGTGGATCAAACATTGGCATCATTCCTAACAGAGACCACTCTTCGCCTTCTTTCTGAACAGCAACACCTAAAGAACGGAACCCACGGTGCGCGAATTCAGTTGCCTTCTCCCTGTAAAGCCTTGCGGTTTCTTCCGAGCACTGTGTCAATTGAAGAACTGCTTTCGGTGCCCCCTTGGTGCAAGTATACTTCTCTCCATTGAGCGAAACGACCGAAACAATGCGCTTGGAAACGGGGTCAAACGGTGTGAAGCTTTCTGTTTTCCACCCTTGCTGCAGTATCTCCTTGGCTTTGGGGTACTGGTTCACTGACAAGATAGTTACCTTATCAATAGGATCCAACGAACGAACGTTGTGAGAAGAAGCCAGAGCCGCAACCGCAAACATCCAGTTTATATCAATACCTTCAGCGACATATGGTTCTCGAATGCTTAACTGGTTGGCCGTCAGAGTACCTGTTTTGTCTGAGCAAAGAATGTCCACGCCCTTTCATCGTCAGTAACAGTTCGGTTCAACAGGACCAGCAACGAGATGAGAGGAACCAGCCGCGTGCTTTTCATAATACAAGTACTCACAGCGAGAGACTCGATGGCAGTCAATTTCTGGACGATTGCTTTTTTCTTGGCTAGGTAAGCAGCACCAACTGCCAGCGTGGTCGTCGTGACGACAGGGAGACCAACTGGTACACCGATGATCAACAGACTGAGAGTGTAGTACAATAGAGTCTGTTCCCCGGGAGAGGCTATTGGCAAGTTACGAAAGAAGCCACCGATCCACATTGCCAGTAACCATGCCATCACGAGGACCAGGAGGCTGGTACCTATGCTGTCCATAACAATCTGGAAGTGTCCTTTCCCGGAGGTTCCTTGAACCATGGCGGCAGTGCGACCTACAAAGGTCTTTGGTCCAGTAGCTTGAACGATACCGTAGGCTTTGCCACGTTTGCACCCCGTCGTATAATACACGTCGTCACCGGCAAAACGATCCACGGCCAAGGATTCACCGGTGATGGCCGAATGATCACATGAGAGAACAGGATAATCGTTGTTCTCTTCATCTTCCTCCTCTTCTTCCTCGCCCTGAGACTCTTGCTTCTTACCGAGCTTGCCTTCTTCTCGTAGTTTCTGATAGCGATCCCATCCATGATCTTTCTCCTCGTAATCGCAGACAACCTTTGCATCGGCAGGCACTGTCTCAGACTCTTCGATGATAATCTGAGATACAGCAATCAAATTAGGCACGACTGATTAATGATATTCACGCCAAGTTTAACTTACCACATCACCAGGAACAAGTTCTCGAGCTTCTCTATCAATTTCTTGTCCGTTTCGAACCACTGTGCTACGCATCGCGATATCGGCTTTAAGACTGGCCACCACATCCTCGGCCTGTTTTTCTTGGTACCAGCCGACTGTCGCGTTCAAAGCAAGGATGCCAATGATGACGCCAAAATCAACCCAGTCTGACAACCCCGCAGCCAACAAAAGTGCAATCTCCATAACTGTGGCGGAGCGTCAGTCCAAAGATTCAAACCAGAGTTTTGTATGTCAGTCCCACCATAGAGGATCGGTCCTTGGAAATAGTTTAAAACCTTGCGGAATTGGTTGGTTTTCTTGGCGGTCAATTCATTAAATCCTGTCGTGCGCCGCCTCGCCTCCACGTCGGAATCTGACAGACCCTGATGGATATCGGTGAAGCTCCATTCTTCCGGATACTCCTGTCCAGCACCGACGAATTTCCAACGGAACTTTCTCTTTTTCCATGGCGCATACCAGACACGGTTTTCAACGATCTTGCCCTCTTCTTTGCTCCCTGTGCCGTTTTCCCGATAGTCTGACATGAACGTCACGAGACTTGTATACTCATCGACCTTTGCATCCTTCTTATAGGAAACCGTAGAGGATCTGCGATGCGCGGATTCGGACGACATGTTGCTATTGGGCCTGATGGGCAGGGCGACAGTATCAAAGGGCAAATAAGATATCCCCGCCGCAATCCTGTCGAACAATTATGACACAATAGATTGAACTATCTAGGTGAAGCAGTGAGAAGTTAAATCCGCGAGACGAACGAGGCAAGTCAAGGTAAATAGATACCACCCATGCAGCACAAAAGGTAGGCTGGCAAGCGAACTGCACAGGATATTCACATCCACTTGAGAACTGTCATTTGTATGTCATTGAGCTTAACAGATGGATGGCTGTACCATTTCATAAATTTCAGGACAGGCGCAAACAGCGAGACAGAGAAAAATAAAAATAATTTCCACTCCGCGGCGTTCCGGCCGCAAATATCATATTAGCCATCTTGCTGGGCGGGCGTTTTAGAGAGAATTGATTGGATTGGAGAGGTGTAAGTCCGCCTTGACTGGTTCGGGTAGACTTGCCACCCAAAGCTTATCCAGACATCCGTCCTGCATCAAAGCGGTTGTTGGTGCGCTCTGGGTGCCGCCGCATTGCGCCAGCAACGGACAGTTGTTGGCTCAACACAACCCCGCGCTCCGGACGGGTAATTGAAACTTGGTATTATTCCCGTTCATTCCAAGGGAAACATTCTTCGAATGGCAATACCCCTCTTACGTGCCACGAAACGGGTAGTGCTCTTCGAATGTATGAATCATGCAATGTCCAAAGCACAGTGGATGACATCACCGCAGAGCTATTCGCTTCCAGGTGCTCTCAAAGCTGCTAAGCACCAACGCGGTCTAGGTTTTGTACAAAGCCTGTATAACTGGGTGGGAGTGACAGTAAGTTCGCGCCACTTCAAAGCAAGTTTTGGGACGTGAAGCGAGCGGGGAATTTTGATTCACGGCTGACAGCCTCGTGGGGATGCTGATGGCGTCTTATTTTACTGCTTGCTCCCTTCGATCTGGCTCAATTCGCCCAACGTCGCGTTTTGTCGACCATATTTGGGAAACAGCACACCTACATTGATTGTAAGTTAGAAGGATAACTCTGGAGCTTGCCGCGTGAAAGATCCAAATTAAAATACCAATTGAACAAGCTCGGATTTCTACAGGAAATTAATCACCTTTCACATCAGTCTACTATATACGGAATTCTGCCATGCCAGCTATCACTACTACACTGTCCCGAGACGATCACGGCATCTCCAATGGGCTCACCAAGCGGGGTTGGGCTGGGCAGGAGCCGGGCGTGATCCTGGTTTTCTGCATTGTGTTCATCGTTGGTTGCGGTATGTTTGCGCATATTGTACAACGAGCAATCAAACATCGAAGAGAAGAGCGGGAGAAGTGGGTAGTGACAGAGATCAAGGACGACGATCTCCCCTCAAACTAGTGTTAATTGGGTCATCGCACTGTCCAATTCATCAATGTTCAGCTGGCTTTACTTTGTACGGTCCTTTGTCTGAAGGCAACCCCAACGAGATGGGAGACGGGATACGATGAAGAGGACTTGCTTATAAAGGCGATTCTTACTCTCCCTTCTGCCTTATATGATCCGGATGATGAACCCAAGGCACTCGAAAATAGTCAAAAAGAGGTGGAAAAAGAGAGGCCAAAGTATGGCAGAAACAATGCATGAAATGGTACACTCGCTTCGAGGCTTTCGTATAAATACTGTCCAATGCTTTATAGCACTGTGTACACATTAATGACCCCTGTTGCATCAACGAGTTGGTAATGAATGTGATGCACGATATGAAGAATGAAGAATTGGAAGAAGTTAATGAGCGAGGGGTTAATGACAGAAGCATGTAGGGCTTATATAGAAACAACAGGAGAGACAGAAATTTAATATGAACATTCCAAGTTGATAGAATTAACTACGAGCGTGAGAGCCTATTAGTGACACGCACAAAGGACCTAGAATCAAAGAGACAGAACATATTAAGTTAGATAGGTTCTGCCTCACGTCTTATTTATCTTACAAGTATCCGTTTCGCCTTCTTTCGCCGACACTGTTGGCGTCACAGGTGTATCAGCACATTCAACTTGAACAATCTCATGATCAATTCTCCCATCGCGAGCCGCAATCACAACTGCGCTTAATTGATTGCCGTATAAACACGCTGAATCCAGTCCAATCGCATATTTGCCGCGTTGCAGACGACGCTTTGCATCGTGCCCAAATATCACCGTCGTGTTGGACGCTAGACCGTCTTGCCACCGATCCCATTCCATAACCCAGCCTTCTTCTCTGAAAGTTTCAGTCGGTGTAAGTCCATTTCCATTGCTGGATTCACGGACCAGGCTCCGTATATGCATTACAGCATGTGGATCCTGCTCTTCAATTGGGATGCCAGGAACGAGGCCTGCATGGACCACAACCAAAGTGTCACCCAAGGGGGATGTTAAGTTATGAGGGAGATTGATGCGCAAGATCAAAGGCAAAGCTGCAAGCCAGTCAAGCTGGTGCGTCGAAAGTGCCATTGCTGTACTCTGGGTTCCAGGGCTCGCTCTCATCTTCATCTCGGTTGCAGATACACCTTTGTCAAGGATCTCGAGATCTCCGGCGGTATCCCCTTCCGGGGTCTCAGGTACGGCTGGACTGTCAGCCAAGCCTCTGGGATGTACTTGACTACTATTCCGCATGGCAGTTATTTCCACGACCGCATTAAGAACGGCATTTTCGTGGTTACCTCTCACTGCGCTGGCTCCTAGACTCATGGCTAGATCAACAACACCAGGGCTATCGGGCCCTTTATTGACTAGGTCGCCAACTAGTATGAGATGATCTCCTTTGCTCTTGTCGAAGCCGACTTTATCTAGCAGTGCTTCCAAGGACTTTCTCATCCCATGCACATCGCCGACAATGACCAAGCGTCCATTGCGGCCGTTTTCAGAGGATGGGAGGTACTGCTGGATGAGGTTGGTCGGTAGGTCTGAGATAAATGTTGTGATTGGAAAGATCTTGTCCGGAGCCTTGGTGGGGGTCATTTTCACCTGAGGCGTGTATTTGGAGGGAAAGGGAAGAGACGATGATGTCAGAGAATCACTGCTGCATGATATTTATAGAGTAACCTAATCAGGACTAGCGTGGTTCAGGGTACATGGACCTCACCTTGTATCCTATAACACAGCTGGATTGGGATTTTTCAACCCTTTTGAGATCAAAATCTCTTTGGCATTGAATAAGTGACAGAAAATATAATACAATGACCTAAAAGACATCATCCAGCATAATATCAGAATCGGGAGAGCCTATGTATTCCGCAACTTCCCAATAATCATTCTCACCCATCAACGCATGTGAATGGTTGGATGCATCACCATGTTCGGAACCGAACATCATATCATCATACCTGTGAAGAGGTTGAGAAGATGTGATTGTGGAGTATGAACTATCCAGGGAAGTTTGAGTGGAGTCCCCGGTGTCTGGGCTTATCTCGATGTTTTCCCCTATAGAAAGGGCGTCAAAATCACTTTCGAGATCGGTTTCATTCAATATCCATGCATCACATGTGTCGCCCCCGTGGGTCTGTTGTGTATTGAAAGGGTTGTCTGGAATTAGAAACTCGATGTCGGGCTGCTGAGAATGTGTGATCCAATGGCCCGTAGTATTCTCTGGCCCAGTTGCTTCTTCGAGAAGCAGATCTGTGGGAAATACCCATGTTCGCCTTGGGGGGAGTGTGAGCCTGTGAAGATTCTCTTGGGCAACACGCCACAGGGAGGAGTCAATTGCAGATCTGAGACCCACAGGGCGCGGGTTTATCGTGACAGCATCCGCATGGGATGAATGACTGTAGCGTAGCAAATCCGCTACGTTTGGTTGGATGGAATGGTTATCTCCTCCTTCAATCATGGAAGATATGGCTTTTGTAATGATCGGGATAGACACTACTCGCTGGTTCATAGCCTAGATACAATTAGCTCTTGAGTTGCATGTGGCAGTGAAGACAGCTCACTTCTCGATATTGCGCATTGAACGCCACAGGAATCATGGACGATAAGCTTTCTAATGTGAAATGGTTTGAAATGTGAACTGCGGAATCAACGATGGTGTTGGATATGACCAGTCGTTGAAGGGCAAGATCAAACAGTCGTAGAAGATCCCTTTGTGATGGCGGCGAAAATCGGGCAAATTTCTCAGCTTGTGTTGTTTGAGACATAATATCGTCTGGATCTGATGCAGCGATAACGTGGTCCATTGTTTCGTCGAGGCCTTCTATCGCAGCGATAACCGACGGATCTTGCTCAAAAAGATCTATATCAAAATTGGAGGACTGAGAGTGGGCCATGCTCTCAACATGAAAGCCATATTCTAGACAGATGTCAAGGGAGGTCAAAACAAGTGCCGGTATCCCAGGTGGGGGACATGCGTCGGGGGCATCGACCATCACGGCGGGCAAGGTCCAACGTTTCCTGTGACTTGCTTTCCTGGGCTCTCTACGCAAACCAAGTTTGAGGGAGAGAGGGGCACAGTTTTCGCTTTTCCTGGCATCCCCGTCTTCGCGCTCCTGCGTCTTGAGCCTGGCAGAGAAGCCGAGATCTGACCAAATCTGAAGAACAATGGTCAATATTTTATGGTAATCATCATCTCATAAGCTTACCTCCAGACCACAGAGTTGTGGCTCCAGCCATGAGACGAAAGAGGCCACCGCATGTTCCGAGCCCCAGTTGCTGCCAATGAAAAAATGCAAGTCCAGCTCGGGTGCTTCTTTAATCCAGATATCCTCCAAGCTTGACCCCAGAGATACTGCGGTAGAACCGTGGCTCGGAGACTGGTTTAAGTGTGCAGATGTGGTCAAGCTCAGCTGCAATTGCGAGCCTCGGATTCGGAGTAGGCTCCGGCCCAAGTCGACTTTCTGTGTCATGTTGAAGACACCTCAACTCTGAAGCACACAATCAAGACCTGAAGTTTTCTTTCTCAAAAATCGGCGATGAAGAAAACCATTGCGGAAAACACCAGCAGATCGAGCTGTGGTTACGAGGCACATGATGTTCCCGACTGGGACAGGAACATCAGCCATAATCGGCACTTGAGAAAACTCAGGATGTTCTCAACGCAATCAAATTTTTGGATCCGATAAGGATACTTCCATCGCAAGAGTAATATGAGCATTACCAATTAGTTCCAATCAGGGCTTAACAGCGATGCACCTCAAGCTAGTGTGGTCGATCCACTGAGTCCCGTCCTCCCTGGATGTTCAATATTGAATCATTTGAACAATCTGCTCGATTACCCTGTCCTTCTTCTCCTCAGTATCCAAAAGCCAGTATTTGAGCTCCGATAAGTCCCATGAGCCCATCCATTCCAGCGCTGGCCACCGGGTGGGCTCCAGACAAAAGACTAATCGTCTTGATCTCAAACCCGACACTCCCAAGGATATCCTTCATGTATGTATCGGATGGGTAGAACCAGGGGCGTGCTGCCTCTATGTTCTCGATTGGGATTCACTGGTTAACAAGGCCAAACTTAAAAGCCGTAAACTTCTCCGGGGCGTTGCCATGTCCACACATCTCGGAGAAGAACACTCTTCCAGGCTTCATGGATCTGAAAATGGCCTTCAAAGTGGAGATACGGGTAGACGGGTCTCGCAGGATCCAGTGGAAGGCGGCATTCGAAGCACTATATCAGTCAGAATCATCTCGTGGGAAAAGCCTTAGAGACTTACACCTCATCCCAGTTGCTATTCATAATCTCCTGGTCATCTTCCGGGAGCCGGCAATTAACAGCACGGAAATCAGTTGACGTAGAGCCATAATTCCTTGTCTTGGCAGCGTCGATCATTGACGGCGAGGAGTCTACCTCGAGAACGTATCCAACTTGGGGAGCAAATCGGCTGGTGAAAATACCATTTCCGCATCCAATATCGAGAATATGGTCTGTGGATTTGAAGTCAATGCTGTCAATAAGGGTGTCAGCAAAGTGAGGAGAAAAGGAGGCAGCCGCCGCGTAGGTCTAGTTGCTATAAGCGAACGACAATAGTGTTATCACAAACCTCGGAGTCCTCGGTAATCCTGTTGAGTTGTCATAGTTTGTGCCTGAATCTGTGTTGAAGTAATAGTCAACGTCTTGAATTTGAGTAGTGATGTAGGATGTGAGTCTGGTTAGAACAGAAAGTTGCTAGAGGATAGTCGTCTTTCAAAGGAGCTCGTTCTATGCGGACTCCTAATTAATATGGGAGTATACAGTCTAATCGTTTATTTCGAGCATACCTAGAGCCAAGCACAACATTGCATGTACCACTGGGTATGTCGGTCATGGCTGGCTGATGTGATTCCTTGTATCGACGTGGAGTTCAGCTAGCCATTTATACAGTCAGACTCGTCCCCGGGAGCAAATGGCCCATATTATTGAAATATCCCGAACTGAGATGTCTTCCAGTCCCCATAGTATCGAGCCGAGTGAAGAAGGAAGGAAAAGATACGAGAAGCTGCTGTACATGTAAGCCATGTGGTACCTCCAACACTCCCCTTCCCCCGGGCAGCTTTGGAGCGCACTATCCCCGCCTTGTGTGTCTATAAGTTATGGGTTTCTACTTGTTGGCAGATTTCATGACATCAAGTGTATGCGGAGGTTCAGATTGGCATTCATATGAGGCAATGGCTAGGTCGAGCCCTATGTGTAGGGGTTACTTGCATGGAACCTAGTCCTCACTAGGATTGTAGTAGTCTCTCACGTCAGGGCCTTCCCGCCGGGGCCATATCCCTTGCTGGTCGCAGATACTAGTATTAGGGGTATACAACGAACGATTGTTACAGGGAGGAGATCCCCTACCATGTTGACAAGTAAAAAGATTATCTACCAAAAGACTTGGTGTTTCCAGCTTTTCAATGGGCCAATTTCATGGATAGAGCGCCCTTCCTCAATCACGGCGCCTATAGTAGCTGTCACAGCCTGAACAACTCTCGTATCTCTCAAAGAAACATTCTTGTATACATTGTCACAAGTATTAAGCAAAAAAAAAAATATCTTCTCTTGTATAACACAGTAGACTTTGTGAATATTCACTGCTCTATCTGTTTGACGATGGAGAAAACCCTAACTAGAGACTGTTTTGGCCACTTCTTCACTCATAGTATTGATTGAGTGGTTTCCCATCCCAGGACCTCTACTTGGTATCATTTCTGCCAGCATTTATCGATCCATACATTACAAATGTATATCTATTTCAAATGCATTTGCTAGCATCTACCAAATGCATCTCACCATATCCCCTGCATAAGAAACCGTTGTTATCGCGTTACTTATCGGCTATCGGTTATCGGCTATCACGTGCCGCCCCATCCAGGTGGCCTGAAAGCAACAACCTTCTTGCCACTATCTACAGTCAGCGATGCCAGGGGATGAAAGGTTAGAGGATCTGTTACCTGGCGAAGGCCAGAAAGGGCCTGAAGCTCAATCTCTTCTGCCTGAGTCTGATGGGGAGCGTGATCTAGTCGACTCCGGACCTCTCCCGTCTCCGATACCAGACGACGCGAATCGGACACCACATTCCTCAATTTCGCAACCAGCACAAGATGGGCAGCGCCGCACGCCTCGGACTATGAACCGTGTTCGATTTGACTTGGAAGAAGAGCCCGAAGATACCGATCATCATTTGAATGGCCGTGCTCACAGTCCAGACGATGCACTATGGCTGGACGATGAGGACTACGAGCTTGGGAATCGGGGAAGCCCAGGGACACACCACGATGGACAGTCGGTACCTCTCCTCACGGATATTGAAGCGCCTAGTGTAACACTTGCGACGTCGGATGACTTCTTTCCCGAGGAGCATTTGGAAGATGCACGGCCGAGAAGTGGTATGAAGATGGCGTTCATGAACATGGCCAACAGCATTATTGGAGCTGGAATCATTGGGCAACCATATGCGCTTCGTCAAGCGGGTCTGACGATGGGTATCTTGCTGTTGACTGCCTTGACCATAACAGTGGATTGGACCATCCGTCTCATTGTGATCAACTCCAAGTTGAGCGGCGCGGACTCGTTCCAAGCGACCATGCAGTACTGCTTCGGAAAAAGCGGACTCATTGCGATCTCCGTTGCCCAGTGGGCATTCGCATTTGGTGGCATGGTTGCATTCTGCATTATCGTTGGGGATACCATTCCGCACGTGCTAGGCGCGTTGTTTCCATCTCTCCGGGAGATGTCATTTCTCTGGCTCCTCACAGACCGCCGTGCTGTCATTGTTCTCTTTGTTTTAGGTGTTTCATATCCGCTGTCACTGTATAGAGACATTGCCAAGGTCAGATCATCTTCTCGTTTTATCTGCATCAGACTAACAGACAAGTAGTTGGCCAAAGCTTCTGCCTTGGCATTGGTCAGTATGATAGTCATCGTGGTGACCGTAATTACACAAGGTTTCCGAGTTTCATCCGAATCCCGTGGAGATATCAAAAGTCACCTCATCATCAACTCTGGTTTCTTTCAGGCCATCGGTGTTATTTCCTTTGGTAAGCTCCTAACTTTGTTAAAACATGAACAGCCTACTGACGAGTTACAGCGTTTGTTTGCCGTATGATATCTCCCGTCTTGCCGATGCGGTATTGACTAACGAGATGCAGACCACAACAGCCTCCTTATATATGGCTCTCTGAAGAGGCCTACTCTTGACCGTTTCACTAGGGTCACACATTACTCGACCGGAGTATCCTTGGTTATGTGCCTAGCAATGGGCATAGCAGGGTTCCTATCCTTTGGATCAAAGACTCAAGGCAATGTCTTGAACAACTTCCCGTCTGATAACATCATCGTTAACATCGCGCGATTGTATGAACCTCTAATTGACCCCGGAAGGATTGACATTTCTAATTGCTGGCAGTTGCTTCGGCCTGAACATGCTTACTACCTTGCCATTAGAAGCATTTGTTTGCCGTTCCGTCATGACGACCTACTACTTCCCCGACGAACCTTTTAACCCTCACCGACATCTCATATTTACGACATCCTTAGTCGTGACTTCAATGGTGCTCTCTCTCATAACCTGTGACCTGGGCAGTGTCTTCGAGCTCATTGGAGCTACCAGTGCTGCTGCTCTGGCATACATTTTCCCTCCGCTGTGCTATATCAAGCTTAGCAGTGCGTCTCGACGAGAAAAAATCCCGGCATATTTGTGTGTGGGATTTGGCGTTGTTGTGATGGGAGTGAGTGTAGTTCAAGCCGTCGTGAAAATTATTAGAAGTGAGTCCTCACATGTTGTCGTTTTGCTCCGAGAAATCATTTTTTGCACTTGGGGGCCATTAGCTAACATGATGCAGAGGATGGGGATCCTCATAGCTGCAGTGCATAGAAATAGAATTCTCGTTGCTAGACTAGGCAATACTCCAATGGAAGACTGTTGAGTCCTAGTTACGTGCCTTCCTCTTTTGCGCGCCAGTTTGGGATGATTGCAGGGCAGTCGCATAATAATAATTTTCTCGCCCTTGTGCAGTCTGGAAACGAGAGCGACCTCTTCCTCTTCCATCCCCCATCCCCCTCTCACTCGAAATCTACCGATTGATGGATGCTAGTCCAGGGGAGGGAGGTATTCAAAGTATACGACAAGAATTACATACTTGCCAGGCTTCTACTATATACAGGACTCGAAGCCCACGTGCGCTAGTCTACGTGCGCTAGTCACCCACGTGCTGAATTACCCAAAACGTCGACACCCACGTGGCCAAGCTTTTTGCCATTTCCAGACGGAAGGAACGATGGACACAGTGGCTGGCACAGTGCCTGGATGGGCAACACCCTTTCGTCACATGTTTGTTTTTATCAATCGCCTACTCACTGCGTCCTCTTTCACGGATTTTTTCAATCCAACCATCCTCTTCATCTTTCAACGCACTCACTCTGCATGATCTTGCAAGTACTTGCTCTGCATCATCTACTCAGGTTTTTCTCTGCTCCCCACTACGAGATTCGATCTCTCAAGCATCTCTCACTTCAAAGAGCCTCGCCGATCCGACGAGGTCTCTACGCGTCGATCATAACCTTGGGCTTCTCCAGCTCGTTGTCAAGCATACCATCCATCCCCCTCTCGTCGGCAAGTCCGACACCAACCCCCTGCTACCCTGTAAGTCATATTCTCTGTTCCCTGTCGGCATCTCTCAAGCGCCACTCGTCCGAGTCTCTCCTGCCCTTGGCATTACTTACTCTCTTCTCATTTCCAGCGTGTCTAGCGAAAGTAAGATAAGGTATCTATTGACTTCAAGCGCGTCAATACACTCTTTGCCTACCTGCTGGTTGACGCTGTCAGCACAACGACATGGGCGACAACAACGAGGGCGAAAGTCCAGAGGAGCGCAAGCGCTCCGAGAAGCTCAAGGCCCTGCAGATGGTACTAAGCCACTTCCCGCTTACTTCCTGATTACCCTGCTTTCTGTGTATCCGCTAACTCAAAGATCCAATAGGCCGATCTGGGCACATCGCGTCGTGAGGTGATCTCAACCCACGATGTCTCTCGGAACCGGGGCCCCCAGCGGGGTCAGCTTGGAGCCGACAGAGAGTGTGATAAGCCAGGCACTGCTGCCTACCAATTGGCTCGGGCTAACAGGACCACACTGGACGCTTGGTCAAGTTCGTGTCCAACAGATGACTATTGGGCCTTTGACTAAATCTCAGCTTTATAGACTACCACACAATCGTCACAGACACCGGTAACATGGAGGAGTTGGACGACATCAATGACGGGCAGTCCCACCGCCGTGCTCTAAATGAGCAATTTGCGGGCCGACGTCGACCGATGCTCCAGCTTTCGGACCCGCAGTTCAACAGCCCCCCATCCATCGGGAACCACCTTGTTCCTCCAACATCTCGGGGCCGTGGTGGCGGCCGTGCTGGAACAAACCGCCGCGCTTCTTACGCTCCGTCTCCTGCAAAGTAAGCAATTCCTTTCCTTTGCAAACGTTACAAACTAACCAGAACAAAAGGTCTCGCACATCTCACCGTGGAGGCATTGTGAAGACCAACAACCAACGGTCTGTGACTGTGGGGGCTCGACTGGACCCTGCCCTGAACGAAAACAATGATGGCATCGACCCACAAGCACGCGGTAGTGGCCGAGGCCGAAACCGAGGTCTTGATCGAGGAAGAGCGCGGGCGACACCACGTCAAAGCCCCCTGCCTCCTCGACCTCCCCGTGCCCAACGACCGCTTTTAACGTATGTCGATTGGTTCTGTTATGTTTCTATGCTAATTTCTCGTTCAGTCAGGACATGTCGGGCAGATTATCCGACACCTCATCGTTCCTATCCATTATGAAAGCTCGCAGCGTATCCGTGCCAAAGCCACCAGCTGCCCTTCCTGTGTCCCCTCCGATGAAGACATCATACCACGATCAGCCATTGGCGGAGCGTATGAGTCCACCATCTCTAACGCCATCCCGGATTGTGCCTCGCTCTCAAACTGCCGCGTTTTCGAAATCAAAGGGCCGCTCTCCGACTTCCAATAGCACTGCAAAGGCCCCCATCGAAGGGACTGGCACTTCCATCGATGTCGAAGACCTCAAGTGGAAAATCTCCGCAGGTGAATTCCCACGCAAGAAGAGCCCCTTGTCGCCTGTGTCCACTCCGGCCAAGAAGAAGGCAGCCCCTGTTGCCAAGCTTCCTCAAGCTGCGCAGAAAAAATCTTCTGGCGAAGCACAAGCAGTCAAACAGCGAGCTTTAGGTCAAAATCTTCTTGATGAGGGTCCTACTGTGGCAGAAACGTCCATCCAGACAGACGATGTGTCTTCGTACATTCCAGGCGAGGATCTTATCAACCTGGAATTCACCACACCCCCCAGACAAGCTGCTTTTGCTAGTCCCAGTGCTGCCGTCCTGGAGGGACTGGATTTTGCTGTCCCACTTCTGCCCTTTGCCCCATCGCCGTCTTCCATTTATGTCTCTGCCGACGCAGAAAGCCAACTGGGTGAACTGGGTTTTTCTGATGTGATATCCACTCGGAATGAAGAGCCTGGGGCCGAATTCTGGGATCTCATAGGTAACACCGTGGGTAGAAGTGTGGGTTCAGCCCTCAAGGATGCGTATGGAAAGGGTTATATCCCACCCTTCATCAACAAATCTGATCAACAAGGAACCTCAGCCATTTCTCGTAATCTGGCCACCAAAAGCGCTGAACAGTTCCTGAAGGGTATCTCAACTCCAAATCACGACATGTCACGCTTGGAGCAGTGGTTGACAAAGGCTAACAATGCAATTGAAGGTCCGAGCTTTGAAAAACATCGTTCGCCTCATGGCTCCTCGCCGGAATCCGCGGACCAGAAGCCATCAACTCGGTTGCCAGTGCCAGGGCTATCGCCTCACAAGAGCGAATACTCGGAGCTTGATCTCCAGCATGTTGAGCTGATCAAGCCCCTCGATTTCACCAAGGCTATCGAGTCTACCAAGCCCATCAAGTTCGACAAGCCTGTCGAGGCGACAAAGCCACCTCAGAAGCCGGTGCCTGAGACTTCACCCTCCAGTGTTTTTGTCAAGCCCACGGGTCTTCTCGATTCCAAATACGCCTCCGAGCCACCTGCAGCTCTGACAAAGCTGACAAGAAAGAAGCCCGCTAGCGCAACCGCCAAGTCGGTTCCCCATGATATGACGAGCAGAATGGTATCGCGTTCCCAAGCTGCGCCTTCGCGTCCCCCGGGTCTAGCTGCACCTTCCCGTCCTCCAGGTCCGCCTTCGGGTTCCCAAGCCATGGCATCGCGTCCCAAGTCTTCCGCTCGAGTGTTGAGTGAAAGGACCCCAAACGTTCACCAGCCTGTGAGTTCAACTGGAGTGCGCACAATCGGACCCGCTCCTTCTGTCTTTGAGCCTACCACACTTCGAGATGGCCATGGGTCTGCAGCTCCTCCCATCTCTGTCCGGCAGCCAGCTGCGAGAGTGCCTCTTCAGGCGGAGAACTGGTCAGCAAATATTGCCTCGGCGAGCTCCAGCTCTGACGCTTTGCGTAGGGTAAGCAACCTGACCTTCCCGCGGATGCAGCCTGTGTCATTTCCGGTTCCCCGAGTCATTGGTCCCGGTCCTGGTATTGTGTTACCTGGATTTTCCCCTACACCACTGACCATGTCTGGTGATAAAGCGGTGAGCAAGGTGACTATTTTGGGCCCTGCTCCGTTCACTCCTCGGAAGTGAACAATCTAACGCACATGCATGCCTCACATTGAGCTTAAAACAAGCTCGTGCGGCATCCAAGACGTATCGCAAATACGTCTAGTTGAGCCACTTATGCGATCTCGTCTCTCATTTTTATCATGGACAATCTTCAGAAAATACGAATATTTGAGAAAAAAAAACTAACAAACAAAACCACAAAACCCAGGCGTTCTGCCTGTCAGTTCCCCAATATCACCTGTTCGATGTATGCTCTCATTAGGGTCATTTCCTACTCTCCCTCCGCCATCATCCTAACCCTGCTGTCAGCTTGAGCCATCATCTCCTCTTTGTGTATTTGGAAAGAATCTCTGTCTTCAGTTGCAAACTTGTCAAGGGCAAAGGGGTCATGTTGTTCGACTGATTTTGTCAAAATAGCTCACTTAATGATGCTAGTGTCTGCGTCGTGAATCCTCCTCTGCAAGTAGATGTAGGCTGTGTAGTGTTCCAAGGGTTTTTTGTAGAACGTCTAGTGAGATGTCCATGTCTGTCACGGGAATGAAGTACATGTACGCTGCATCTTATACCTTTGTGGATCCACAAGCTGCCAGGGGATAAGGTAGACCCACATCCCGGAGAAAAAGCTCCACCATAAGCAAGTTCAAAGTAAATCTAGCAATCACCCCCGGTGCAGCTCAGTAATAGAACCTTAGAACGAGCGTATTGCACGACGAATCCCGGAATGTGCGGTCTTTTTCATGTAGCGAGGCAATGGGGGTTGCTGCTGATGCTGATGGACAATTGGACAACACAGACAGACAACTTGTCCTAGCTAAGAAAATAAAATTGCCCACGTCACATATCCACATGTATCAGACAGACTGATTGGTGCGGATTCATTTAGTCTTTCCGTGACATTTGTACCTGATCTGCAGAAACTGATGGGTCTCTGGGTCCGGGATCGTCCTCGTGCGGTCCGCCGTTTACGGTTCGGTGGGTAGGATTTTACGGTCCCAGGGGGAGGAACCGATTTTACGGACTCAGGGGGGAGGAACCATTTTGACTGACGGAATATAGATTAAATATACGTGTATCGTAGTATGCGCCTCAGTGGGTCCGGAGCAATGTCGATGGGGGACCGGTGGGGAGGGATTTTGTTGGTAAAGTATGCAGCATGCAGGGTAAATATGCATGCGGTGGGATAGGATGGGATGGGATGTGATGGGATTGCATGAGATGGGATTGGATGAGATGGGAAGAAAAAAGCTGGATCGAGTAACAGTTGCAAGCCTGATAGATCACATTAAGGAAGGATAGGTATTCGAGTCCATAAGTAAATTTGGACTGCATAAGGAATGGCTGAACGGAGGGGACAACTTTTTAATTCCAATTCCCCGAAAAAAATAAGTCTAGATCGACGGGCAGTTTTCCCATATCACCTATTTCTGGGCTTCCGACTTGTAACCGTAATAGCAGACAACTAAGAAAAAAAATTTAGGACTTTTGTTATTCTCCTTTCCCCTTGGCATTTTTGACCAAATCGGGCTCGATCTTTACTCTCGATCGGCACACAACAGGTCCCAGATTCTTACCGTCGTCCTTTTTTTCGATCGGGTACATTATCTACGGATCTCGGACTCCTTTCCCCGGGCCCCTCTCTGCGGCTCTACCGCGTCTTGGATAAACGGTTCGTATATTGTACCTGGGACTATCGGATGTCCAAAACTGGTTGAAACCAAATAAGGATCTGCTGACTCTATCAAAGTCAGTTGAGATCAAACTTGACCGCCATATGACCTGCTAACGCTGAAAAGATGCGGTGAGAACTACAGGTCAAATTTCATCCTTGTTGCATACCACAGCGGAGAGTGATGAATTCTAGTGCTGGGTGAATAACCTATGTATCCTCGGGAGTGCTAAATTTACATGCAAACTATTTCAAAATAGATACATCCACGGTCTCATAACCTACAGCCTGCTCGTGTACAAGGCTTGACAAATCTCATCACATGTATTAAGATACCCAGACTGGTTCGGTCACGCATCTGTAGCAAATGTGGTCAGTGGAAATCTTCATAGTCAGGGAGTATTCTTTACCGTTGAAGGCATACGGTTTACGCCTTCTTGGTTGCTGTATATTCGGACAGACAGAGGTTATATCTTCCTAGGGAAGTCAGTCAATGATTGCTCAGGACTTTTACAACTTCGGGATCGAACCAGATCATTTTCGACAGGACGCTCGCGAGTGCCCCTCAAGTACAAAGCAACCAGTAGGAAAACAGAAGCGACAACGCCAGCAAGGATAGTGTTCGCTGTCTTGGCGTGTGCAAAATAGAAATCAAACAGCAAGGCCATTTTGTAAGGGCGGCCTATAAATAATGGACTTTTGTAGATCGAGAGACTGGATCTCAAAAGAGAGTTAAACTAGAAGAGTCGGACGGGCACCTTCTTAAATATTCTCACCACCGTACGTGTAGGAGATTCTCGACCGCCATGTCACCGTAGATCCTCTCCGCAGGGAGGCTCGTTTTGCTGTATGGGACTGAGGAGCCTCGAATCCTCACAAGCACAGCACCCGGCGCGCCGGTACTCCTGCCGCGATCACTCTAGCGCTGATCAATCACTTAAGTAATGGACTTATTTTAAAAAATGTGGGAGTAAAAAAAATTAGACATATGCGAATCCCGCGAGTCCTGCGTTCCATACGTTCCATACGTTCCATACTAAAAAAACGGGATTCAACGCCACCAACTACGATACCCAACCAGATCTCGACCATTAGGAAACCTGTCCAACCTGTCCAAAGCACCTCGTGAACCCCTGTCCCAAATGCAAAAGTGCCGAAAGACTAGGTGCCAGCAGACGGAGACAAAGCGCGGAACCCCATAGTAAGTTCCGGGGGTCGCGAAGAACCCAGAACTCGGGAGGCTTGCATCTAAAGTGAAGCGTTAGTGGAATTTTTTTGTGCCCGCGTTCCAGATAATCCAGGCATACCGGAAGCTAGAGAGATTCTTTCCGGTGGAGGTGACTTCTTTGTGGCTTCTTTGTGGCGGATTAGGGCTAGAATAATTTCGACTAACTGTTAATGCAAGCTAAAAAATAACGTGGCTTTTTTTCCCGTTCTTTTTATTTTTATGTTTATTCTTATTTTCCCAGTAAATTTCGTTTCCTCTTCGACAAGTCTATTCATTGACTGCTGTGCTGCAGGCGATTCGCCTACTCCGGAGAGAAGCCACCAAAGGACCAACGGTGTCCACATAGTATCGCGGAGCATCACAAACAGTGCCACTTTCCTGAATCTCTCAATGCCTTGGTTGAATGCTACCTAACAGAGGCTTGACTGAAACCTGTCAAAACTCCCTAATGATAGAAGTGGACAGACACTTGGTCTAGGCAGCCAAGTTTCTAGGCGGTTCAATATATCATTGAAATAATTTGATTTTTTGTCGACAGCGTTGTTTTATCCAGCCTTTCAGCATGCTACCTGTCCAGACTTTTCAGCAGATTGCCTCTCTACTAATATCAAACAATGCATCATGAACGCTTTACTCGTTACCTATATATAGTAGCCGTAAATTGCATGCAGACCGGTATAAGGAAGCTTGAAGTGGCATTGAGCCTTGGAAGGGACGTGTATTAAACGTCTGGATTGACAATAAATTCTAACAGGATACGCTGCCGTTCAGCATGCTCCATCATTCTAAAATAATGAAAAGTAAGTGTGTCCAGAAAAACAATGTACTAATAAGCACTTGATAAACCATGTATTCCATCATGGGATCCTAAAGATCCATTGACCTGAAGACACCCAAAGTAAATGTAAACGCCACTCATCCTTGCTAGCCATGGTAAACATGCAATGACGCCATGATACCGGATTTCAAAAAGACGATACAAATGAGAGACGCTTGTGCTTGTGTTTGAGAGTTGCGCAGTGATTTACCCTCCTTCGGGGTAGAGACATCATATTCATTACTGGGTTGGCGGTCGAGGGTCAGAAGAGTCAGCATCCGAGACCCGGGGTCGTTTCGGTTCATTTGGACCGGGGACAGGTGGCCCAGGATTGGCGCCTGGCGAAGCATTGGCATTTGTGACATCGGTCAAGGGAGGTCGTTTTCCATTTAGGTTCTGTGGGGGGACGCTGCTCCTATTCATGGCGGCTGAATTGGAACCGTTGTTGGGTCGTGTCAAGGGACGGTAAGATGAGACAGATGGGCCTCGGCTGACTGGACTGCCGAATCCGCTACCGGGAGCACCGACTTTGCGTTGTAGATCGACTGCCGGGTTGACATAGTCGCGTGAGTTGTTGTTGGGTGCGGGAGAGGCGTTGGAAAGCATGGGTCTGGAAATGGGAACGCTCTTGGTATGGTCTACGCCGGCTGTTTTGCGGATCGATGGACTCTCTGCGTGTGGATCAAATTGTGGTGCTGCCGATGCGCCGTTTGGGTTGTCGCGAAGGAGATCTACTGCTCTGGCAGAGTAGAATCCACCTGACGGTGTCCCTTGGGGTGGGTTCATTTCCTGATTCCCCCCAGAAAAGGATTCCCTTTTGATTGGAGGTTGGGCGATGTTATTTGCTTGTCCGTTTTGACCAGCTTGTTGTTGTGGTGGGACTGGAGGTCTGATATTTTGAATGATTTGAGCAGGATTTTGGCCGGGCATGGGACGACCATTTGCTGCAGCAGGTGGTGGGATGGCACCTGGGGTCTGTCGTGCAATTGGTGGAACTGGTCGTCCTGCCGGGCCTGAACCGTTCCATCGCTCAGGTTTAGAGGGTGTGACGACAGCTGGGTTGAATCCTGTCTGCACAGCAGGCCCACGTTGTGGGGCTGGACCAGTTGTAGGGACAGGTGGCTGTTGGCGTGGAGGCTCGGTGTCTATTACTATCTCATCAGGATTACCTGAATCGGGAACTCCAAAATCGGCTTCATCAAAGAGATCACCTGTATTTGTTAGCCAAGTCTTGGGCTCGCATTTGTTTGAACATACTTCCAAATTCCCCGTCACCATCAGTAGGAACATGCTTTCCTATATGGTTATTCCTAGCTTGGTTGACAGGAAGAGGAAGGGGTAAATCGTCATCCTCGGATACCCGTTTGGGCGGAGGTGGAGGTTGTTCTTTCTTAACAGGCGGGGCAAAGTCAGGGTGACGATGAAGATCTTCAATATCCCATTTCGCCTGGTTCAAGAGTCAGCAGGGTATAGATATTAGAGAACATCATAGATCTTACGGGAGCTGCCTTCACCCTAGTCACTTTGGAGACATAGTCCTTGTCATAAACACAATTGCCCAACACGTTGCCGAAGGTCCTCAAAGTACGTTTCAACGAATCTGTTGTGCCTTCTTTCTTGGCCTTCTCAAAGGCCGCGGCCTTACCCTTGCAATTCTCGATATGTCCGTAGCCGATATCCTAAAAGAGGGGGAAGTTAACGCTAGTCCCGGTTCAAATTCCCCGTTTTCACGTGGGCTGCCCTACCTCGTGGAAAGTGCCATCCCTTAGAGTGACTCTCATGATTACCGAGAGACCTAAGCTGATTTTGCCTGTGTTTGGATTCTCCTCAACCTAATTGATAAGTGTTAGACAGTCCCTTTTGTCACTATATAACCCGAGGATAACACACAAAATCGATCTGGATAGTCTGGATAGAGCTGGACCAGCCATTGAACCCAAACACTTCATTCGCAAGGTTGATGCATTTGTCTGCGGCAAGATAGTGCACTTTCTGCCCCGCGGCACCAGGTCGTGCGGAGATATACTCAGGCCCTAGTTTCTTATCGAGGCGGGATTGTAGTGTTGCAATCTCCTGTGCAGTGTATTCATTGATGCGGCGTTGGGGCTCTTCGAAGGGGTTCGCTGTGGCGGCACCTGTTGTGTTCGGCATTATGATGTTCGCTGGACCACCGCGATGTTGGTCGCCAACACTGGGGATATTGCTATCAGTTCTGGTTCCATGGGGTAGTTGAACGATGTCTAATCTTAGGGGGATGATCTCACGCTGGCATGTTTTGCAAGTGATGTCGACTTTTGTTATACGGGATGCGCTGAGCGCGTCTTCTCAGGCACCGAGACGCGGCTTAATCGCGACATCACGTGTCGAAGAGATAAGATAACAGATAGATAACAGATCTCGAGGTAAACAGAAGAAAAAGAAGAATACACTACGAATAAGAGCGTCAATCTCAGGTTTTTATAGCTAATATTTAGTCCTTAAATCCACCTGGCGAGGTGCTAGGGCTAATTACCCCAAACCGGAGGCTATGGCATTATTGAACGACTAGAGAGGCACTGGGAACGAGTCCTAATTCCTTCAAAGTCTCTCCAAAGAACTCTGCGTCAAAAACCTTCTTAGGGAAGTTCTGCACAAAGCTCTGGACCTCAATTCCATCCTGTTCCTTCAGCGCCGCAGCAACCTCAAACAGTGTGGTGTCAACAGGGAGAGTCTTCATGATGTTGCCCTTGGGCGATTGGAATCGCAAGCGGGTTTCTGTGTATGCGGAAGCTGGCTTGGACGTAGCGGGACCGGAAGCAGTGGGTACTGGAGCAGCAGCAGGGGCGGGAGGAGGGGCGACGCCGGCACGCTCAGCTCGTTCACGCTCGGCCTTCAGCCGTCTCTCCTCCTTGTCCGCCTCGATCTTTGCCTTGATACGCTTCTTCGCATCGATGTCATCCTGCTTCTCCTTTTTCTTGGCCGCCGCTTCCTTCATCATTTGTTTCCGTTGGAGCTCCTCCTTAGCGTCCTGGCTCTCTTTTGTGCTCTTCTGTCGGATTTTCTAGGAAACCAAGTTAGTAAATAACCCCAGTCACAAGCTAGCAAGACAAAACCCCAATAGACATACCTCATTGTTCTTCTTGTCAATTTTATCCTGCTCTGATTGTCCTGCCCGCTTTGCCGCAAGCTTCTCCCGAAGCTCTGCCAGTCGTTCCTTCTTCTGCTCCTCGGTCAAGGGGGCAATTTCTTCTGTGGACTCTGAGAAATCGACGTGCTGCGACTTGGATGCGTGGAACTCGGCCTGTGCCGTGCTTCGGAATTTTTTGCCACAATCGTTGCAGACCAAGCTGCGTGGTGCTTCGCCGGGTTGAAGTGCGGGGCCGTCCTCCTCTTGCGCTTCAGCCTGAGCTTGAATTTCCTCCAACGACTTGTCCTGGTTATCTTCAAGCCACTGCAATGCGCCCTGCACTGTTTCATTTGTCAGAGATCTGTTCACCGTCACATCGAAGGGTGAAAACTTACAGCCGCCTGTTTTCGTGACCGCGATCTGAGCGCGTTCTTTGTCGAAGCCCATTTCAATGAGCTGGTCTAAGTCGGACGCCATGATTTAGAGGCTTAGAAATCAAATAAGTATTCTGAAAAGGGAAGAAATGTTAAGGGAGTGGAAGAAGTGAAGGCTTAAGAACACGAGTGACGTATCAGAAAGGCGGCAAGCGATAAGGCCCACCCAGCTTCCCCTCCACACTTCACTATTTGACCTTGTTCAGATGGCTACAAAGTCAATGATTTTTTGGTCGATCGGTGCCTGATTGTGTCAAATGACACAACGTGGGCCTCTGTCTATCTAAATATTATGCAACATTGTCAGGAAGTGGCACGGGGCGGTGCCTTGGAAGTCAGGCTTCCAGCCAGAAAATTGACGACAAGACAGCAACATATCCACTGGCCACCGGGTAGAGGGATGCTTCTAAACGACAGAAAACACTTCCGGTAACATGCGGTGCTACAAAACCGCATCGCAAGTTGCCGTCAATGTGTCTAGCCTTCATGTGTTTGAATCCCTGTATGCACCGACAGCATTCTACAGTGCTTGCTGGATTTAATGGCTGATGTCAGGGAAGTGATCAACCCCATAATGAAAGTCAGGGTTATACGCTCCAGAATAAGATACGATACAATGGCTCTTTCTGTAGCCAAAATAGTAGGATAACATGCATAGAGAATCAATGAAGATACCTTTTCGTAGTCAAGTTCTCTCAATATAACGAGGTGAATTAAATATCAAGTTCGCCTCCAGTATGTTCAAAAGAGGCCTTCCTCCAAACTCCAAGACCTGATCATCCAGCTGTCATCGCCTTGAGTGTGTAGGGATTGTCGTCAACTAAGTGACCTCAGATGACCTTCGCTGCTCCTTCTACCATCTCGTAGTCAAACTCATGCACTACTCCAGAACCCATCGTCCACAATGCCATGCAGTTCAGTTTTGGCATGCCAAGAGCCGCCCGGCCAGCAGAAAGATAGATGGTCGTTGGCAAACCTCGCGATATATCGATGTCGAATACACCAGTATTTGCCTTCTTCAGCAGGACTCTGTACGTAACCAGGCCACGCTGGCGGTATATCAAAGCCAGGATGGTCATCACCCTCCGGGTCATGTGGGTCTTTGGGCGCCCTTTCAAATAATTGGACCGAAAGGTTCGTCATCCGTGGCCAGCAAGGGGTTGTTAGAATTTTGTCTGTATTCAAAGACAGAAAAGGTCCTTTCCCAACACAGTTCCCCTGATGTTTAGGGTCGTCAATTGCTGAGAAAAATCATTAAGTGCAAGCTAAACATATCCCCCACACCCTTTGTCACACCTAAAGGGGAAAAGGATTGATCCGAAGGAGGCGCGTAGTCGAATTTAACTGGAACTCCTGTATATCAGGAGGAAACAAGTGAAGATTACGAGCAAAGTCTAACGAGATATTAGGATATATTTCATCGGGTGCATTTCTGGGATCATAGAGCTTACCATCTCGAAGACGTTTCCTCAACTCTTCGTCCCGCTTGCATTCAACCTGTAGGAATAACTAGGCATGGGTTAGTCCAGGTAGCTTAGGCGCGATACGATCGCTTGATGCCGATTCGATTAGAAGTTGTAACCAAGATCCTCCTTGGGATCCCAGGGTAAGGGTTATGGTTGCAGTGACAGACGAGCACCGTGAACCAGCAAAAATTTCAGAAAATTCAAGGTAAGATCTTTCATATTGATGTTTCATCAGGTCCTCCCATCATAGAGAGGCTGCTCGGTCTCGTTCGCATATTTCGCTCTTTTCCCTGCATAACAAATAGTCACTGGGAGATTGCACATTGATAGTGAGTGTGATGTTAGCACCTCTGGCCGGGATGCTAAAAATCCGAATAGAGAGTGGAAAGCTGTGATAAAGATCTTGTTTTTCCGCTGGTGTTCCTCGTCCGTCTCGAAGTTGGCGCGTGCCTTCTCGTCATATGACTCTAGCCCCACCATGAGAACAATATGGCGAATGCAAGACTTTCTGTAGGCGTTTGATGCTAGCTGTTCGAATTCCTGGAACCGCTTAGCACTGTGGAGGTAGATGGTGGAAAACATGCGCCTCTCGATCTCCGCCAGCCAGCGGCGGATCAGAGTGGTACATGGGACTATTTGAAGCTTTGGTTCGGACTATGCTCTAGTATTGATGTAGTGCACTACTGGGGATATCAGCTCTGGGGGTGATCAAATTAATAAAGTACCAATATCAACAAAGATTCCATGTGAATGGAGAGCCGGCGTGGGATGACCCACTGCATCATATGCGGGGGTATTCATCTGAGGATGCACCATATGACAAAAATAGTAGGATGATTACCAGTCTACGTAGCCTAATGCCTGCTCATGAAACAAGATATCAACAAGAGTAAACAAAAGAGCCCTTGATCGTATAAAGGGTCAATGGTGACATCACCTGACTGATGAGTCAGCATTTCCCCAAAGTGGACAGTAATCAAACTCCTGAGGCGTTGCGGCCTACTTGCACTTGATATCCTTCCCAACGACTTTTCCTCCGAGTTGCAACCTTGTCCACGTGCAGTGCCCGTGCTTCCTTTCTCTTTGTCTTCTTTTGTTACCTGTACCACCCTGTTCACGACCACGATGTCTATCCAAATCGAGCCCTCCGAGTTGGGCTTCCACCGTGCGTCCCCGATCCCGCCTCTGGATGCCTCCCGGCCAAACTGATTTCGCCATGTCTAGGTCCCTTCGACCATGAGAAATGCCAGGTCCTGCGCCTTACCAACACCAACCAAGAATCTGTGGTATTCAAGGTATGCCCACTCTTCCATCCAGGCACTTGTCGCGAAATACGACCGGTACTAACGTCACTGGCGCACTAGGTCAAAACCACCGCTCCTAAGCAGTATGTCCCAGCGATATCTTGCGCGACCCCTATATCTTAGATCTGTCGTTTGACTATTCTAGTTACTGTGTGCGCCCTAACTCCGGTCACATCGAGGCCGGCAAGGCCGTGGAGGTCCAAGGTTGGTCGATAGTCGATTTCGCACAAACAAGCTAGAACTAATGGTTTCGATAGTGCTTCTACAGGTCCTGAAGGATGCACCTGCCCCCGGTGCCAAGTGCAAGGACAAGTTCTTGGTCCAGGCCGTCCCTGTCGCTCCTGGACAGGAACAGGCCAGCGTCACCCAGATTGTACGTTCGGCTGTCGAAGCGCACAACACAAGACCGATAACTAATATCTATGTCTAGTTCGATCAAACCCCCAAGGCCGAAGTTGTTGAGCGCAAGATTCGAGTGACTTGGCTGGAAGAAGACTCTGGCGACAAGGTTAATGATTCCGTATGCCCCCCAGCAACTTTCAATGCGCATAGTCTAACAACCCGCTATCAGGTTATTAATGAAGAACCCCCCGCCTACACCTCCCCCGGGGGAAACTTCGAGACCCCTGCCCCCAAGAAGAGCTCCGTCGACGAAGCCTCCCCCATTCCTCAGCCCAATTTCTCCGAGAAGATCAAGTCCGAACCCTCTCCCCAGCGCGAGACTGCCCCTTCTGCCCTCTCAAGTGCCAAGTCCGCCGTCGCCAATGCCCTACCCTCTAGTGATGAACTCAAGGCCCAGCTCGCCGAAGCCAACGCACAGATTCAGCGTCTCAAGGACCGGCTTGCAGATCAAGGTCTCCGCCAGCGGAAGACCGGTGCCGAGGTTGGCAAGGCCGCACCTGCCATCATGCAGCAGTCACATGGGCAAACGGAAGCCGGCGTCTCCATCCAGGTTGTTGCAGGTCTATGCCTGCTCAGCTTCCTGATCGCCTACTTCTTCTTCTAAGCTGGTCTACTGCTCTTTACGGTCTCTTTGGGTTCATTGCGCTCTTCACCCCACGTGCTCCTCCGGTCTTACGTCGCTGACGCCTCTCTCAAATTCCCATCTACTCTTTGTCTCTTGAAGAGCATTCCATTTCTGTTCTAGCATCAGCCCTTTGCCTGCGTCTGTTTGATTTCTTATTTTTCCCGGTATCAATATCTTGTTTTTTTTTTGTCTCTGGGCTTCCGGATCTCCTCTCGAGTTAGACACCCGCGTGTCTACCTCTATCCCCTTTTCCTTCTCCTTTGTCTCTTTACCCATCCTGTCTTGTCTAATTTCATATTATCATGATGAACGGACACCGTCTTCTGATTCGGTTGTTATTTGTTCCATAAACGATTCTCGAGCTCACGCAGATTAATTCATGTGCTTGCGGTTACTCCTAGGCCTATGCCCATGTAGCTGGAGGCTTTCTGTTTCATCCTTGCAACTAGTTGACTCCTGCAAAGAGAATCCAAAACATACATATACCTAAACCTTCCCATGTCCGGAGATGTTCACGATGAAGTCCAACTTAGAAGACAAAACATAAATTGTAACCAATTGTATTCCCAATACTCCTGTAATGTATATAACCAAATCCCAGATAGAAACGAAAAATCTAACATTGAATCTCACTCTCCTTCCACCCATCGCCCTCCTCACCAGCCGGGCCTGCCGACGCAGCCGAGATCCCCTCACCACCACGACCAGTACCCTGCTTCGAAGCAGCACCAGAGTCACCATCATTCTTCTTCCCACCACCAACAATCCGACCACCCTGCGCGCGCTTCACACGGCACCACGGACCAACATCCTTATCCAAGATGAAAGTCCAAATAACCCAAACCCAGCTCCGATGACAAGGAAGTGGCTCGTAGAATTCTCTCGCAATCTCATGCAACTTATGCAATTTCGTCCAGGGGATGGCCGGGAAATCATGGTGCTCGTTATGCAAACCCACATTGTAAGTGAGAATATTGAGGGGGCCATAATAAGAATATGTCTCCGGAGGAGGAAGGGAATCAAGCGGGTGGGGGGTGGACTTCTCGTTCTTCTTGAGCTCGGTCAAAGACTCCGTCCCGCCCGTCTTGACGTTTGAGAAGAAGTAGTGCTCGGCGATGAAGTGGCCAGCGCAGGGGTGTAGGGAACCAGCGAGGAAGGAGCTCATCAGGAAATATACGACTGGTTGGATGGAGCCGTTGCAAAGCTTTGTTATGGCGTAGTCGAAGCTCAGTTGGACGATTAGGTTCAGAAGGTGTATGTAGGTGAACGGGGGGCTGTAGATAAACATTGGGCGCACGGCGTAGAAGAGGATCTGGAAGGTACAGAAGAAGGTCTTTCCTAGCAGAGAGTTTAGGAAGAAGGCTTCAACCGCTGTTGGGAGATCGGTGTCTAGGCCTGTTACGCCGAGGGATTTGTGATGGGTCAGGTGGTAAGGCTGTGTGGGATTTGTGTTAGTTCATTGCATTCTTCGGGGTTGGTCTGCTGGTGCCATGGTCTGAGAGATGAACGTACTCTGAACGCAGCACTGTATGGGACGCCAATAGGGAAGTTTGCGAAGATGGCCAGCAGGCGGTTGGCCATGGGCGAGCGGAACGCCAGGTTGTGAGAAATCTCATGGATGGCAAGGAACAGGTTCTGATTGCAAGTCGCACCGATCACGTATGCCGTGGCCAGGAAGCGCCAGTCGAGCATGGAGGTGTTGCGGAGGAGGTAGGCGCAGGTGAGTTGCAGGGAGACGACGCCGAGAACGACCCATTTTGTAAGAGGCTCGGGGCCACATAGCTTGGTGACCTGGATTGAGACTTGAATCAGCACCGTGATTGCATTTGTTGCGGAGTTCGCCGTCCGAGACAGTGGCCAGGTGAATGCAGGGACTCTCCGCTATCCTCCGCACGGAATTGTCCCTGAAACCCCCGACCACACCTGATGCTCACGAAACAAGGTCACTTACCTCCGGATGGGCCTTGATAATTGCCTGGCGTCTTGAGCGGTGTGGCTCTTCGGTGTATGTCCAGAAGAAGTGGTCGTCGACCAGAGCCTCGGGTGCCTGGATTCTGGTGGAAGCGGGCTCTGTTTTGGACGTCTTCGCCGACACCCGGAGATGCGGCGTGGCTGTTTCGACCGCGGTCATGCTGTATGCGAATTGACCGAAAAGTGACAGAACAGGAGAGAGGCAAATGAAAAAAAGCCGGGAGTCGAATGTTCCACGTGGGGCGACACGGCATACATGGATGGCTTGGCACGATCGACTGCTAACCTGTTTTACACTATGGAGTACGAAGTACGGGCGCTTCACCTATTACTAATGGGCTGCTTCTTGAATGTTGTTGCTTTTGGTACTTGGGATCTATGGATATTCCAAATCAGTAGTCGTCGCCGCGACTAATAACCTCCTTAACATTCGGGCGGAGCACAATTGTCTATAAAATAAGTCAGTGAAAGCTCAAGCATAACAAAAATAGAAACATACATGTTCATATTGGGCAGTGTATGAGCCCTTGATATCGCACAGAGGGGGTAGTCTTGGACAATGCCCGAGGAGACCAGGTTGTTCAACTATATTTGGATTAGCTGGAGGGATGTCGAATGGACTCAACCATGAACTTACACCCAGGAGATACTTTTCCTGACCCAATCGGTCAAGGTAACGACGGCAGAAGGGAAGGGTTCCGAAGTTCTTGTTGATGACGTTCAGCAGGTTCTTAGCGGATGAAAGACGCAAGGGAACATTAGGGGCGTCAGAGGCGAGAGCATAGTGCGAGGTTTCCATCTAATAATGTTAGCATTTTCCTCCCAGTATCTTTGCGCAATAAACTTACTTCCTCCCGCACGTAACCCTTTCCAGTACTACCGAAAGTTTCGATAGCAAAGACCTCGCCTTCTTCCATCTTGGTCTGGTCGGTGCTGCTCTTGACAATAGGCACACTTTTGCCGCCGTGAATGACGTGCTGGTCAATGTTGTGACCGTTCAGATTGCGAATACACTTGACCGGGTGCATCGTGCCGTTGAGCTCGACTTCGTAGCTCTCCATAGCCTCTTGGATAGCGGCACCGATGTCACTCATGCGGACATCAATTCCAGCTTCCTAATCACATGTCAGCTCTGCTCGATATTCAAATGTGTCAATAAACTCACCCGAATACCAGTGTTGGTGGCATCTTTGACGGCCTCCAGAAGAGGATCGTACACAGGGTCGAAGGACATGGTAAATGCACTGTCCACAATGCGGCCATTGAGCTGCGCACCAAAGTCGACCTTCATAACATCTCCTTGGTTCAGGACCATCTTGTTTCCGGCGTTCGGGGTATAATGAGCCGCACAGTGGTTGATGCTCAGACCGCAAGGGAAGCCCATACCACCCTTCAGGTTGTCGCCCTCCTCCAAGCCGGAGTGGCCCGTCAGAGCACGCACTGAATCTTCAATACCCTCCGCGATTTCGGTCAAAGTCTGCCCAGGCTTGATGTTCTTCTGTGCATACTGGCGGACTTGGCGATGGACCTCAGCACCCTGGCGGTACTCCTGCAGGAAATCATTGTTCATGCGGTCAAGGTATCGCTTCTCTTCGTTTGTAGTACGGTAGGCATTGTCGTTCAGATACTCGACAATCTCACCCTCGGGGTACTGGCCATTGGGGAAGAGATTGGACACAGGGACGCGCGGGGGCTCGCTCTGAACCTTAGCGCCACCCTTCTTCTTCTTCTTGGTCTTGCGCTTCTTCTTCTTTTTGGCGGCTGTGGGAATCCGGTTGTTAACCTCTGCGAAAAGGCAAAATGGAACTTTCAAATGCACCTACCTCCAGCGGCTCCGGCCTCTGGGGCACCGTCGCCCTCCTGCTCGTCGTCCGAGTCGTCCTCCGCGTCGGGCGCGGGGGCGGCCTCGGGGGGTTCTGGCCGTTCACTGGCGTTTTGTCAGTCGCACAATATTTTAAAAGGCCAGAGATACTTACGGTCCAGCTGGTCCAGTTTCTCCGTAGCCTGAGCTGCCATGGTTGATGAGTAAAGAGGCAAAAGAAACAGAAGAGGGGAATTATCTCGGATGTCGGGGAAGACTTTTGCTGATAAGATAATGATTTTCATACTTCACTTCATACTTATTCGATTCTTCTTCTACTCTGCTCTCCTATTTCGTTGACTTTATTTATAGCTTTAAAATACTACTTTCGTAATTTAACCATGACCATCTGCACCTCACCCATTCACTTCACTTATTCCTCCGTGCCCCGGGTAGATACGGGGCCAGTACCAATTTGAAAGTGTGCGTTTGATATCTACGTCCTCTGCTTCTGCCTCAGCATGTTTAACTTGAGCCATGATTTCTCTAAACACTGCCTCAACATCTGTACTCGATGCTTCGTTGTTGGTTAGAGTCTCAGTCTCTTCGGTTGAAACGGCCTGTTCATCCTTCGATCCTATGCGGCATCCTTGAGCTGGGCATTGGTATTCAGGGTCTGTTTTGCTCCAGCTGACATCATATTATCAAAATATCTCAACATCCGGACAGTTTCAATTGCCCATTCCTTTAGCGCTCTGTTGAAAGGGAAAAGCTTGACAGGATCCGTGTTGGCTCCTTCCTCAAGGAGGAATTTTGCCATAGAATCGCATCCATGGGGTAAATTCATGTAAAGTGGACTGAGTGCAGCATCAACAGAGTTACTGGATGGATCGAAATCTGTTTCACCACTACCACTCTACAATGCATGTCCTAATTTCCTTAACCCAAACAAAACTATCAAGGGCAGATTTCGGATTATGACTCTAATATTGCCTTTGCGTTGTATCGTCGCGTTGCCTATATGAAGAGGGAAAGAAATACGAGAAAGTATACTTTGCTAAAGAGACCTCTATGCAGCCTAAAAATTACTTCAAGACAGCCGAGAATGGCAAACCCAAGATTCCTATACCTTCAGCAGTCTACATTACTGAAGGAATTACTTCCCAGGTACCTAAAGATGTTATTAAAGCCTCTTTACCTATAAATTATTGAGACATATCCACATCACATTGCTTCCCGCGATGATTAAAAATTAGACATAGTACTCTTACTTTGATAATTTATATAGTATGTGGCTGAAAAGCTTCATTTTAGTTGCTGGTGCACAACCGATCATGTGGCGGGTGGTGACCGATGTTATAGCTTGGCACTGTAGCCCCTGAAGATTTCAAGCGATGATCTCGATAATCGCAAATTTCGCTTTACACGGTTCTTGATGATTTCATTCTATTGCTTTGCGAAATAGGAAAAATGTCTACTCTCTTGAATCTTCCTCGTGAGATCCTTCTCTGGATTTACCGAAGCCTCAACAATATGCCTGACGCCGTTCACCTTGCCCAATCATGTAAATTACTATACTGTATCTTCGACCGTCCACAGAACCGGTTGGAAATCTTTCTTTCAATCATAGTGACCATTCCTCAAACAAACCGGCTTTTGAAGCAACAAATGGCTGACCTGACCAGGATAATATGCCCCGAACCCCAAGCTCAGACAAAGTCTGGCTTGAAGATCGCTTTGGTGCTGGTTCTCTGTGGCAACCTGAGGAATCCGACATACCATCAGCCCTCACGGATTCAGGGGCAAGAACCTTCTTGACTACCGTGGGCTTTCCTGCCGTCAAGCTCCAATCCGCTGGTTTTGACTCCACCCATTTAACGAAAGACGCGGGACCCCTAGAGCCCTACGACGCTGACGAGTTGTATGGCGAGCGCTTTCCTGATGATGACTCCCCTCCCACGAACCTCTGCTTCCATTTCGGAAGTGTTAGTGAGTGGATGATAATGGTAGGTGGAGAGGATGGGGACGTGTGTCACTATGATCCTGCCGGTTGGGACCATGCAGATGGGTACCAGGGGATGATTGCAGGTTCCCTGAAGAGCTTTGCAGTGCTGTTGGGGATGCTGGCAGAGGTTGCGGAGAGGCTGGATATGGTGGCGGATAGGTTTAGTGAGGATGAAGAAAGAGAGGAGGCGCGTAAGGCTATTCTAGACAGGCTGAGAGAGAGGATGGTAGAGTATGATAATTGTGTTGAGGAGGGGTCAAAGTTTTGGGATAACATATTTGAGGGTTTGGAGTAGTTAGATCTTATATATAATTGCCATGCGTTCAGACATACATCTTCTTAGGGATAGGGAATATCAGGATAGATCAACCGGCCAGCTTGATAAAGATACGGCACCCGCACTGTCTAAAATGTAGACTGATATGAGCTAGATAGAGGAGACTGTGCTAGAAAATATTAAGTGGAGTTCTGCGACCCGATATGGTTGCTTTTGAAGATATAACCATGCCCGATAGATATGTCAATACCTTGGCTTCACTTCCATTATAGATACAACGAGGCCCTTTCCAAATATTTTCGAGCATCTCCTCTCACCTCCTCCATGATTTCCCCCGCCTTCTCTTGCTTCTTGACAAGTCCAACACCCGTTCCAGCCCAAATATTCCCCATATCCTTCGTATCCAAGTTCCCAAAACCAGGACCATTCATCGCCCCAGAAATCAAAGCACGAATCTTCTTAATATCAACCCCATTCTTATAGTGATCATATACCTTATTCCTAAGACACCTCCCATCATAAGTTTCAGGCCAAAAGTTGGGACCCCAGACCTCATCAAAGATACGCGATCGGCCAGTTGCGCGACCCCCATCAAACGCCTCAAAGATCGCATCCCGATAAACATTAGGAATGAATGTCTCCTCGGCACCAAGGAACCTCGTTCCCATAACGATCCCAGCCGCGCCAAGAGTCAGCGCTGCAGCACAACCCCGCCCATCGGCAATTCCACCAGCGGCGATGAGAGGAACATCACCAAGTCCGAGATCCTGAAGTGCATCACCAACCTCCGGAATGAGAGATACAATACTAGCACCATTCTCATGCCCATGGCCTCCAGCATCCCCGCCCTGCAAAACAAGTGCATCGGGATGACACGCCCGTGCTACATCGACTGCGGCAGCCACATTTCCGAGTTGCACCCACACCCGAGTTTCAGGCGAATACTTGCGAATGCTTTCCGTCCACTGACTCAGTGTATCGTTATCAGCGAAGGAAAGCCAAGCCACAGCCGGCTTGTATGTCTCAAGGAGTTGCATCCAAGCATCCATCTGTGAGCCGAAGACGATAACGCCCAGGCCGATGGGAAGTGTCTTCGTGATGTCGAAGTTCGACTCCTGGAGGGCCTTTTTGGTCGTTTCGAGCTCGGTCGATAGTTCATGCATGTCATCCAGGAAGCCGATCTGGCCTAGGCCCCCGCCGCGTGTGACGGCAACCGCCAGCTTACTTTTGGCGCTACCGCTCATCGGAGCGTTGACTACGAGGGGTGTTTGGATCCATGGGAGGTATGTTTTGAGGGTAGCTAGATGAGACATTGTTGTTAATGAGTTGGGGAGGGTGAGGTGTTCGTGATATTTGAAGGCTCGGGGTCTGATGTACTGAGGTGATATTCGCCGATAGGATCAAACGCCGAGTGGTGCCCATCCCGGTAAAAGTACAGAATTCGGTGGAGCATACAGTGCCTTGAAAAACACTTTTTTTTTGGGTCTTTATCACGCCTTTCATTGCATTTCTATGGTCGTGTGACTCGTATGACACGTGTCTCGCATACCTTTTGATGAGCAGCTACCCGAAGCTATGGACTGGCCGCTACCTGTCAAGCTCCACACCGGCAGGCGAGATGGAGAGGGAGTATATTTAGAGTAAACTTAGGGTCAACTTAGGGCAAATTAGCGTAAGTTAGGGCAGAAAACCGTGGAAGGTTAGGTCCAGTGGATCAAACCCAGCCTTGTTATCTAATCTGATCATCTGCCCATTCTGGCAGCCTGAGAGCCTGAGTTCTCAATCCCATACTCCCTAACATTAGTTACTCATATCATAGTAAATTTTCTGGATAATATGAGACCACCATGGAGTTCAACAAACCGAGAGACCCATAGCAACATGTAGAACAGATTAATTGTTCACCGGGAATGGCATCGCCCATAATCCACCATGACGCCACTCCGGTCTTTACCTCTCTTGATTCCTCTCCACTTCCACTCCCCGACACACTCTATCTACACCTCCCTTCCACGCTCCAGAGGGCCTGTTCCCTCCTTGTTCTTCATATCCTCCTCACAAACACCATGCCTTCACCTCGAGTAACGGCAATTTTCTTATCGCCGCGTGCAAAGGCGCCCTCACCTCAAACATACACCCACACCCTCTCAACCCAACCCCTCCGACCACGGCCAAATCAACCCCCAAACCACCACCAAGAAACCAATCGCCTCCCAAAACCCCAGATACACAACTTCACAACAAGCAACACCCGCCAAGCCCGCGAACCGAACTTCTACGAAATCCTCGACGTCCCAATAAGCTCAACACCAGCCGAGATCAAAAAGTACCGCCCTCCCCCAAATCACCCTCCAAACCCAACCACCAACCCAAGTCCCAAACATCCCAAACACTAACACCAATACCCACCCAGACAATTCTACGCCCTCTCCCTCCGCCACCACCCAGACCGCAACAGATCAGACCCAGAGGCCAGCCAACGCTTCGCCCGAATCTCAGCCGCCTACAATGTCCTAAGCAACGCCCAAAAACGCGCAACCTACGACCGCGACCACGGTTTGCACGCACCACCATCCTACAACCCCTCTTCCTCCTCCTCACCGGGCCATACACACGCCCACCCAATGGGCAGCCATAGCAGCTACGCCGGGTCCCGTCCTGCGAGCGGGCTAAGTAAGCGCCGAGGTGCTTTCCATGGGCCGCCGCCTAGTTTCTATGATCAGGGTGGGTATGGGGCTACGGGGAGACAGGGGGAGGGTATTCGCCTGGGAAGGCTGGGTCTGGTGCTGGAGCTGGAGCTGGAGGGTTTGCATCGAGTGCTGGATTCGGTGATCGTTCTGGGACTGGTGCAGGCGGGAAAGACGCTGATCCGGAGGATTGGGTTGGGTTTATTAATCGGAATCCATTACATCATTTTAATGCGCGGGGACATTTCCGGACGCAAGCTGCTGAGGATCAGCGGCGGAGGGAGAGAAGGACCCGAGCTGGTCGCGCGGCTGCGCAGAAGCATGCTGCTGAGTCTGGGGCGAGGGCTGGGTTTGGTGGGGGTGGGGATGATACGTTCGCCAGGTTTTTGATTGTTTCGGGGGTTTTGGTTGTTGCTGGGGGGATATCTGGGTTGTTTAAGTGGCCCGCGGCGACGCCTACTGCTGCTGATGTTGTTGAACGAGGGAAGGTTAGGAGGCGGAAGGAGGCGCTTCCTTGATTCTTCAATTGGTTTGGTTTGGTTTGACTATGTATAAGAGCTGGATTCTTGACGTAGTTTAATTAGCGCTTCAATGTAACTTACGGCCTATGTTGTCTATCACAGTAGCTCTAGAGCTATCTACAGTGCACTTATATTAGACCACATTAATTGATCGTATTGACCAACAAAGGAAACATTTAGATTTGATATACAAAGAGTGCTCGAGTAGAAACTACGATGCACACATGGCTATTATCCAGGATGAAAATCCCCATCTCCATAATCATCTTTCTAGCAAATCAACAAGACAAACTAGGAAACAAAATGACAAAATCTGAAAGGAGATTCAAACGCTTAAGCCTCGAAGGTGAAGCTGGCGCCGACCTTGTGGGCAGCCTGGTTCAGGTTCTGGGTATCAAAGGAGGCACCGAGGCCGAGGGTGACACCAGGGCGGAGGAGAACGTTGTAAGCCAAAGCGGCAATACCACGGTCGTTGATCTTGGCCTGTATTGTAGAAAGTGATTAGCAGGTACGCATATGTACGAACAGCGCGTGAACGAACCTTGGCGAAGGAAGAGGGATCCAGGCGGTACTTGGAGGCAACCTCGAGGCCGACAGCGTTGCCGGAGGTGGAGTCCCAGGACGCCTTGGCACCGGCCTCAACCTGAGCGTTGACGCGGTGGTAGTAGCTGGCGGAGAAGAGGGACAGGTTGTTGCTGGCGGTGATGGCAGCGGAGTACTGGGCAACGCTGTAGCCGATGGCAGCGGAGTACTTGGTGATGGCGGCCTTGTTGACGTCGTAGCCACCCTCAGCACCGACAAGGAAGCCCTCGTGGCCGAGAACGGCGTCGAAGTTGGCGGACGGGCCGTTCAGGAGGTCGAAGAAGGCACGGGCGTTCAGGTTGGGCTGCTTGAAGTAGAGGTTGAGCTTAGCACCCTTGGACTGCTTAGCGGGCTGGTACTGGGTGAGGATCTCAGCCTTGAGGCCCTTGGCGATGTTGTTGTCGAGCTCGAGCTTGGTGTCGAGAGCGTTGGCGGTGGTCCACGCCTGGGTGAGGGTGAGGCCTGGGCGGTGGGAATATATTAGCCTAATTCTGTGATGTGTCGTATCCGAGAAAATAAACAGAGTCACCTGGGGCACTGGACGAAGGCCGCATCCGCAGAGGAATGAGATGCGTCGTCCCTTTCGCGCGCCAGGATCCGGGGGTTTCTTCTGGGTGGGGCGTTTACCGGTAGGCGCATCGACGTATTTGGCCTCAAGCTATAGGCGCATCAATTAGAATTGCGTCTTGAACGTGATAGGTGCGACAAAAACGTACCTGGCCAGCAATGGGACCCTCGTGGGCGGACTTGCCCTTGACGGTGAAGGTGACACCGTTGGGAGCCTTGGACTTGACCTCAAGGTTGGCTAAATAGCTCTAGTTAGTTATTGAAGCTTCAAAAATGACATAATGCCACCCATAGATAACATACCGGCAGCGGCGTGGTAGAAGTCCTTGTTCAGGAGCTATTGGGATAAAGTATTAGCCAAGTTCCGGTGTGCCGATTTTTGATCTGGACAATGTGCGTACATCGTTGGCCGCCTTGGCAATGTCGGAGAAAGCAGCGGGGGCAGACATATTGACGAGATGAAGCCTAATGACTGAGGAGATGTAAGAGAAAGGGGTGGTTCTATGGAGAGATGAAGAAAGAGAAGAAGAAGAGACCGATGATGTTGGGGGGGGAACTAGGGGCTTAGCACGGGTTGGTGGGCGTCCGGTGATTGGCGGTTGCTCGGCTGCCGGGAAAGCCCGCCGGTTAAGTCACGTGGATTTATGCCTGAGGCGTAAATCTACTAAGATACTGGCAAAAGTATGTACAATCTATCCCTTTATTCCAAAAGAAAATGCTAAATCAGAAAAAGAAGTCCAGGTGTGCTTTTTTGGCTCTTTGGCTTCACATTTTACTTCGTCTCGTCATACTTCTGGTTGTGGATGGAGATGGCTCTGCGAGGCATGTTAGAGGATGTTTCAACATTTGAAACAGGAAATAACTCACCTTCCACTGGGATCAGTCTGCTTGGACCAGGTAGGGGTCCAGCGCTCGACTGTGCCGGCACAGTAGGGAGGGAAGTGCTCATCGAACATGGTACGGTACCAGTATCTATATGAAGTTAGTCATTGAGCAGTTATAATGCAGAGAGAGAAACATACGCCTCCTTGGTGTCGGGAACATCGGTGCCCCATTCGGGCTTAGGGTTCTTCATCATCTCATCGGTAACCTGGCGCTCGGCCTCATCCTTCAGGCCATCAATCCAGCTGTAGCCAACGCCGTCACTGAACTGCTCCTTCTGGCGCCAGAGAATCTTATCGGGCAAGTAGGCAGCGGTCTCGGGCTCATCGGTGGTGTCAAAGGCCTTGCGCAGCATGTGCTTTTCAATGCGGTCCTTGGTGATCATCTTGTCCTGGGGGTCAACACCCATGCAGGTCTCGAGGAACTCCTTGTCGAGGAAGGGCACACGGGCCTCAAGACCCCAGGCGGAGGTGGACTTGTTGGCACGGAGGCAGTCAGCCAGGTGCAAGTTCTTCACACGGCGGACAGTCTCCTTATGGAGCTCCTCCTTGTTGGGGGCAGCGTGGAAGTAGAGGTAACCACCGAAGATCTCGTCGGAACCCTCACCACTGAGAACCATCTTGACACCCATGGCCTTGATCTTCCGGGAAAGCAGGTACATAGGGGTGGAGGCACGGATGGTCGTGACATCGTAGGTCTCCAGGTGGTAGATCACATCAGAGAGGGCGTCAAGGCCGTCTTGAACAGTGAAGGTGAAGGGGTGGTGCTTGGTGCCGAGGAAACGGGCCACCTCAAGGGCAGCCTCGGTATCGGGGGCACCGGGGAGACCAATGGAGAACGAGTGAAGCTGCTGGAAAGTAGTGACAGTAGAAAGCTCGTTCTCATCATCAATGCCAACCAACTCGCTCTCGGCGTTGGAGGGGGCGCAGCGCGGGAAGCCTCGGCCATGCGAAGAGTCTCACGCTGGGCAATAGAGGCGACCAGAGAGGAGTCGAGACCACCAGACAGCAGAACACCGTAGGGAACCTCAGCCATCAGACGCTTGCGGACGGCCTTCTCGAGGCTGTGGCGGACGACCTTGTAGTCGACAGGGGTAGAGGGGACGTTGGTAGGGTCCCACCACTTGGGCTCGAAGTAGCGGGTCAGCTTGTCAGTCTTGGAGTCGTAGACGTGCCCGGGAGGGAAGGCAATGATGTCGTCGCAGACAGGGTGCAGGCACTTGAGCTCGGAGGCGAAGTAGACGGCACCGGGGGTGGACGAAGAGCGACCAAGGTAGAAGCTGGTAATACCAATGGGATCACGGGCGGCAATCACACGGTCCTGCTTCTTGTCCCACAGAACCCAGGAGAACATGCCATCGAGGTGCTTGGGGGCATCGAGACCGTGCTCCATGTACTAGAAGAGATCAGCACCCGTGCTCCATCTTTTGATCCATTGTCACATACCAAGGGAATGATAACTTCGCAATCAGAGTGCGTCTTGAAGTTGTACTTGGTGTGAAGGCTCTTTCGCAGAAGACGGTGGTTGTAGATCTCGCCATTGACGGCGAGGGCGAGGCTGCTGTCCTCGTTGACAAGGGGCTGGGCACCGGAGTCTAGCGGGAGAATATTAGCAAAGATCATGAACACATCAAATTCTCAGACAGAACTTACCGACGCCGACGATGCTCAGACGCTCGTGCGCCAGGACTAAGAATTCCCCGTTAGTTTCCGAAAACGACCAATTCTCATGCTTGACTCACTAGTGCTCTCAGCGCAGAAGTTGCCGCCTGTTTAAGAACATTGGTTAATCCTATTCCCTCATGTATACCGCGCAATGTTGCAACTTGAGCAGTGACTCACTCCAATCGGGACCACGGTGGCGCACACTGTGTTCGGGAGATTAATTAGCGACAATTCGAAATTCTGAGGATTGCAGATGCAATTGAAAACAAAAAAGTTGAGATACTCACGCCTTGGCCATGCGCAAAGCCGTGGGCTTGAACTGCTGCACATCGGGGTGACTATGGGACTATTAGCAATGACACGATTGTCCCCCAGGATCCCACTATTGAGTATGGCGGGGGTTAGGGCAAGGCATAACGCACTGGTGGCACGCGAAAATTCCACACATGATGGGCAATTGGTGATTTTCGGAGAGTATGGAAGAAGGAGAAGAGGAGTCGGAGGAGAAGAAGGAGTAATTGACTAATACATGGGGTTACGGAAGGAACCAAGTAATTTTTTCCAATTTCTCGGCGGGGCGATGTCGGCAGTCTTTGAGTCACCGATAAGATAACCGGCACTCCGATCTTCTTACTCTTACACCCTTACATCTATACACTTCTTATAGGTAGAAATACTGCATTCTTATGGCTTCAATGCCTCAAACTCCATTGTTAACGCCGCGCTGTGGGAAATAGCTAATTCCTCATTCGCCGGAAAAAAAACCGGATATGCATAGATCGTCCCCCGGTATGTCCCATGCTGAAAATCGGAAAAGAAAGCGTCACAGCATTTTCGCTGTTCTCGCTGGGAATCGATGCTTAAACGGGCTGGTTTTCCTTAACCACCTGGCGGACCTTACGCTCATACGCGGGTCTGTCCTTTTTGAACAGGTTGTAGGCATCGGCCTGCGCGGGCGACTCTGGGTTGGGATTATCGAGGAGATCCTGAATGCCGAGCAGGATCTGCTTGATGGTGATCGCCGGTCTCCAGTCTTCCTCTTCATTGAGGATTGACAGGCAGACTGTGCCCGAAGGGTAAACGTTTGGGTGGAACAAAGGTGGCGTAAATTTGCCTGGAGTCTTGAATCAGCAGGAATTTCTCATGTTATATCACGGATTCTGTCTCGGGCAGGATCTTCTTTCTCGAAAAAGTAGCGTTGGAGATCGATCGTGGAGGCACGTACATTTTGGTGGCTTCGTGGGGTATTCTAGAAGCAATGACCGTCTAGATTAGTACAAGGATCTTCGGTCTGGAATGTGTGCTGCACTCACCATCGGGAAATACCAAGGTCAACTTGAAAAGACCTCCCTCCCAAAGAGTTTTTGCCTTGCCAGGAATAGCACATTCCCAGGTCTTGAGGTCCAGGCCGCCCTGGGGAGTTCGCGCGGGCTTTGCGACAAAGCCGAAAGGGTGGTCACGACGCCACTGCTTCCTGTGTAATCAGAAACGGTCAGCATAGCGTAGGAGTAAGGCGCAAATATTGCGCAAAGTCCTCAAGAAAAACTCCGTACCGTTCCTCCTGGAGGCGGTTCTGGCTGAGAGACATGATTTCAGGTACCGCTCGCTAAAATCTGGGGATATGGAGTGGGTGTGCGATGGGAAAGTTGAAGAAGGAAAAGTAGCAAGAAGGAGCGACTGGGATAATCAGGCGCAGGGATGGGGGAGAGGCGAGGCGGAAGGAAGATTTCAAAGGTCGCAATCGCGACAGCTGGAGCGATGGCAATCAATCGCCAGTGGGCCTGCGATCGCTTAGGTAAGCGCCTCACAGGGCAGCCACGGAGCCTCACTTCTTTGGGCAGAGATAGCAAATACATCTATGCAGGAATTACTACTGCATTGATATTTGGACTGGTCTGGACTCCAGGCTCTAACCGTGTAGTTCCTTACACTTTAATTCAGCGAGCTATACATGTCAACCTTTGGCTTACTTTGGGAATAGAGATCATAATGAACAAGAGAGCAGGACTTCAACCGGGTCAGGAACAAGACAAATTGCAGCCTCAAAATTCTGTTACTTGAAGAAGGCTCAGGATTATCTTGCTTTAATGATATCTGATTGCTATGTTCCCGTATGGTGAGTCGTCCACGAGAAATATAGACCTGCATTGTCATGCAACCTGGAAATATATTTCTCCACGACAAAAGCAGAGCCACGATTGTATTGTTGTTTTTTATTTCTTATTCAGTTATTGATTTGCCTCAAACGTCGAATAACAGTCTATTTAATATCTATTTACCGTTGCTTGTCAGCCAAGATTTGTGTGGCTGTAAGACACTGAAATTTGTTTGTAGACCAACATGTTCCTTCGAAAAGGGAGTCCCAAGTTGGCCAGTGACAATGTATGCATATTCTTTGTCTCAAGTGCTCTCTCCAATGCCATAAGACAAACAAGTATTACATTAGATGTTGACAATGGTATCAAAGAGAACAAACAAGTTCTTTGTCTTCGAGGGATTCATCTGAGGAAAGGCAAAGTCGTACACGAAGCTCGTAGGTGAAAGCCGACGGATATTGGCTTTGCTTGGCAGCAAAGCAGAAATATAAGGCCACCACATCAGTTCGCTCTGAATTTAACATCCAACCTACCTTCCTATCGATCCAAGCTCTCCACCAAGCGGTTTAACCCTAACGCCAATCCCCCAATACTTAAAAAATCATATACCACCACCAACATTAACATCACCATCGTTCAAAATGTGTATGAAGATAATGTATTATCATGCGAAATGCACCCACGCTGCCCCAGCGGAAACATCCTCTGTAATCGGCTGTCCCCCAGCGCTGGAAGAAGGCTGTCTATGTGACCAGGAAGACCAAACCCCGCTACCATTCCCCATCTCAGGGCTCTGCAAGCAATGTAAAGTCCAAAAGCGGCGAAAGGAAATGGTAAACCGTTTCGTTGGCATCGCAAAATGGAAGGCCGGTGACCGTTTGGGTTCACTGACAGCCGCAATGGCCCTCCCGGAGAGAGATGACGAGAGCCCCGAGGAAGACTCTGAATATGAGTCTGAGTATGAGTCCGAACCTGAGACCGAATCTGGATCAGATGCAGATGCAGATGCAAGTGATGCGGTTGAACCAAGAAAATCCCACCTTTTAACTCGTAGCAATCCCAATGGAAGTTTCCATCGCTTGCAAAGATGGCTAGATAAAGCCGACCCATATCCCCCAAAAGACTCTTCTATTTGTACTTCTGCTAACACAGCCAAAACTGGAAAAATGACGAGGTGGCCTTTCTTCCAAGCTCCCATCTTGTGGAAAGATGAGCATGATAACTTTGGTTTGAGGACTCTGGTTCTAGTTCAGAAACATGGGCTGGTTGAACAGAAGGATACGCTTTCGCGCCGGCGTACTATATGTGCAGGGCCCGGGGGGTTGCAGCCCTTGGCTCTGGCGGAGAAGCATAAGAAGCGTTGGGGCTGGCCTTCCTGGGATCCTTATGGCCGCGAGAAAGCCGATGAGCCGCGGCAGTCAGAGCCTCTCTTGATGCCGCCCGTTGAGGCGGAGTCTATGAAGGCTGTGAGCTTGCGCTCTCGTATCCCTGTTCCTGCCAGCAGAGTGGGTGGACAGTCCGTGGCCGCCAGTGTGGAGAAGCGGCCGCTTCTTGCCAGGAGGAATACATTTGATCGGGTTACATTCTAGTGTTGCTAGTTTTTCTGTTTCCTTTAGATTGAAATTCGGCACGATTTAGTGTTGGTGTACGGGCTGGAGATGGATTTGGTAGTTATTTTGATAAGACTTCATAGATAGAGATCCAATAGAATTGAATTCAATTGGTATTATTATTGTGCTTGAGTGGAAGTTCACAAGGAATTAATCCGTGTAAATCCCCTGGTCGAATTTCTCAGTGTCGAAGAATCGCGCTTCGATTGTGTTTCCGTTGAAAATCCGACCTTCCAGAGCATTGACGGCCTATCGGCAGTTGTCAGTAAACAAATAATATAATCAAGATGGATTCTTGTGTTGAGAACTTACCCGTAAGGCAGATAACGGACTTGTGAACTTGACGAAGACCGGGGCGGGAGTCCCGGCATCACGAGCAATGTAGACTCGTTCGACAATTCCATACTAAAAACCCAATTTGTTAGTATAGTTTTCATAAGAATAGTTCGCAGGTGACAAGAAAATACCTTCTCATTGCATTCCTCGCCAATCTCCTGCATCAACCCTCCACCCTGACTTGTCTCCAGTTCGGACTGCAAATCAATTCCATTCAACATGCCCCGCAGAACAATCACTTCACCCATAGGGCCAAATTTGCTCTCGTAACCTCCTAGTTTCTTGCTTCCGATGATCTTGCCGCGTCCAGCGGGCGTAACAAAGCCTCCGCCATCTGAGTCAGGTCGTTTCTTCCGCTTCTCAACCTTCACCTGTAGCGGATTCTTGATACCAGAACCAGTAGCACCAAGTCCAGATCCCTTTGTCCAGCCATACTTGGACATGAAACGTTCCGCGAAGCCCTTTTGGCCTGGATGGAGAGAGCGTGGTGCATCCTCATCTTGTTCTTCTTCGTCTGCTGGTTCTTCTTCGGCCAATGCAGCTTCGAGCTCAGCTTCGGACGCAGGCATATCTTCTGGCGGCGCGGGTAGAGTGTATCGAACCGGGGCACGGGAGATTGTGGCGGTACTAGGCTGGAATTTGTCGAGAGGGCGTGGTGGCGGAGGAGGGGGTATGTTTTGTTCTGATGATAGGTTGCCGGCTTTCTGGAAGCGCCGCATGTATGCGTCTTCGCCGGTGGGGTCGTTGGGGATAGGGTTGGGTTCTTCAGGCGGCGGTGGCGGAATTTGTTGTGCGGAGCCAGCGGACTGACCGAGGCGTGCACGACGAGCAAAGGCATCTTCACCAGATGCATCATTGGGGACGGAAGCTGGTGTGGGCGGCGTATTGTTGAGATTTGGTGGAGGGGCAAAGCTGCTCGGGGGTGCGAATTGCCCTAGAAATATCCCTTCAGTAATGTTCCAGCACAGCTAAAATGAAATAGTCTAAACATACGGTTCATTGGCCTGTTGTCGTCATCGCTGTCCGAGTCTCGGCTCAGCGAGCGTCTCATCCGATGCGCATACAAGCGATCCTTCCAGTCGCGGACCTCCATGATTTTTTCGTCACTGTGTCGGTATTCCTCGTAGTTGTTTGGTCGCGACGGATCATAGATGTCGTCCCAGTTCTGAACAATTTGCGCTTCACGGTTCTTCTTGCGTTTCTTCCTGCCACCACGCTGTCGTTTCTCGCCCTGGTATCCGTAGTCATCATCTTCCAAGGCCGCCCAGTCAGCCAAGGTGCTCTTCGCTAGAGGTGCTGCTGAGGGAATTGGAGCTTGGTTCGGTGTGAGATGTGGCGCTGCCTTGGGAAACATAGACTTTGGTTTGGACTTCTGAGCTGAGAGTTGTGGCCTTCTTGTTGGCTGGAATCGGAGAGAAGCTGTTCGGCGAGAGGAAGGTGAGTTCAAGCTGCTTCGCTGTAATCAGAGAGATCAAATATAGCTACCAGCATTCAGTTGCTTTTTACCCGCCGCGTCGTCGGGTTGCGCCTCAGTCTCCGAGCTCTGTTTGAAGACAACCGGAGCACGAGAAATCGTTCCCGGTTTGTCGTTTGATGGGTCGAGAAGATTGGCATAAAGAGACATCCCCCCTTTGGGAGGCGAATCGGAAGCCATGGCTGTTGTATGGTTGATCCGTGATGAGGAGGCATTGTCGCGATATGCGATAAAGGTAAGGCGGTGTAGAGAGCGCCTAAGTGACTCTCAACGTTAATTGGACAGGAGATGTACCACAATACCTACCGCCTCTCCTCTTTCACTTTCTGCTGGAACAATATCAGCTCAGACGAATGGTCACTTACGCTTTTTATATATTGATCTCAACGGTACACTGCGATATCCATGCGCTTTCCATTCTCATTGACTCCCCGGAATCTGTCTTTCCACCTTACATCCATGCTATATTGTGCCCATCCAATGATACTTCAGTGTTAAATCCTCACTCATACACAAAGCGCAGACAACGCCACCTTTTAGCATAGTCCGAGACTTGACACCTCTCATCCCTTTTCAATCCTCAAGAATCCGCGACATATACAATGGCACAACAGAAGCCAAATCTCAAGGCATTTGGCAAGCCATCAGGAGTACGTACAGTGTATCCCGCAACGAAAAGCCTCTATATCTCAAGCAGCCCACTTGACTCCTATCCATACACTCCAGCCATACCTTGGTTTCACAATGAGTTTAATGACTGTTCCGATACTGACCTGAATCAAGTCTATCAATGCTCCCATCGCAGCCTTCACTATGGCTGTTATTCTTTGTTCATACTGTTTCAGTTCAATCCGCACAGCGCGACAAAACGCCCAGACTCAAGCTTCAACAGGATCCAATCTCCAGCGGCCTGTGCCATCTGAGAGAAAGGATGAGTCGTGGGTGCAGCAAGCTCTTGAGGAGAGTCGAGCCCAGAACGGCGGGAAGGGCAAACGATGACCTTGAAGCATGAAGCGATATGCCAATGTGGTCGGCTTATATCCTCTACAGCCATTACTATCCGATGGTTGATGTTTCTTTGTGATACCAATTTGTATAGAATTTATTGATTATGCCAACAATTCATTGCTATATTAAACGTAGCAACGAGCATAAACAAATGGAAGGGAAATAAATGTCTCTTCTCCAAATTCAATCAGAATTTTCAGTGTATCAATGATCATGCCCCGGGAGTTCAAGTGTTTAACAACCCAGATCGATAAAGAATTGTTCATCATGCGAATAATGGAGAAGAGCATAGTGACATGTGCTGTACGTCAATGGAACGTGGAGTTGACCAATTGGCCCGAAAAGTGAAACATTCAGGATATAGATGACTGTTGCACCATATCGCTTTCCATTTCATCGCGCGTGTCGAAATGGGTGATAACTAGGTCAAAAGAGGCACCCAATGGCTAAGCATGATAAACGGTGGTTTCAAAGATCAATTACCTGGTACTCATAGTGTCGACATTATACACATGAGAATCCAGGAACAGATGATTGGACCACGGTTGTTGCAGAATAAACGCGCATGAAAATTTGGAAGGGAAAACGAGACGGAAAAAAATTGCGGGTAATTTAAATGATATGTCACGTGACCAACTTTCTGTTTACACGCTCAGCCTCAGGCCATAATATGTATTTTTGGTAAGATATAATTCTCCTCAATATCAGTATATTTGGATTCTTGATAATGTAAAGATATACAAGGGTATGAAGCAGTGCCCATGTAGGTGATTTCCTCTGCCCTTCAGTTTAGTGCCTCTTGCCGCTTTTACTAAGTAATACAACAGGGGTCATAAATGTGTACACAGTGCTATGAAGTATTAGACTCTTTCTATGCGAAAGCCTCGAAGCGAGTGTAATGTTTCATGCATCGTTTTCACTCTATTTTAGCCTCTCTTCACCCCCCCCCCCCCCCTCTCCTTTCCCCTTTCTTTTTTTAACCCATTTTCGAGTAACTTACCTTGGGTTTATCTAGATCATATAAAGGTGTGGTGTGAAAGGACTTTTGACCCCTATTGTAGTATCGCATCTGGGACATGTTTGTGATTCTTGATAAAATATAGAATTATATTGTGTTGCAACAGCAAGGGGAGTACCACGATGTGCAAACCCTTTGAAGTGTGAAAAGGGTGCAATAATCCGATGTATAGTGTGTCCCAGGAGAATTGTACTATCAAATTTCCAGGTGTATTTGGAGCTCGTCTTGTCTAAAGCACTAAATAGGTCATAATAGCACTACACATTCCCTCAGACGGCTGTGAAAGTAGAGGGGAGGTCCATCTCGCCAAATGGGGCTTTCATTTAGTAGGTCACTGGTCACCTTTCATATAACTCTGCTTTCTCTAACTCGATCGAGAACCCCCACTGGACGTAGATCTTTGGTAAGACACAATCTGGAGGGTGCAAATGCTAATGGTCTTCCTCGTATGGTATCATGCAATTCGTATATCTGGCAGACTCGTAATAGTCAAGATAAAACCCGCTGTATTGCCAATCGAGAATCCCAAAATCATATATTTGTTGTCGGCCAATTCAACCATAATAGTGTCCGGCCTTAAGTCACCATATTTCAAAACGATGTGTTGGCCCGAACGGCTTGGAGATGTCGATTGTAATTGCCGTAGTTAATCGATGAACACACTGCTCTGATGCGAATTCTGCAAACATGAAGATTTCGAATCCCTCAAAGCTGGTGATAGCAGTCTCGCTCCTACGAACATGCCTCCGAATATCTTCACGCCCTTTACCTGCTGTTCCTCCCACTGGAGTCCTTTTTGCGTAAGGGAGGGTTTTCAAATCCATAAGTATCATGTTGAGTAGGTTGCTAAGAGAAGGTTTTTGAATAGGGTCCAGTGCGTGCCAGTCTTCCCCAAGCGGCATAAATCGCATGTCAGTTATGAATATCAGGGAAATTCCACTCATACACACTAATCCAAGAGGCTTCTGTGCTGGGATACTTGGATTATGGCTGTCAAGGCATTGTAGTGTGGTGGATTCTGCAGTGCTCCATGTTGCGAACCACATTGACAATGGTTTCTGCGGAACCTTTGAACACTCCTTTCTGACTGGCGAAGAATTTGTCAGATGTATTCATTGATCTCGCGAACCTTTCCATCTTCCCGATTTTCCTCTGACCAGCTGCCCTACAAACACGGCTTTACACACTACAACTTGCGGTGTGACCCCCTCAATAGCACATACTCCTTTTTAACTTCCAACTTCACAAGCACACCCTCACGAGCTGAATTCCGGGCGCACGTCAGCATCAGCATTCTCGAACAACGCGACATCGCACATTGTGAATCTTCCTCCATTCGAGAAACACCATGATAATAGCCCACCGTCATGTGGTATACCTGACGTACTGCTAGGATAATGCACTTGATGCCTCCAACTTCTCTGCAGGCCGAGCAGCGTAAAGTTTGTCCTCGACAGTCGCCAAATCCACATCTCTCAACGACCTACCAGCGCCTACGCTAAGCCAGCCGTACCGAATTCACTCACTACAATCGAGAATGATGTGTACACATCGAAGAGGCACGTGCACTGTCTCTGCCTGCATGTGGGCTCAAGCGGGTACCTGCAGATTACCAGAGAACTGAATTTACGGCCCGACGACATGTCTTCCATGTCAACGCACAACTGGCTTGGTATCTACAGAGTGTTCCATGCACCTTGGCTACAATAATATGGACAAAGTCTCTTCCGTTGGGACTGTCTGCCTTTTTTTCCTTTCACATCAGAACAGCCGTTGATTGCCCGTCGCTGTGATCCAGTGGGTTGCACTCGCTACCTCTTTCATGCTCGTCCTTCCCATTGAGATCCTTCAAATTTGTATGTACCCCCTAGCCAGTTAGTCTTAAATTAGTCATCTTGTTAATTAGTATATTACATTGCTCTCTTCGACTTCATCAGCGCCTGCTCCATCTTTAGTTTCTCTCACTCCCACGTTAGATTACGGCACTGGCTGGATGGGGTCCTTTAGGACCGCCTTGCTAAAAGTATCAGCTTGAGCTCTTGGCTGTAGCTTACTCTACCGTTACTTGGAGGTGAACTTGCCGGTTGGCCATAAGCCATACTGATTCTTAGATTTGAGAGGTGTTGGTGTGACATTGAGTATCAGAGGCCACACGCCATTCCTCTATAAACGTAAGCCACCCATCTGTCCCAACTTACCTTCCTCACCATATCCACATATTGAGCGCTTCCATAGCACTCAGCCTTTGACCCGTCCATACATACCGTTTCATCTCCCAAGTTTGTGCTCTTCATCTGATCTGATATTTTTCTCCCTTCTGGCTCTTTCTTTGACAGCCAAACAACCATCACGACAAAAGTTGCAGGAACCCCTCCTCCTCCACCTCCGGGTGGAGGCCCGTCGCGCTGGCGGCTCCCCCGACAAGCCAACAAGCCAAACACCAAGAAGGTATGTCTATTGGATTCCATTCTAAATGTGCTCTGTACCAAACAGGGCTATGTTGGGGCTCAGTCCGCTGTGCCACTTGGCATGCGGTCCCCTTGCAGGTTTTCTGGCGATAGCCAAGATCTTTCGCCCGCTTGGTCATCTCCTGAGGGCCAGCCTTACCCAAGCTGGGTGTCTTTGTCCTATCGAGATGGATCCTTTTTACTTTCTCGTTGTTTTCTTCATTGCGTGCACCATCTTGCCATATACAGGATCAACTAGTTTGCAAACTAACACCCAATCAACTGCACTAGACGGAAGCCGAAGAGCAGGCCGCTCGTGGGACTAGCCACGTTAGGCTATTGGACCGGCTTTTGGGCCAGGTTACCAGGGCGGAAGAAGCAGTCGAACACGCCGCTTTTGAGACCGAGATTGCTCACATTAAGGTGAGATATCCCCCTTCCCCACACCAATATCTCTTCCAATTTATTCAAAACATTTTTATGAAACGTTATACTGAGCACCAGGACTAACAAATACGGGGTTTACAGTATGCCCGACCCGTAGGTGCCGGGCTCAACGGGGATATTCGCGATGGTGTCAATGAAGATGCCCTAGAGGGCTGGGATGCAGATGAGCAGGGCACACCATCGCCCCGGGATTTTGATGCAGTCGTTGCGCATGTGAGTTTCCGTCCATTTGTCTGTCGGCATGCAGGGGCATGTCCATAGCCCCACGCCCTATGCGCATACAACAGTTAACCGAAGAGAGCTAACATAAGTTATATCATAGGATTCTACCGGTAGCAATTAACCGGTGACTGTTATGCTGGAAATCGACCAGCTAGATGACCAGAGATCAGACCTGCGAGTGGCAACCGGTAGTGAACGTGGTCGGTGGGATCCTGCGAAGCACAGATAGGACGCTTTCCTCGAAACGAAGTGCAAATAGGCATGCCGAGGCGATACACAACCCAATCAAAGTCAAATGGCCCTGTCCACGCGCAGAAGAGCTTCATTGCGGCAAGACGTTTTCCTCGAAACAAAGTGCACACTAGCATGCTAAGAGCGTGCACAATCAAGTGAAATGGCCCTACCCACGCGCAGAGGAGCTTTATTGTGACAAGACGTTCTCCTCGAAACAAAGTGCACACTAGCATGCTAAGAGAGTGGGTAGGGCTATTTGACTTTGAATGGGTTGTGTAAGCGCTAAGCATGCTAGTGTGCACTTTGTTTCAGGAGAACGTCTTGTCATAATGAAGCTCCTCTGCGCGTGCACGATGGAGTCAGACACAAACACCCCTGTCCTTTTGCAGAAGAGGAGGCTGATCGGGTTGCAATGAGAGATTGCCAACGATGGAATAGATGATTGATGACATTCCTCATGCCGATGATTATGGGATCCATTTCCGATTTGCCGAAGTCATTCTCGCTGGGTGACTAGAATTGCTCCCTGTGATCACTGTGCTGCGGATGTTAGGGAGAATGCGCTGAACACCCTCACATAGTCCGATTAATTTCTCACTTTGGGCTTGCCAATGCCTCTTATTTCTATGGCGTTTCTTAGTTACCAATCAAGTTAGCCTACTTTCTAGACTAGAATTGCCTCAGGCGAAGTCTTTAGAGCAGTCTCATCAAGCTCTCGGCTTCAGCCCACTTATCCCTTACTCAGACAGGAGTTCCATGATTAGCCATTAGCCACGTCAAGTTTTGAACACTAGCTGTCAGTACCCTATGGAACCTGTGGGCCTTTATGAGGGGCCCGGCGTGAGTCTGGACTCCGACAGCACTCCTGATCTATTCACGGGACGACATCATACTAGGATACGATTCTGGCCAATAGATGTGTTGGCCCAAGTCTCTCACTATGATGGGTCATTTTCGGCTGTTACTAAGGGAATTGAAATTTTCGGTATATAATGGTCCTCGATACCAATGACTGAAAATAAACATGATCGGTCGTTAATCTATCTGCCATCTCAATCACCTAAAACACTAAGCCATGGAATTTGTAGAAGGAATAAGGCAAATACTCCTGATATCAGTTGTGAATGTCCACTCGTGACCAAAGCAACCTCTGGGGGAGAGGTAAATGCCGTATGTGATATAAATTGACTGTAAATAGTATTATATATCAATCTCTTTCATTAGTCAGTCCAACCTAGCCACTATGCCCGGGTCTTACTCATTGATTAATATCGTATTTGGATCGGACGAAGATCTCATGCCGCGCGGGACGGTGTTTATGGAGGGAGCTCGAGAGCTCCCGCGGGTGGGTGGTCCGACGGCCCATTGCATGCCATTCCAATCCAGTCGGTGGGCGAGTTCAGTTACTACAAGGGCCCTTCGCATTTACGGGTCTTCCAGGAGAGGTCTCTGTGCGCAGCTAAAGGATATATGCCTTATTTTTTTTTATTTTTTTTATTTTTTTTTTGTGGCGAGGCATTATGATCATGTTCTCGATTATCCTCCTGGGAAAGGCATGAAGAGTATTGTTGATGTCGATGAGAGTGAGGATGCTGCCGCTGTGAAGGCACCGCGGAGCTGGACTAGTAACTAATGGTCGAATTGATCCTTGTGCTTTTGTTACGTTTCTCGTCCAGAACTAAAAAGCCCTGTATCCTTATTGAAAATGATGTATGCCGCGAGGCCATTGTCCATCAGTCTGATCATGGTCATCTAGTATCGACGTATCTAACGGTTGTCTACCTCAGTTGTTATGAACTAATAACGATCGAATATATGGTAATTACATGAATTGAGAAGGAATTGGACTGCCTGGAGCCGTCTATGCTCTCTTTGAATGTGTGAAGTTTCCGGGGGCAAGACGTTAGGTCGTTTAATTCGCGGACATTTTCTCCCTCCCGTAGCGCAGGTCTTTTGCAAAATGAAAGAGCGAGTGTATGTAGAAAAGAGCCAGAATGTTGGTGTTATTATAAAGTCGCTGCAGATCCTAGCCATGGAAGGGAAAATGGACGTTATGATTGGCGAGGAAGCTAAGTAACAGGCAGGGTAGCGTCAATGCCGCTACAAAGCAAGTCTACATGGCCTCGCACGTTAGTCCAACTGAAGACCAGGCATAACACAGCTCATCTCACGAATCGCGAGGTTTACTGAAGAAGAGGGCTTCCGGATATGAGGCGCTGCCCATTTGCGTGACGATGATTAAGAGACACAAGATAAATGTCCTTCTCAATGACTCCAAGTTCTGGTACCCCCATGTGTTTCAGTATAGGCTAGATTTCATAATGATCCCAAAATGAGTAAGACATTTGAGTCGCCAAGTGTTGCCAAGCGTTTGGGGGCGGTTTTTGCTGCTCAGCCCTACTCCCATTGGAACGGGGAGGGCGTCGGACACACTAAGCGACATGGAAGCGATGTTACGGTAAATGTAATTATTGAACTAGGGAAATCCGGTCATAGGGCCGTATGTCTGGTCAGGGGCTAAGTCAATAACAGTAAAAGTCGTGATGCGCCCAGTCGGTGCTGTTCCTGACTTTGATATACATCCAGCCTGTCCAATTCCACATATGCAATATGATCGGACGATCCTCCATGTTGCTCACCTGGGTGCTTTTCATATTGCTATGCTGTTCTGGTAAGTGATTTGGTGGCTTTATTGAAAGTTGGTAATTATCTATGCAGTCTTCTAGTAACACTGTTCTTAGGGGTATTGGCCGTCAACTGTACCTCATTTATTATCTATTCGCCAGCTGGTGCAGACTGGCTTCGCAAAAATTGTCCAATAGTCACGGGCCATGTTGCTATCGGTCCACTCAATGACAATAGCACGACGCAGCACATCAGCCTTGACGGTGTGGAGGTGATCGAAGGCTCTTTCGGGAACTATTATGTTGACAGATGGAACACACTTGATGGCCAGCCCTACTTTACACTGTCTAGTTCAACTTTGAGGGAAGTTAGGGGCGAGGTCGAATTCGGAACATCCCCCACAAAGCTACAGAGCCTCACTCTCCCGAACCTCAAAATTGTAAATACAAGCTTTCAAGTAGGCTTCTATGCACGCGATATCACCTATCTGGACATCTCGAGTCTAGAATCGGTGGATTACTTCAGCCTTGCCGCCCCTAATATCACCACTTTCCGACACAGGAGTCTGCGCAATGCGACGGATGTGAAGGTCCATACTACGCAGATCGACTCGCTTGATATTGTATCCGACTCTCGGCTCAAGATCAATTCTGTTGACCTTGCTGGTCCGTTTCCAAATATTAAGAACATTCCTGTCGGGTTCACATCTGCCGAAGAACTCTTCATCAGTGCCGATGCATCTGTGACATTGGGTGGCCCCTCAACGACCAACATGACAATCGGAAGTCTTTCTCTCAGTGGGGGTGTCTCAGATCTCAAGCGCAGCACGAAGCTGGAGTCACTCAGAGTTGATAGTATGGACTTGTCTAGCAGCATCTCCATCCCACACCTGGAAATACCATTCGATAACCTCCGCGCTCTGACACTGAAACAACTTTATGAGGCCCATCCAGTCAAAGATATCACTCTGCCCCCGCAAGCCGTCAATTGGACAGGCGGTTTTGAACTGGACATCAGTAATGCTCCAGAATTGAATCTAACCTCGATGTACCGTACCGATGACCAAAACAACCGCGTCCAAACCTGGTACTGGCCAACAAACATCTCGTCGATTCGGATTTCTAATGCTAATTTAGGAAACGCATTCTTGTACGTGTCTTACTTTTTTCCTTCACAATCGACATAATAGCTTACCAGCAGATATAGCGATACCTTCGTCGCCCAGCAAAATGCCTCTTTGGGCAGCACTCGTTCTCCATCAGTGTTGGAGACTTTTCATGTCTATCCGTCGAGAAACACTACTGGTTTCAACTGCGCAGCCTTGAACGGACTATCGAAAACGGGCCGTTTACCAAGCCCTCCGTTCGGTTTCGGATGCTCGAACTCCACAAAGACTAGCGGTAGTACTTTCATTCGTACAGCAAGCCCGCTTCACCTTGCCGGGGTTGTTTTTGGAGCAACTATGTGGATGGTATGAGGAAATGTGTTAGCGACCATGACTATGCAGTGTTTTGCTACTTTCTGATATCAAGGCAGATCTCTCCTATAGAGCATGGGGCTCTAAAGAATGGGACAAGCAAGGCCGAGGTACACCTTTAACGCGTCTTTTCAAGTCCACAGGGAAACTTTGTATTTTTAATATCTAGGTTCTTTTCGGTAGATACATAGCTAAGCCTGTAAATAGGAGGTCTGTTGGAAAAGACAGTGGGACCTGCTCTATGGGCAGCGGCAACGGGGAAAGAGTTCCGTTATTGAACTAGGGTATTCATATAACGGTTTAATGTTTGCAAAAGCGAAGTAGGAAGATCATACATCCTTGGTTTCTTAATTTACATGTACACACAAATATAACAGAAGAAAACAGAAATGCTTCAAGCCGCGAAAGTCTTAAGCTAAAACAAAGCATGTGAAGGCATGTGATAGCCTCGGAATCTCCAACTGGAGACATCCCTATGCCGAGATCATGGGATTCTGAATGCAAATGGCAAATTTCGCTCACTAGAATGTTATCTGCAAAGATCAACAGACCGCCAGGTACATCTATACAGGTATGAGAGAAATGGAAAAAGGGTTTGGCGATCAAAAACAGTTGAGAGTGATGTTCAAGAACGAGATTGAAAGGGTATTGTTTTATGTATTGCTGGATCATGGGTATCAAATTGAAGTTTCCCGCGCTTCATCTTCTTGCTGCTTCAGCTTCAGATCACCTTCATGCTGGAGATGACTGATCGTCTTGCGCAGATACTCGTATGTGAGCATGGTCGTCATGGCGGCCGGGACGGCCCGGAACAGGTTGGTACCGATTCCGGAGTAGAAACCGCGCCAGCCCTCTTCATGGAGAATTGTCTGAAACGTGCGTATCATGCCGTTGTAGCGCAGCTGTGTGCGCATTCCATCCGAGGAGGAATATCCCTGGGACCGACCACGGTCATGGGGGTGGCTGAGTCCACCGCGGAATGCAATTTCTTCCGGGGATGATGCAGGCATGGTGCGCTGCTGTGTTTGAAGTCGAGTCCGGAGGACCTCGTGTGGGTAAGTGATAGTGCTTGCACAAAGCTTGCTAAGGAAAGTGGCGAGGGAGATGCCGACCCACTGGGTATTGCCGTGTTCGGGGTGTTCGCCGATACCGTATCCCGTGATGCCCATTTTCAGGTATTCGTAGAGGGGGAATTGAATGGCCACATGAGCCAGTCCGAGAAGAGCCGGGGTGAGCCCGGAGTAGAAAGAGCGGATTCCCTCGACTTTGTACATCTTACGTGCAGCATCCCACGTCCCTGAGTATTGCCACGGGGCCCGGGCTCCCTCGTTGTTTTGCTTAAGGCTCTGGGACATGAGCCGTGTCTTGATCACCCAGATGGGGTTTGTCGCAATTGTTGAGCACGCACCAGCGGTGATTGAAGCGTAAAGTCGTGATAACCACCAGTTATCTGTGACTAGGTTAGAGCTAATATCTTTTCATCTCGTAAATGAGGAAAACAAACCTGTGTACTCAAGGAATTTTTCGCGAGATAGGTCATAGACTGCTAGGTAGACGGCCCAGGTGGGGAGATACCCCAGCACCATCGGACCGAGTCCTTGGTAAAGACCGCGAACACCGTCCTCCCGCCAAATCGTCTTTCCACTGCCGAGCATTCCCCGGTAGAGCGTCTCCGACGCAGCTTCCCGTGTTCCCCGCCGGAAGCCGCCTTGGGCTTGCAGTTTGGTTTTAATCACATCTAGAGGACATGTGACAATACCGGAAGCCACGCCAGCGCTAGCTCCACATAGAGGTGTAATAAAGCCATCGGACCAAGTGGTTGAGAGGATCTGAAGGCGGGTTATGAGAGAGGGAGTCGGCATGGCGGGCACGTGGGGAGCGGGTGCAGCGTTGTCAATAGTGATTGACTGAGCTTGCTCCGAGGAGCAGCTGGGAGCACCGCGGCCGCTAGAAGTCATCTTGGTGACCGACGCTCACGTTGCTTGTCCGTGAATCAACGAGGGCTCCCGGACGCGAGCATATCGGGTGCTCGATCCGGAACCCAAGAACCCTATATCGAATGAGAGAAAAAAATGTCGAAGACCAAGAGATCCGATGATGTGTGGAAGGAGGAGTGAGGAATAATGGAGGTCCGAGTGAGGAGAGATTTCTGGGGCCGATGGTTACCGAACCCGGTTGCTTGATGCAATGCCCTAAGCTGCTGCACGGACGGTGAGCGGGGTTCTGAGCAATCAAGCTTCCTTAGAGAAGCAGGGACTAGAGATTGCTAGAGTCAACAGATCCCCATGGCAAACGAAATTTGATCACTCGAGGGAGGGTATGACATGGGGAACCTATCTGTGAGGTGGAGTGCTCCGATTGACATTCCCACCTGCTGTGGCCTCAGGCAAGAACCGACCGGTCACGTGTAATAGCCGCCTCAGGCCTGAGATTTCCGTTTCGGGCCTAGCCGCCTGAGCTCCGTTTTGCACAACTTCGCAACATCGGGTCATCTCGTGTTCCAGCCGGATAGCCTTACCACCTCTTTCCACTCCCTCGTCAATTGTGATACCCGGGACTCAACATGTCTGCCCCTTCTTTTGCCAACTACATTGTCAAGCGCCCGCTGCTTAAGCGCTGGATGCAGCCCCTTGCCAACTGGTACACCGACGCCGCCGGCTACAGGAGACTCGGACTCAAGTAAATCTTGCCCTCCCGCACGACCCGACCGCGAGCGATAGAAACAAGGATCAGGGATCAATTGGGTGAATTGCCACACACCGATGGCATATCTGTTGAATGCAATCGCAGTCGTGTTGCGTAGCCCGCGATCCCGGTTCTTCGGAAGTCGCTCGCAACAGGGTCACGCCTAGCGGCACCTGCTAACCGCCCAACAGGTTCGACGACCTCATTCCCGAGGAAAGCGAGAACGTCCAGAAGGCCATCAAGCGTCTTCCATCCAAGGAGGCCTATGACCGTGTCTTCCGTATCCGCCGTGCCTTCCAGGTTCGACCAAACCCTACCCCTACCTCAATGGGTCGCAAAAGTCTAACGTAGTCAATTGCAGTGCTCCATCTCCCACACTCTTCTTCCCGCCAACGAGCAGACCAAGCCCGAGGAGGTGAGTTCTCAATATCCAAATTTCGCTCTCCCCGCATTAGTCCCCATACCGGCCAATCCTGTTGCGAGGATTTGTCACATCCTCGCTGACTTTGTTTTGGCATACATACCCACCCCGATGGTCACAATGCTAATGATGCGAATTGAATAGGACGTCGAGTACCTGAGCCCCATCATTCGCGAGATCGAGAAAGAGGTCAAGGAGCGTGAGGACCTCGACAACCTTGTTGTCCGCAAGTAAACGATTTCTACTTCGTTCAATAGATATGAAAACAAGGGGTTGGGATAGCTGGGCTGGCATGAAATAGACGCCTGGTGTGCTTTCTTTGTGATGGATGTGGGCGCTATCGTCGGCGGCCCACGGCTTGGTTTTGTAGCCTGTGTGTACTGATATTGTACAAATCGATTTTATTCGCGCTCTTAATATTTGTGATCGCCGTTAGACTTTTCAAGTGGACTGCAAGTCAATTTGATATTCAGCAGTCGTGCGGGCGATCTGGAGTAGTTCATGTGGGCTGTTCCGGTCAGCTTGGGCACCAGGCGCCTGATATCATCCACTTTCTCTTTTAGGAAGTAGGCAGCTTCAATCATTAGTAAATCCTCATGGACATTAACAAGCAGTATTGTGATGATCATTTATACTATCTTATGTATGCTAGATATCGTCCTAGACATCGTCCTAGACTCTTCCTGTTCAGTCTCATAAATCACACTTCAAGGGGATCAGACCTAAATCGTTAGCCCCCAAGAACAGCGACATTAACATTCTCAATCCGCCACATATACCACATAAACAGACTCCTGTAGCAATGAATCAGTATGTCTATCCAATATGACAGAAATAACCATCGAACATACCGATACGGCGCAAACTTAGCAGCAAGTTCCAGCATATCCTTCTCAGACATATACTTGAACTTACCACCACCCTTGCCTTTAATTTTACTCACATCTCGACCAACAAAGGTAGCACAGCCTCGTCTAACACAAACAAGTCAGCATATACAACAAACCAAACTTAGAACCCAAACCCAAGAACAAACTTACTGAACCCCCAAATCGCCCGTTGAAAAAACATCAATCCGCTTAAGCGCAAAGCAAGCAAACATCTCAACAGACCACTTCCCCAATCCCCTAACAGCAATAAGCCTCTCAAAGAGTTCCTCATCAGAAGCCCTAGCCAGCATCCGGGCCCCAAGCTCCCCATTAACAAACTTCTCCGCCAACCCAAGAATATACTCCGCCTTCCGCTGCGACAACCCCGCCGTCCGCAGCGTCGGAATATCAACCTTAACAACCTGCTCAGGCATAGGGAACGTAGCATGCCGACTCCCGGCCCCATCCCCAACATTCCCCCCACCAACCAAATCAAACAACGCAATGAACTTATTCCTGATAGAATTCGCAGCTGCACCGGAGACTTGTTGGCCGATGATACTGCTGGCCAGGCTGTTGAAGGGGTCAATTTCTTCTGTCAGGCCTGCTGGGGAGAATAGGGGGCAGGGGTGTTGGGCTATCACGGGTGCCAGGCGTGGATCTGTGGCTATGAGGTGGGCCGTTGCTTTCTCGAGGAGTGTGCCTGTTGTTGCGAGGGGCCGTGGGAGACCTGTCTTGCTTGGTGAGGCATCTTCTGCGTGGGCTGGGTAGGCGGTTACAGCTGTGCCGTGGGGGGTGAGGAGAGTTGCGTTTGTCCGGTGCGGGTCGACGGGGCGGTCGAGGGGTGGTGTGTGCGGTCTGGTTGTCTCGGTGTTATTTGTTGTGGGTGCTGGTTCTGGGGACCAGTATGAGGAAGTTGGTTTGGTTTGTGGTTTGGGTGTTTTCTTGGGTGTCTTGCGGGGTTTGGCTACTGCGCTGTGTTGGACTCTTGCTGTCTTGGTGGGCGCTGTGGTTTGTAGGACTGGTATTGATGGGTTGAGGGTTGGGATAGAGCCTAATCTGGCTGAACGTCGAACTGACATTGTTGAGTAGTGTGGTAGATATACTGATGGTTTCAGTGGCCTTGGTGGAGGTTGTGAGGAGGTCATGGGAGTCGGAGAAGGTTGCGGAGGTGCGGAGTTGTTGTTTGCTGCATTGGGTTACCCCACGGGTACCACGAACGATATCTTATATATGTACAGAGCATAAGCCAACATATGTGACACTGAGTGTCAGTTGCCAGCATCGAGTATCTTACTTGTTCGTGTGGCTCTTGCTTTGATCTCCTATCACTCTATACGGTCCAAATGCATCGTCAAGTGGAGTCCACGGCCAAAAAGCCTGGGGTTCATACTCACGGTAGATCTGACGATCGGTTTGACAATAACCTGTGGATTATGAGCATGTATCAAGTGCCAAATGAGAGGATCCATGTCTAGTACTAACTTGGAAGCATGTCCTTGGCATTCTAATCCACAGCGCTACTTAGTACGCACAATTCTTCCCTTATTCTCACCCTGCAACAATCCAACCTTCGATTTGGCCGAGAATGGATCCCTTTACAAAATTGCCAGCGGAAATTATTTTGATGATTCTTGAATCCTGCTACGACTTCACCAGCTTAGATGGCCTGCAACAAATATCTCCCCGAGTGGAGCAAGTGTTCAACACCTCGTATACGACTGTCACGGAACACGTCCTGAAGAACTGTAGCCTAACTTCGGAGGTGCTTCAGAATCATTTCACGCTCCTAGCCTCTATCGAATCTACAACATTCACCCCCGCGGCCTTGCTAGAACAGCTTGATTACCTATCGGGGGATGTCGTACAACCTGTTTCCATTTCCACCATCAAATCACTAGCTGCGGTACGCCAGGCTGTGAGTGCAGCAGCAAAAGTTCACCTTACAGCCTGCGCTTGTCTTCAGCATATATTCAATCGTCTCCAATCCGCAAAGCCCCGCCGTCCAATCGCTCCTACCGCCGACATTGTAAGATGGGTGAATGGAAGTTGGTTGCATGAAAGGAATCCAGAACCCAAGGGTGAAATATTCCAATTTGTGGTCGATCCGCCATCATGGATCGAGACTCATCGGGCGCATCGCGGCCTCTGGAATCTAGAGCTCTTCTGCCATATCTATAATGCCGCATCAACACGCTGGTCATGGTCTACGCATGATCTGGATTGCTTCGCTGAAGAATATGTGAAACCAGGATTGCTAGAAGAAATTCGGACGATGTCAGAGTGTGTGAGTGATCTATGTCCCACTCAGCCAACTATTCTCAATCCTCGATTTCCGTTCCTTATTGCCGTTCCATTGCCCACCGATTTGACGCTGCGAACATGCTGGCCTTTACCCATGGTTCCTACCGATACTGATGTTGATTCGAGATGGGGTCGACGTCGGTCTACAGCTAAGTTCGGAAATAATGTGCTCAGTTATTACCATATGCTTCGTGGACTTGAGGGATATCATAGGATTCTCTGGAAAGTAGATTTCCGGGCGTTTCGACGACTTGGTATACCTCTCTGGGACAGGTGGCGATTGTATCAGATGAGGCTTCAGCACCAATCTCAAAGTGTGCTCTCGCCGGAGGGCAACTTGGTCGGTGGGGGGAATCAGATCGGATCGAACGGCCGAAGTGGGTTATAATCTATACATGGTACAGTCTAGCAGAGGATGAAGATTTGCCTGAAGAGTATAGAAAATAACTTTGCGCATCTTTAGAGAAACTCTTGAGATTAATCAACACCATGCGGTCGAGTCGCGTTGTAGATACTTCAGGTACATACTGCCAGTCTATCTGTAACCATCACTCGTTAAGTCTTTTATAAAGGCGGGGGGATGTGAAACCATTCAACAATTATTATCTTAAGTTCTTAGCGTAGTTCTATCAATTTGCCTTTCAAAATTTCTTGCTCTTCTTATCTGTAGTGTGACTCTGCCTACATATATCTCACACGCACCAACCATAAATACACGACGCGACACTCATTCGTAGCTACACCGTCCACCTACCAAATAAAATAAAAGAAAAGAAAAGAAAAGAAAAGAAAAAAAGGCAATCCAATGCACAAAGAAAAGCCCACTACTTCCCAATAGAAGGACTGCACAATAATGTCCAAGTCAATGGAACCAAAAATACGTTGAAATCTCATCCTAGATCCCCTATTGCAACAGCAAATCAGGATACAGCATGGTCAGAGTTGTTCCCTGGGTCTACATGTAAAAGTCACGCGATTGGTTGCGATATACTCCGCTGGTGTTGAGTTCCTTGGAAATATCAAGGGCAGAGTCGGATCCACGGTTGAATCTCAATACAACAACCAACATGCGGAAATTTTTGCATTGAAAGGATATTTGGTATCTGTTATTTTCGTACGCCGTATTTGATAGTATCCGATATCTTTCACCTGGGATAGCCTGGAGTCGACATCGGAGCAACCCCAGTGCTTGCGTCAGCGACACACGATTCTTCAACCCCATAACCAAATGCCTTGATTGAGAAGCGAACAAAATCCATCGGTGGGGAAGAACCGTCCGTCTAGTGTATTTACCAATGAACCAATTAACACGAGATTTAAATTTAGCCTGAAGGGTTAGACCGAGACAGATTCTCGAAAGATAGTTCGTGTTGCAGTCCGAAACAAGCTTGAATCCCTGTCTGTGGTGCAAACATACCAAGGCCACAGATCCAGGTTCAAACTCAGCAGCACTGTAAATTATCTCAGAAACGAACGGAAGTGCTCGAGAACAATAAAAGCAAAAACCAAAAACGCATGGCATTGCGGCGCCGATTCGTCTCACAGAATCCGTCAGGTACATCCACATATACATACTCCAGCGTGGTCGGGCGAACATGTTTCCTATTTTTGTCATGGTCTCGTGTTCTCAGGAATGCAATCATTCCCATTATCCCTAGATTCAAAGCCCTGTTCTCGAGATAGCCCAGTGCGGCGTTTCTTGAGCGTTCCACGCATTCCAATGGGTGGCAAGTTCTCAGTCAAGCAGACAGTCACCCTGGAATGTAAATAAAGAAAACAGAGGGCCCAGATATGTACGAAAGTACAAAAGTACAAAATGTACGACACTTATTTTTGTTCGGTTTCACCAGACAGGTGACCCCGATTCTAAGCTTAAACAGCCATATAATACCGACTCAACTAGGCTCGGTTCTAAGGCCGCGTATCTATAATTGTGGCGTTACAGAGCACGGGGAAGTTGAAGGTCCGTGTTTGGTCAGACTCGCACATTGTGCAGAGTCTTGATGGGGTTGGTTTCTATTGCTGTTGGTCATCTCCATAATAAAAAAGAACAATTGCACGGTCGGATCAAGCAGGATTTCTAAATTTTTAACCGATCGAAAAATACATATGGAGTGGACCTCGGAGAGTGGGACGGAGTGAGTCGGCCCTGTTCTGAAACATTTGCCAACTTTACACTGTGACGTTGTGTATAATAGGTTGGTTGCCACCAAGGCAACACAGTATCGGTTGTTTGTTGTTCATGTAGTGTCAATTTTCAATTTTGATATACATTGTGCAAATTCTATTGGATATTTAAGAGCAGGATGTGATGGATTTCTGTCACAGATTTTGTCACAGATTTCCCGGGTCGATGTAGCTCTAGACATGGCTCTGATCGCCGTGGCTTGAATGACGGGAGCTCCATCGGGGGCAATTTATAGCCGCTAGCGACATGTTTTGTGCGCAGTTGATTTTTTTTTCTTTTAATTTTTTCAAATTTGTGTCAGTTAAAAGTACATGTAATGCCTAGACATGTGAAAGATTGATCAATGATTGCGATCGTCACAAAGCTGCAAGCTTGATGTGATGGTCTGATTGTAGGTAAGGACAAGCTAGAGGACGTAGAGGAAATTCCATTTCCAGTGTGTACCAGCAGATACTGGTGGGTACAAATGGAAAGTAAAGCGATTCTGCATGATCGCCCAAAGAAGAGTAGGTGCATGGAAAGGGGCTTGTTGCTCAGGGATAGAGTTGATGAAGAATAGGGTCCTTTGACACCAATTGCATATCTGTCTGCGAGGGGGCGTTTCGCCTCAGGTAGAGCAACAGAAAACAGCCAGGATTGACATTAATCCAGGGCGATTCATTCCAACGTGCCAATGAGAGTCGTGCATACCGGTAATCGACGATAGCGGCAGGGGCAGCGGGTCCGTTGAAGGCTTGGAATCCCGCAAATTTAGATCGGCCACTATCAAAACATAAGATTGGAAGTGATGTCTACTTCCGGTTGGTTTGGAAATGAAGAGTTGATGAGAAGGGGACAAACCAGGGATTAGGGATTGAGGATAATCCAATCATTACAATAACACAAGTTCTGGAAGATCAGGCGAGTCTCTCGAGCTTCAGTGCATAGATGACGACAGCAAGTGATAGATAGGATGGGGCCGTTTGATAAATTGGCCAGCTAGCGCAGTTCTGGTAATACAAGCTAGTATTTATGAAGCATTATTCATTATTAGCATGGGAGTCTAGTAATCAGGTTGTATCTACTGGCCGCATTAAATTGCATATCCCTACTAGTTGATGATACCGTGGACATAGAACAGCATCTGATAGGCTATAGCAAGCGACACACTGCATTGTACAACATGAGGTGGCAACTATAATACAAATGCATTTATACCTTGCCCTTCACAAAAACATCCATGTAAACATTCAAATATCAAATATTCCAACAAACATCCGCATTGAGGGAACTAAAGCATAGGATGGAACACGTGTGTATTGAAAATTTGCCAGGAATACGAAACCGAACTAGCGCGGGTCAAAAGCAGGAAATGGGCCGTAATTTCCATTGGTTCTGAGTTTTGTTTCCTGGTAAAACTGGTAAAACCGAAACCGGCGAAAGATACCAGGCACAGCCCAGGGCGCCGGATGCGGTATTGTGTGTGTTTCCCCCTGGTATATAAAAACAAGAGCAATTGCGTACAATACACAATCTCCACCACTCCCCTTTCCTCCCCTTCCTCTTAATCTCTTCTCCTCCCCAACCCCGTCCATTCGTTCTTACCATTTGAGAGTTCCTGCCAATTTCGCGCAGTACTATTCGCTTCCCTTTCGTTTGAAGCGCTTCTTCTTCTCTTCACTCACTTTCATCTCCCCCGTTCCATATTTCTAATTCGTATGTCTCCCCCTGGAATCTTGGAACTTATTCAATTGCTGACAGCGACGCGCTTTAGCATCTACAATGTCTCTCAAGTACCTCCTGACCGCGCTGGCCGCTTCCCAGCTGGCTTTCGCCGATGACAGCTGTGGTGACACCACCATTGAGAACCAGAGCGATGCCGACGGCATCAACTCTTGCACCACTCTCAAGGGTGACCTTACCATCAAGAAGACCTACAGCGGTGATCTCTCCCTCAGCGGTATCGAGGAGATCACCGGTGGTATCATCTCCAGCGGTGCCGCCAACGTCAGCTCTATCTCTGCTCCTTCCCTTACCTCCATCGGTGACAAGTTCGACCTCGAGGGTCTCACCACCCTCACCCTGCTCAGCTTCCCCCAGCTTACCTCCGTCGGCTCCATCAACTGGGAGGCTCTCCCCAAGCTCCAGTCCCTGAACTTCGACACTGGTGTTACCAAGGCCGGCGATGTCAGCATCTCCAACACTGGTCTGACCGACCTGAACGGTATCCAACTGAAGACCGTCGGTACCTTCAGCATCCAGAACAACCGTGACCTGAAGACTATCAACATCAACAACCTGCAGAACGCTACCGACCTGATCAGTTTCTCGGGTAACTACGACACCCTCGAGATTGACCTTCCCAACCTCGGCACCGGTACCAACATGACCTTCCAGAACATCTCCTCTGTGTCTGTTCCTTCTCTTGAGAAGCTCACCGGTCAGCTCGGCTTCTGGGGTACCAAGTTCGAGACTTTCTCCGCCCCCAACCTGACCCAGACTGGTGACCTCGTCTTCAAGGACAACTCCAAGCTGTCCAACATCAGCATGCCCGTCTTGAAGACAGTCAACGGTGGATTCACCATTGCCCGTGATGACAAGCTGTCCACCATCTCTCTTTCCAGCCTCGAGACCGTCAAGGGTGCTATTGACTTCTCCGGTACATTCGACAAGTAAGTGACCCCCCTCAGGGTTTGAAGTACGTCTACTAACATGCACATAGGATTTCTCTTGGCAAGCTCAAGGACGTCGAGGGCAGCTTCAACATGCAGAGCACCCACGGCAACTTCAGCTGCGACAGCTTCAAGAAGCTCAAGTCCGAGGATGTCATTAAGGGCAGCTTCAAGTGCGAGGCTGACACTAAGTCCCCCACCACTGCCAATGGCAACTCCGGCACCTCCAGCTCCAGCTCTAGCAGCTCTTCCAGCACTAGCTCCGGTGCTGCCTTCATGACCGGCGCCAACGTCCCCGTCATGGGTCTCGCCGCCATCTTCGGTGCTCTTGCTCAGCTCCTGTAAGGGTTGACCATCGATTCGATTAACCTTGGGGATTTTGTATAAAAGTCTACCAAGCAACAATTTCATCCTGGTCCTACTCTGCAGTTCTCATGATAATAATTTGGTCTTGTTTGTGGAGAAAATTCGCAATGTGGATTCTTGCCCACGGGAGGCACGCCCCGCCCTTTACCTGAAAGGAGTTTTTCTTATCCTTGTGTTTGTCTT